GGCCCCGTCCCTCTTTCACCTATTCTAGGTAGTGGATTCCCGTCGTGAGGAGATCAAGAGCGACGTAAGATCTAGACGCCTTGCCATGAATCCCAACGAGGCTAACCCTGGACGGCACCTCTGAATAGAAATTGAAGCGCTGTAAGTCTTCCCGGAAAGCACTCCCCGGTATCATGTCGATGTTTTCAACAGACACTCTACGCGCCTACCTTACCCTGTCTATGGTAACGCCATTCCACCTAACTCTAAATTTCACTCAGATACTACCTCAAACGATACCGGACACTCCGCAAAAGATATGACGGAGCTTGAGCACAAGGGACACCATGAATCTTCATTGACCCACAAATCAACAACCAATACTCGAGGTATATATATAGACAACAAGGCAAAAAACCTGAGTCATTTGATATCCAGAAGATAGAAACAGAGCCCTAATCCGTGTCATACATACATTACATGGCAATCTCATCGTGCATCATCGACCCCTAAAACTGAAGAGCCGAATGAACCAGCCAAACAATAGCTCCCAAGCGTCCCACACTCATCCCGCGTATCCTCGTTCCCCCCTCATCCCCTTTGTGTCCGCACGCCGGCATTCGGTGTGTGTTGTTGAAACGAGAGTATCGAATGTGGGGATTAAAAAAGAAAACTCGATGAGCAAGGCCAGGCGAGCGGCGAGGGCGAGCAGAGAGAAAGAGAAAGCGAAGCCAAGAACAAGAAAAATCACTTCTTTCTTGCCCACCATGCTCCCACTTCCAGACACTCTCCCCAGCTCGTCCCATTGTCCCGCACGAGATCATTCATCATCTTGCCCACCCAGGTATCCCACTCATCCTGGCTCTTGCCGTTCGCCTCGCGCAACATCGGCTCCATGCTCTGTATCATACCAACCACGGTCATTAATGCCGTCCGGCGTAGTGCCGCAGCCGCCGGTTCCAGGCCCCTCCCTCCCCCATTCCCACTCCCGTTCCCACTCGCACTCGCACTCCCCCGACTTTCACTCCCACCCCCGCTGGTATCTCTACCAGACCCAATCCCCAACCCGACTCCACCACCCGAACTACTCCCTGCCCTCCTCCCTTTCCCCTTCGTCTCGATATAACTCTTCCCATCTTTAGTCACCACACCGCCGACGCCTTCCTTTTCCCAGCGAATCTCGGACAGCGGCACAGCCCAGCGACGCGACCCAATCCCTGTGAGTACCTCGGATTCTTGCACAAGCATCGAGCCGATGACGGTGCAGGGCATAGCGCAAAGAGCACGGGCTTCGAGAGCGCGTGAGGCCCAAGCATTGTATTCCACTAGGAAGTTGTTGAGTGGGGTGGAAAGCGGTGTGTTGGGGGTCATGAGGTAGGCACCGCCGATGTCAGCCTCGGGATTGGTACTGGTAGTTTCGGTGTCCTGTGACGCTGAAGTTGTTGTTGTTGTTGGGGTGGTGTCGTTGCCGTCGTCGCCGATAGGGTTGCCATCAGTCGGGCCACCTGAGGTGGTTGTGAAATCTGGTATGTGTGGTCGCAGCATACGGAGGACGTTGTCGGTCTCCCAAACCTCAATGGTGCCGCCGGGAACGAGAAGCCGAATGTATTCTTCGACAAGGGCCTGCTGCATGGACAACGTCGTGACCAGGGCCATATCTTTGACCATAATAAAATCAAAGCTCGCATCCGGAAATGGTAGCGGCAATCTGCGCAGGTCGTGTTGCACAAAACGCCAGTTCATGGACTTGTCAGGCCGTGTATCGGTAATCGTGGGGGTTGGCGCCTCATTGGAAGAAGAGGCGCTTGCCGGCAGCCGGGCAATGTCGATGCCCGTAAACGACATATCCTTGTGAAGCCCGCGCGCCTCGTAGTGTTTGTGACACATCATGCTCCAGAACCCCGTACCGCAGCCGATCTCGAGGATTCGCGGGGGTGGCTTGTTGGCGAACGCAGGGGCGCAAATTGGGCGCCCGTACAGTTGCATGAGGAGCATCGTCTTGAGGCTCTGGCGGTGCAGCTCCTCGAGATCGACGGGGAGCGGGTAAGGCAACGTTGGATCGGCAAGAAATGTCCGGCCGTTGTGCATGATGAACGGCCGGGCAGCTGACTGCGGGCCGGACCCATGGTCGCTCGAGTTCACCGTGCGGTTGCTGATGGTCGTCCCCGACACGCTGGATATACTCTCGGCCCGCGCGCCACCGCCGCCTCCAGGGACCCTGGTCGCTGCTGTTGCCGTCCCCATCCCTGTATCGACGTGTGACAGCATCGATCCGAGCGGGATGCGGCGCTCGGGGAAGGTGACGGCAGCGACCACGGCGCCAGGGTTACCAAATGTGTGTCCGGCCGTGGCGGCCGTGGCCGACGCCGGCGTGCGGGCTGACGCGGGCTCGGAATGGCTGCCAGCGCCGGTGCCAGCAGTCTTCGTGTAGGAGTCGGCCGTGTTGAGGCGTGGCGTGGCTGGCAGCTGCTTGTCCTGAAAGTATTTAAACGCCGGCGGCATTCGGTCGCGTTCGCGGGTCGAGTGGCGGCGCGTCTTCAGGGAACGGGGAGAAAGTGGGGGATGGGAATAGTGGTTGTCGTAGTTTGCGGCCTCTGTGCCTGAGTCGCCGCCGTCGCTCAGAGCAGAAGCCGCAAGAGCATCTCCTCCTCCCTCTTCACTGGGCAATTGCCCCTGGTGTTGTGGGAGCCAGGGAACGCCGGGATGAGGTTCTGCTCCAAGTGGAAGTGCTGGACGCTCAGTGCGACCGCCGCCACTGCTGCTCGTGCTCGCACTGTTGGTTCGGGCGTGGCCGGGAATGCGCGATCGTTTCTTGCTGTTTGACTTCGCAGACGCCGAGTTGGAACGGGTCGGCTTGCGCGTTTGTGAATGCAGCAAGCCATCGACTTCATAAGTGATGTACGGGGCCTTGGCGGCTGCGTATCCCGAAAGAAACTCCATCTTGGCCCCAAGTGGGTTTTTCGATTTTTTTGTCCCTTCAGGCCGCTCCCCAATGGAGTGGTGCCCCCAATCCCACTTTGCTGCAGGGCCCTAGTCAGGGGCTGCTGCGACCGATCTGACGGGGGTTCAGAGGCCCAGAATGCCCCGCCCGGGCTGGTCGCAGCGCGTGGTCCAGGAGCTTGGGTGCTGCAGTTCCTGCAGCTTTCAGTGGAGACCATCCACCTCCACTTAAGGTTGCCGGCAGCAGAAGAACCGCCCGAATTGCCCGTCAATGGAGCCCGCCGATGGGATTTGCTCTCGTCGTTTCAACAGCCACTGGAAGAACAGGTCCCCTTTTCCCGTCTCCCAAGGTTCCAGTCTCCCACCTGCCGTGCGCGACAAATGGGTTGTGGAAGTTTGGCCGTTCGCTCACCGCGACCTCGACCTGCCGCTTCAATTCTCTCGCCCGCGACTAGTGCACGATTCTCCCAGTGAGGAAATCTCGGTGCGTTGCTCCGAATTCGTCGCAAAAAAAGTCCCGAAAACCGATCAACCACAGCAGGGAATCGGGGATGCCGACCTCGTTGCTGCCCACCGCCCCAAGCGCCCCTTTTTTTCTAGAAGCTTTTCCGCCTTTATGCCGGTTTCGAGTCCCTGTCAGGCCTCCAACAGGTTGCAACCGGTGAGCTCGCTTCCCAGCGAGACCCGTGCGAGCCGTGATTCAAATCGGGAGAGTTGGTCCTTCTCGTGCACCCCCTGCGATGAGCCGCCCGATAATTTGTCACGTCGTTTCCCAGAAAGTCGCTCGGTCCAGGCTTGCAGGTGGTTCCCAGGTTGTAAACTCCCTTGTCCTGCCCTCGTGACGACGATCGATTGAAAACCAGATGCAACCCTGAGGTGCGTGGGTGCCAGCAGCTTATCCGTAGCCGTTCGTCAAACGGCGTCACGAATAGGCCGCTCGTTCGAACGAAAGGATAGCCAGTGGTTCGGCTCGTTGGGGGTCACCCGCCCTGTGTGGTTGCCGTGGTGGGGGTAGCGTGGCTTCGATTGTCCCAGCTTAAAAAATGGATTTGCTTCTTTCCCGTGCGCGTGGAATGGTGTGTGGCGGGCGTGTGAGAGTTGCGACTTGGCCAGATATGGTGTTCAAACCCCTTTGGAAAATTCGGCGATTGCCCCAGCGCCCGCGCGAACAACAAAAGGTGTTGCAGAAACCAAAAGCCTAGCCGCACGCGGCGCGAACCAGCGCGCCCCCGGATCTTTAAACACTTGCGCGGATTTTGGACGGGCCTGGGGGAGGCAAAACCGAGTTTCCTCGCCCACGATCGGCTTCCCAGCTCCGCGGCTCAGCGGAAACTTTTGACAGTTAAGCTAAGGTAGTAATAATAGGTAGGAAGCGACGAGCGACGACGGCCAACCGAGCTGGTGAATTGCGGCCACTCACGATGTTCAAAAGGTGGGGCTCTGGCGGCCGCGACGGTCCGAAGCAAGAAACACTCGCGAAGACCCGCGGGCGGTTGGCCGGAATTGATGTTATTTTTGGAGGGAACAAGCCGGTGGTCGAGGCTCGAAATTGATGGGAGTGTAGGAGGCGATTAATTAAAAAACAAAAAGACCGCATTAAACGTGCAGCTCCCCCCTCTTCTAGGATCGTACCCTGCAGCTTAGTGTTCCTTTGGTGTCCCGGTGGGACAGCTCTAGGGAGATAGGTGTAAGGCAAAGATCGAGGAGACAGGTTGTCGGGAGGCGAGGGGACGCCGAACAGGTTTGAAGAGAAGTAATGGATGCCCACCGCCAACGGGCGGTTCTGTCTTCGTCTCTTCCTTTTACTGTTTCTCGTATTGTCAATCCCCCGCCGGATGGTGCGACTCAATGGAACAGGGCCCCATGATGAGCTTCCTGAGACCTTCCCAAAAACTTCTTTTTCTGGCTGGTGCAACTGCCTCAACGACGGTGTCGGAGCACTTTCTTACCCCAGTCATTGCCAGTCTCGAGCCAGCGCAAGTCGTGTGGAGTTAGCGGAGGGTGTGGACATCCGACGCCTTCCTTCCCCGCATTCCCATTCCGCTGCTTGGATTGGCCGTCCCGCAAGGCCGGTGCCTGCTCTCCCCTGCCGCACACCGGTCCCGACCTGCGATGCAAAGCCCAAGACGCCAATGAGGTCCGCCGTCCAAGCCCTCATTGGCTTTCCTCTTGTCCAGTTTGCTGAGGGGCAAGGCCGTGCGCTCAGGGTACGCATCGCGTTGGGCCATTCGGCGAGACCAGCTGACCGGTCGGCGCAAAGGGCGGGCGACATGCCTCAAATGTTGCAGGCCATGCTGTTTTCGAAGCTAGGAACAGCTGTGCTGCATTCAATAAATCCTTCGCGGCCGGCAAGGCCACCAGCCACTTCAACATTCTCCGGGAGGCCGAGAAAAAAATGTGAAGGCGTTTCAATGCCGACGGCTAATTTTCAGTCCGGGGCAAGCCGGGCCCTCCGGCCGACTCGCCCAGCGGTCTCCGGTTTCTGTCGCCCATAGAATTTAACTATGGGAAAACCAGACCGACCCCGCAATTGAAAAGCTCATGGAGGAAGGTCAGGTTCATGCTGTTGTGTCTCCCCTCTCACATGATCGAACAAATCTCCTGTTAGTTTGGGGAGCTCAGCGTTCAGATGTCGCCACTCTGCGGGTTCATGCACCACCGCGACGAAATCACAGCTGGACAAGGTCCAGAATGGTCGACAGCCGAAGGAGGGCCACCTGCTGTCTCCCTCTCCCATTATATCCCTGCCCTAGAAGTCCAAGCGCTTTGATGGACTCTTAGCCGACCAAATTGGGGATTATTATCTACTGTGTACTACGGATACTACTACTCCTACACGGTACTCAGTATGTACTATGTAGTTGAGTCTGGAGTTGGGCCTGCTAGTCGCATTGATCTTGCCTGCTTCTCCCTTCCAGTTTTCGGATTTGAGGTCCGGTCATCGCTTTAGTTACCTCCCACTGGCTAAGTGGGAGGGCAGAAGAAGGTTTGGACATTGTGGGTGTCAATTTGCGACCATAAACTGACGATTCAAACGGTCAACAGCTAAGTACTGTTGGAGGGGAGCCGGTTATGGCCAGGAGAGGGTTGGGGTATGGAAGCTCGCGTGCTCGCCGCACGGGCCACCGTGACCTGATGTGCAGTGAAACTGGCCAAGAGGAGGAAGACGAGGCTGAAGAGGCCAAACGAAGAAAGTCCATGTCACGTGATCTGTGACAATCCCAGCCTGGTCCTGCTGCAGCATGCGTGCCACTCCCGCTGGTTGTCAGCCCAAAGCGGGAGCCAGTTGACTCCACCAAACACCACCACGCCGCACGTCTCGTCTTTCGCAACACATCACCACATCCTTCCTCCCCAGTATCCATTGACCGGGACTGAATTATTACCATCTGAGATTGTTACACTATCGTTTTCCCATAGGTGAGTGCCCATCTTTTAAACTCTGCATGTATTGACCTCCCCCTTGAGCCGGCTCTCCAACCGCTTCTGTGGTACGATGGCTGCTCTTTGTTCTTGGGGGGGCATCGGGCCCACATCCAGTCTCACTTCCCTCATCCTCTCACCACCAAGCGCCGGTGCCAACGATTCCACCACCAATATCTTCCCACACTCAATAGATCTCAAGCTGACTCACTAGTTCCCCTCCCGCTAGGTTTCAGTCCGATCGCCCCAGAACAAAGCAGCAGAAAAAAAAGACCGAAAAAAGCACAAACCCCATCCCGCACTAGCGAACCTTCCTCTTTCCTCCCTGGTAACAAGTGTGCGCTACACCTCGAAAGGCACGCCCGACCCGAACGATTTGCTTCCCGAAGTGAAAAAAAAAAGAAAACAGCGGAACTACCAGCGGCGCAGACCCTTCCCTCCTCGTGAACCACAGCGTGCTGGTGAATCGTGAATGGCTCTCTGAGCTGGCGACCACTTCAGCCCCGTCATCCCCGCTGCGGCAAGACGACCAGCACACTGCATCCATGCCCGACGAACATCTCGTTGTACCCCATGCGAACCCTTTTGCTCCAAGCTTCAATTCCTCTGCACCCTCGTCCCCACCACCGCAACATTCTCCAACTCCGGCTCTCCCCCACTTTCCTACCTCCGCGCCCGCCGCAACGCCGCCTGTAGATGGCAGATGGTCACCGCTATCCGGTGCACACCTACCCGAATCCGCTTTCCTCAACGGGCGCTCCTACCGACCAGACCGCTGACGGGATTTTTCTCAACTCTCTACTGACGCATCTCGTCGCCGCCCACCCGTCTTCCCATACTAATACCAAATCTCCCAACCACGGCTCCGCGAGCCACAACCAACGCGGCATGTACGGTCAGAATCACCAGCAGGGGCATAACTCCCGCATCAATGGCGCACCAGGCCGGCAGCAGGCCATGCCCATGCTGTACAACTTCCAACAACAATCGGCCCACGCCCACCAGGCTCATGCCCAACACCACCAGGGGATTCAGCAGGACCATGGCGGCGCGAGTATCATGGGCCATTCGGCCTTTTCAAGCGGTGTCTTACCGAACGCCAGCCCCTTCTCTGCGAGCAACCTGCAAAATGGCCACGCATCGGCCTCCCGAGGCACCCAACCCCAGCAGATAACCGAACATTGGGCGGAGCAGCTGCGGTTGCACAAAGAGGCGGATCGGGCGCATGCCACTATGACTGAGCAGCACCAACCCCACTTCTACGCGAGGTTGAAGGCCGCGGAGAATAGAGGTATCGGCGGCGGCGCCTTAGGTGCCGGCGAATCCGGGCCTTCGGTTGACGGCGAGGACGACAGAAGGCGCCCGTGGAGCTTGGAGAAAGCCAACAAGAGACAGGATTGGTACAATCTCGACATGAGCGGCCAGGGACTGCGCGTTCTAGCGCCGCCTCTATTTGCGTACGAGTTCCTTCAGGAACTTTACATTGCATCCAACCGACTGACCTACCTTCCGGCTGAGATTGGCCGGTTGCGCCACCTGCGGCACTTGGATGCCTCCAACAACCTCATCTCGGATCTACCTCCCGAGGTTGGCATGTGCACTAACCTTCGGTCACTCTACCTGTTCAATAACCAGATCCGCGACCTCCCCTCGGAATTCGGCTCACTCTACCGGTTAGATATGCTTGGCATAGAAGGGAACCCTCTCGACCCGTCCCTTAAGCAGGAGATCATGGGTGGTGACACCAAGAGTCTAGTCAACAGGCTGCTGCTAAAAGCCCCGGGTAAGTATTATCTCCCACCCAAGCGCGAAGTGAAAACAATTTCTGACAGAAATTCGCCCGTCAGTGCCCATACCTCCCGTGGACAGGAAGCCTGTCATCGTACAGGAAGACGTGTCGTCGAGCTTGGAGCGAGTCAAGATTCTTACGTGGAACATCCTTTGCGACAAATTCGCAACAACCACCCTTTACGGCTACACCCCCCCCTCAGCCCTTTCGTGGGACTACCGAAAAGAAAGGATTCTCCAGGAGCTGCACGAGAGGGATGCCGATATCCTATGCCTGCAAGAAATTGCGACCGACGTCTTCCGCGATTTCTTCAGTCCTGAGCTGGCGCAAGATGGTTACAAGGGCGTACACTGGCCGCGTCCCAAGGCCAAGACCATGGCGGAGAAGGATGCTCAGGCAGTCGACGGCTGTGCCGTGTTCTACAAGGCTAGCAAGTGGATTTTGCTAGACAAGCAACTCCTTGACTATGCCAACATTGCAATCAACCGCCCAGACATGAAGAACCAGCACGATATCTTCAACCGGGTCATGCCCAAGGACAATATTGGTCTGATCTGCTTCTTCGAGAGCAGGCAGACGGGTGCCCGTATGATTGTTGCCAACACCCACTTGGCCTGGGAGCCAACGCTCCCTGACGTCAAGCTTGTGCAGACAGCCATCATGATGGAGAATATTACGAGGCTAGCTGAGAAATACGCCCGTTGGCCAGCTCTCAAAGACAAGAAGATGATTCAAGCACCCCTAGATGAAGGCGAGGAGCGCGCCGACGTGCCCGAGCCCGGCCCCTCGCAAGAGTATCGAAACAATACTGACATCCCTCTCCTCGTGTGCGGCGACTATAACTCGACTTACGACAGCAGCGTTTACGAGCTCCTTTCAATGGGCCGTGTGTCCCCCAATCATAACGACTTTGGCGATCACCAGTACGGCAGTTTCACTCGCGATGGTGTCGAACATCCTTTCAGTATGCGCTCGGCCTATGTCCACCTGAACGGGACTCCGGAGGAATTGAGTTTTACCAACTACGTTCCCGACTTCGCGGAAGTGATTGACTACATATGGTACTCAACCAACACGCTTGAGGTGGTCAGCCTACTCGGCCCGCCCGATCGTGACCACCTGAAGCGAGTACCGGGGTTCCCCAACTACCACTTCCCCGCTGACCATATCCAAATCATGGCCGAACTCGTCATCAAGGCCAGAAAGGATAAGAAGGCGGTGCAGGAGCCCGACTTTGGCTCCGGCAGCGGCGATCGGAGGGGTTGAGAGAATAGTGGAGTCCACTCCGCCTTGCTCTCTTCCACTCTCGCTGTCCTTTTCAAGTCGTCTTCCTGTTTGTCTTCGCATCCTTCCGTATCTTTGGGTCTGGTTGGTTGTTTTGTTTTTGCTTTGGCTTCGAGCGTTTGGTGGGTTGGTGGTGGCTGGTTGACCGGCGAGTCTGGTTTTGCGATGGGAGAGAAAGCGAAGACACGGCCCAGATCACCTGGTTTGTTCCGACTTGCCAAGGTGATTGCCCCGACGACCGAGTGAGCCGTTGGCGGCTGGGTTGGCTAACTTTGCTGCCTTGATAAAGCTAGAGGACCTAGACCCAGTGGGTTTAAGTGAGTGCAAAAGTGCGGTATCGGTGGGAAATGCATTGGTGGGGTTTGAAGGGTCATGTAGGAATATATTTCCGTTGTCTTTGTTGTTCCTGCATGTCGTATGCTTCGGCTTGCGAGCTTGTTTTTGACGTTGTGATGATCTGTCTCTTTGAGATGGCTTATGTCGAGCATTGGCGACTTGCAAACCGCAGGGGTAAGAAGACGACAAAGACACCAAGCGAGATCATATTCCGTTTCCTGTTTCTCAACTTCGACATGGATCGGGGGAGGACATACGACACCGGTATCCAGCCTCCACAAGCCTGGTACCTCGCCAGGTCCTGATTTTCTCGACGCGGCATGTTCATAAAGGTCAAATGTTAACAAGACACGGGGGGGCAACCTAGCCGCAAAATAGGCAAATTCTCAGTTTCATTGATACTCAATTCTCCCTTGAAATTATAAAACTATTTTCTAGGGAACTCCGGATCCAACAGACGAAGAGCATCAAAAGGGACATACAAATTTGAAATGCTCGCAATGCCCACTAAGGTGATCTACCACATCTCCCACCTACTTGTCCCCTCCTCATTGTTTACTTGAACCTCATTTAGAAGCCAACCATCTTACCTCCTGCCCATGACTACTACAGGGGCCATTCATACCCTCTGGGTCCATCCACCTCGCTGTCGCCCCAAATCAAACCATCCTCTCTTCTCGGTCGGGTAAGCAGTCCATACCTGTACCCCGCGAATCGGGTAGAGAGTGCTTTAAGCTAAGATGGTCTGGAAGATGGTCCTGAAAGGCTCCACAAGTTGTCATCCGATACCAGAGTTCTTCTACCAAGAGAAAACACTGTGTCCGTCGATGAGTTCCAGCTGCCACTGTCCGTCACATTGCCGTCGCCATCCACATGATCAGTGCCAAAAACAGACCCAGGTTCAACCCCAAGATCGATATCGCCGTGATAGTCGAACCCTCGCCTCGCTTTACTCCTTGGCCAAGGCAGCCTCCATCTTCTTCCGGAAAACCTTGCAAATGGTCTCCGTGTTGGGGCCAAACGACCCGGCAGCGAGGACATCACGCTTCTGCACGCGAATGAAATGCACTTTCTTCTCGCTCTTGGGCGCTGAAGCCGGTTTCTCAGCGGAGGCGCCCGAGGAGTCTGAGGAGGCTGGGGAACTGGCGATGGCCTTGTTGACGGCGCCAACAATGGCCTGATACTCTTTATCGGTGAACCCCCCGCCGAAGAAGACGGCCTGTGGGACCTTGGCGGAGGGGGAAGTAGGGTTGAAGAGAGGCGGAAACTCCGCGAGAGCTGCGGCGAGGTCGGTGTTGATTTTAAGGGCTGTTTGTGAGAAGCGGAGAAAGCGGGGCGAGAGGTTAGTATTCATATATAAGGTAGGTAGTAAAACAAGGCGAGCGTGAGGGAGGGAGTAGGATGACGACGTACTAACAAAGTCTGGGAGGAGCTTCTCCGAGACGGTAGTGGCAATCCTAAGGTCCTTTCCGAAGACAACAATCGGAATAGGGTCTATGGTATTCATTTTGAATCCTTTTTTACGGTACGTTTAAACTAGATGAAGGGTCGGTGTTGCCAGAAGAAACGAGAGGAAGTCTAGGCGGCTTCGAAGCGAGCAGTAAGGGCAGAATAAAGAAACGGAATAGAAACTAGGTAGTTTGAAGGAAACCGGACGCCAGGTTTTCTTTTTCTGGAGGGCCTGGACGGGCTATTAAATACAAAAACGCCTGGTCACTGGTTGACGTAGAGAAGGGCGTTCGGGCCTACATACGCTGTGCTTCCATACGCTGTGCTTCCATGGTTTCCGGAACACGAAAATTCCACATCGCTTTGACGGTTTGTCAAGTTATCTATCGCCCCCTCCGCGCTCTAGTGCGTCTGTGGACTTTGATGCTTGCCGCGTCATCCTCAAGGACTCGCATGGCCAGCGTCTTAGAGGTTATCGTGGTAGATTGCGCCTACACACAGGCCCGATGATTGCGTCCTCGACCGCGGCTCACTGCATTCAAGTGGCAACAAACTAGGCATCCGAGCCCAAACCTGAGGAGTGTAAAGTCAAGAACACGGGCAACGCCAAAAGCCCCGTTGATATGGCCGAATGGGTGTCTTCAATAAATCCCATCAACTAATAGAGGAATGATACATGAGTGCTACCTAGACCGCGAGCCACATTCGACTTGGGGAGAGGAAGGTTATGGGACCACTAGATAAGGCTCTGACAACTGGCACGGACACAACTGATAGATGGACGTCGAATTGGGGAAAGCCCGTTGCCCAGGCACATTTTTCTCACCTCCACCCAACGCCCTAGAGGAACCTGAGCGTCGCCCCCTCCCCGTTCTTATGCTTTTGAATTATCGTAGTTTTATTATCATTTTATGTTCCCGAGCTCGAGAGTCGGCCGCGTACCACAGGGAGTCATTTTCGTGTGCTAGGAGGTTCGGGTGTCAAAGCGGGAAGAGAGACGCTGGGATCGAACACAGATCCACGGCATCCTGCTCCTTGCACACGAATAAATCACATCCGTCCCGCATGTCGCACACCCCCTGAGGTATCTGCTGAAAGTGCTGGAAAATGTCGAAGCAGTCCCGCACCTGAAGAGCAGGCTAACTAGGCAACATCACTGCCATGCTACCTAGGTACTGTATCTTAACAAGATTCTGCATGACTACGAGGCTGGAGCACATGACTTATCCACTCAAGATGAGTAAAAACGTCTATTGTTACACCAGCCGAGGCTGGACCTATATGCTGTTTGGGCGGAAGAAGGTGGAGGGACGCCCCCACCCAACCCCCTGCTATGTTTCAACAAAACACCACCACCTAAGTTCCCATCCTGACAAGCTTGTCCATATCCCAACATATTTCGCCGTGAGAGTTTCCAAAGAATATCCACCATGCTTTCCGTGTAACAAGATATCTCGAATCAACCCAAACCTAGCCGCCGCTAGAAACAAAAGAAACGCAGTCCAAGGCTCGCTTCGAGCTGTGCTAATCCAGTGCTGTTTCATATCCTTCTTTGCTACGAGGCTCGTCAATCATACTGCCAAATCTCCCCTACAGGACAACCCCTCCCAACACCAGCAGCGGCCGAAGGCATGCTAAAAGAGATAAAAGAGGAAACAGAGGCCAATACCGTAGTAACAAATGCCAAAACGCCTGCAGGAAACTTATGTGCAGAGATAGAAAAACATAAGAAAAGGGATGGAGTACAAGACGAGAAATCACAGCTCGAATACCCAGCGGCTGTCAAGGTACGATCTAGCCCACCCGCCTCACTGCGCTCGTAGGCCATGGAGACCCGCCCCCGGTTACCTAGACAGTGTGTTGAAGTCAAGGTCCGGTCCTAATGGGCTCATTCCCATTTGGCTCATCGGATTCAAGTCGGTCTTGGCCCTTTGTAGGGCTTGAAAATCACCCACAGTTCGTAGTTGGGGCAAATTCATGGCGTACGTGTTGGCTCTTTGTGGCGCTGGAACTCGATTCATCATGGGATTGTTGTTGGCTGCAGGGTGGGCGAGATTATTGCTCAACCCTTGGTTAAGGTGCATTTGGGGCGCAAGATTTATATTGGGTGGTGGGTTCATGTTGTTGGGGCCCAGCCCGTGCATCTGTGAGTTGGAATTCGTGAATGGCGAAAGTGGGCCGTGTTGAGAATGCTGTGGTGGCTGATGGTTCATGCCTCCCGGGGTCCCTAAGGATGATGCTGGGGCCTGGCTCATGGGACTCATCACCATTTCGGGCATGGACGTGAAGTCGGTTTGTAGGCGATGAGGTATCTCCATTCCCGGGGAGACGATGCCCGGGGAGCTGGTAAACGGCGAATTCATGTCGTTACTGCTCGAAGGAAGGCCGTTGGGACTGTTCGAGTCCGAGCTCATGTCATCGAAACGGGGGAGCGCGAATTTGCTGTCATAATCGCCCGAGTAAACGGCAGGGGGGCACATGGTGCTGCTGCCAAACCCATCGAAAAGATCCATGTTGCAGGCCACAGGAGGTTCGGGGGCGTTCTGCAACATCGGGCTGGCAAGTTTTGGGAGAGCAAGTGCGACCTTGCTTAGAAGCAATGGGAGAAATTGATATTTACCGTTGCGAATGATGGATACGACGTTGAGGATTTTGCGGAGTTCATCCTGCGGGCCGGGAGTGAACGGCGTCCGCGGCGCAGGGAGAACCGCCAAGACTTCGGTGACGGCGCATGTGACGTTGAACAAGTGCTCACACAGACTGATGCCGTGCAATCCAAGGTTGCCAGTCAGTTGTGCGACCATGGGATAAAGCTCATGAAGGCCTTCAGCATACGACGCTTCGGCATTGTTGGGGTTGCCGTTGGCCACGCTCAAGCTCCATGCCTTCTGCTTGAGCCAGTGTTGCAATCCTGGCATCTCGGCGAGTTGGGCTGGTGTGTCGTTGAGGTACGGGGATAGAACTTCCTGCATCTGCTTGTCCAAGGTGGCAAGATAGGAGTCGGAGAGTTCAGCTCGAGACTTTGACCACAGCGGGGCCAGGATTTCGTCGAACCCGCGGAAAAGGTTGATCATCCGCAGGGTAGTAGTGCCGTTGTGCGCTAGGGGATCAGCTGGGTGATCGACGGGAGCAGGCGCGTTGATGCTAGCTTGGAGGGTTAAGGGACGACGGTGCTGCAAAGCGTAGGAACTACAAAGAAACCTCAGTCAGTTTTTTGTGACCAAACAAGACAGCGACACGGGAATAGAAACTGGGATACGAACCGTTCAGATACGAAAAGCAGCCAGTACAACCGTCTGCGGCGTGACGCATCGGGACCGTCTCTGTTGTCGTACTGCAAATATGCCTGCTCTTCGTTCATCCTGGCCATGTGCGCCAAAGTCGTCGCCTCACGCAAATGAAACCAAGCCTTGTCATGCATTTCGAGGGCGTGGTGGACAGCGAACAAAAAGTAGCTTGTGCAAAGGCTGTTTGTTGAGGGCGAAATAGCGTAGTCAAACCCTTTGCGGACCCGAATCGCTTCCTCCATAAACAGGGTGCTGCTCACGATGTTGCCGCCGAACATCATGTCTGTATTGAACGGATCGCTCATGTTCGCGCCCGGCAACACCATTCCAGGCTGGAGGCATACGAAGGAGCATAGCGCAGCCAGAAGGCAGTAGGTGTCGAGGTTCTGTTCCATGTACATAGCGTCTTGCTCGAGGTGTTGGCGTTCAATGATCGGAAGCGTCGGGTACATGTGGGCGAAAAAGAAGTCGATGCAGGCTTGAAGCGTCTCTTTGGTCAGGAGTCTCGGCGTCGGGGTGAAGGCACCGTTTGCGCCGCCACCATTGATACCGGCTTGCAACTTGGCCGAAAGGCTGGTCTGGCGTTGGGTCTCCTTCAGCTCGTTGATGACCTTGGCTCGTGAGCCCTTGGGGCCTTTCTTCTGCGGAACGGCATTGTATGTGCATGATAATTGCGAGGCCGAGCAATTGCGGCAGGGCGTGATGCCGTCGCACTTGACCTTGCGGCGGTGACAGGCGTCGCACGCCCGCTTCACGGCGGTTGTCGTCATGGTTTTCCGACCGTGTTCCGTGTTACACTCAATTGCTCAACGCGACGGCGGGGAGCGTGTGACAGCGCCGGCATCCGTAGCCTTATCGAAGAGACCCAGCGCGCCGGGAACGGTTGGTCTGGAGAGACGGTGCGCAATCGTGGAGTCTCCAGAGTCAATGGCAGATAGTCTGGGGTTGAATCGGCCCGGTGAAGGAGTCGCTAAGAAGAACGGAGACCGCGCCGCTGGGTCCCAGAGGTGCGCAGAACAACCCTTTAATGCATCAAATGCCGAAGCCAAAATCCGTGTTGTCGACAGAACATTTGCCAGTCGCTCGGGGGACCGCGATGGCACAGGCAGAGCAGATTTCGCGATTGGACTTGTTGTCGAAGAATCGGAGACAGGACGAGAAGATGGGACGAGAGCCGGAAAGGGACTTCCAAAGGGGGAGGGGGACGGAAATGAAGGAAGGCTTTGGAGGGGAGACGTATTCGGGGCAGGCGAAAACCGCAAGGGGGCCGCCAAGCTCATTTGACAGCGGGCCCCCCTTCCTTGACGGTGCACCCCTGAAGGGCCAATCACGAATCGCCGTCGAAGAAAAATGGGGCCGAGCATCCTTGCGCGAGTGCCGCCAGCATGAACTCCCGTTTCCAAAACAGACCGGCAAATTCGTCAGGAGGATGCTGGGGCACACCTCCCAGCGACCGTTTTTTTGCCGATTTGGGGAGATGTCAGCGCCGGGAGAACAACTAGTGGAGTGTGATGCGAGGAGCAAGAAATCGAGCCGCCTACTCGCCCAGTTCCAGTCCGCGTTGCTGTGACACGGTCGTGCCTAGCCTCACTTCGCCCCGTGGGGACACAACAATTCACGGCTTCTCTGTCTCTCTATTTGGAGGTTCAGGTGAATTCTCAGAGAGCCGGGCGCGTCGCACCGTCGTACAACAGCTTTCGGAGAGTGGGAAACGGGGGTTGGAAAACGGTGGGGACTCCGGAAGAACAGGATCCCGCTTGACCACCAATCAAGTCACGAATACCACTTTTAGACGACGGAATTTGTGGATGGCTCGACCCCGCCACTCTGTCACAGGCACGATCTCACCAAACGTCAAGAAAAAACTCGGGTCTGGGATCTTGGTTGCAAATAAATTCCTCAGACTTTGACAACTCGTTCCAGGCACAACGCTACCCCAACGCTGCTATGTTGTACATAGTAGTTCAGGGCTCGCATCGATCTTTGACGTTTAGGCGGGCCCGCCGCCGTGATATCTTGTAAGGAAATTGACCGGAATCTGGGAAGCGGACGACGCTGTGAATCGTTCGCTCCGTTCAGGTATCCTCGCTTTCTCGCTCATACGAGGAATGGACTATCGAGTGCACGGTAATTACTATGTACACTACGAAGCGGAGCACGAGGACTTCGTAAAGGAACGGGTTTCCAGCCCAGGTTGCCAGGCGCCTCATCTCGTTGACACACCGAGAGACCACAAGGAATCCAAGTCGACGGCTCGGGCAGTACGGAGGTACCCACAGCAACACACCGGCGTCCGTTAAATCTACGAAAGACGGTGAGACATTTCCCGATCTCGACACAACGCAAAAATACTACTCCACGATGTATGCAATCAGTTATCGATGGTCGCACCGTTTTGCAGCTACCCCAAGGGCACCAGAACAACCGACGACAGAGCAATTCGCATTGAGCGTGTGCGAAAAAAGCTGGGGTTAGCTCAGGCCCGGACTGTGCATGAATGCGGAGGGCGGAAACGACCCCGCCCCACAAAAGGGCCGAACGGGCTATGAGGCGTGTTCTCAGCGTCCAGCACTAGCAGCACCGCACACCAAATGCTCGAGGTCCTCGTCCGGTTCCTGGCTCCGCACATTGCCTTGATTATGGCCCCAACTCCAGATCCTCGCAGTTCTCGATATTCAGTTCTTGGGTGGAGGTGGAGTTGGGTTGATTATCTCCGTCCTGAATCAATGACAACAAGATGTACCGTTGATATCGGCATCCTCATTCACAGATGTTTCCGACTCCAAGAAACTCATCAAAAGGGGAAAATTCCCCGACAGCCATGATCCTGATTTTCCGTCCCCTGTTGCGAATCTGCTAGGCAGCCTTTTCACAACCGCCAATCTGCCACCGAGTCCCGGACCGTATCCACTCCGGCCCCTCCGTGCCGATAGCCTTCCCCCGGATTTTCCACTTTGTCAAGCGCGGGGGAGCCAAGCCTTACTCACTCAGAAGTTCGGCGGCGTTCGGGCCCGACCCCGTGGGCGTCACGACGCCCACGCGATGTCTCAACTGGTAGTAGGCCATGAAAACACGCAGTCCTTTTCAAATCGCAGTAAGACCGAGCAGGACCCTGCGTCGACAAGTTGTTCGCTGTAAAGGGAGTTTCTCACCACGCGCTAACCACATCACGGCTACGGCCTGGCCTCGGACCGATGGTGCTGCAGAACCTCTTCCTTCTTCAGCCGACTTCTCCGCAAAGCTCATGCAGGACCGCAACGGCTGCCAGGATCGACACCTTTCTCCAAAGCTTGAGATAGCTCCACTGACAGACACTGCCGGTATCCAATGCTTTTTTTGTTGGAGCCGCTCGAGTGCCGGCCGCGGGGATAATAGCGAACAAAGCTGTTTCCTCATTCATATCACTTCTCCGCGCGCTTTTGCGGTATCGCCCGTCGAGGCGCATGGGCAGTCGGGCCTTTGCGTCCCCCAGCTTGCCAACGAAGAAGGTGTTTCGCCAGTCCTCAATTCGGCTGGCAACCTGCCCCGGCTAAGACTCCCATTTTCGGGTATCTGAGACAATGTCGTTAGCTAAGGGTGGTGACGAGATAGATCTTCAACGACAAGACATCGGTTTCCACGTGTGGGACAAGGGAAGCTGAGTTTGGGCCGCCCCCTGGCTCCTGCGCGAAAGTTCGTTCGATCAGCCCATTTTCGTCCCTGTACGGATATTGGAGTTGAGTCGGGCCGGCGAACGTCCTGTAAGATACCAAACCCCCCGCACGAGCCGCAACCCTCCAGAGCCCAAAATCCTCGACGCCATTTGAACGTACGCAATTCATTGACACAGATCCATGACCACGGGATACAGAGCGTACCGCAACTCGGAATCCATGCGCAGACGCCAAGCACCAAGATTTCAACCCCCGCCTCGCAAGCCCGAAGCCACCACGTCCTCTAACGGCCGCGATGGCTTTTCACATGGTTCTTTTCCCAGGCATATGCCAGGGCAAGGCGACGAGTCCCTCACAAACTCCACCTGCATCTTGACCCCTTCCTGAGTCCTACGTCGACACCGTTTTGCCTGCTTACAAACCCATCGCGGTCAGAACATGCCACTTGATGCAGTCTTTGTTTGCATCGGGGGCTGGAAACGGCAGCGAGGTCTGACTATCGCCGAGCGTGGCCGAAGTGGCGGCGATTGACCATCTTCTCGGGTCCTTAGACTTGAAAGATTCGGACCGAGAGATGGAGGGCCTGTGGTGCGAGTGGCATGAGTTGGTGGAGGTTGGCCAGAAGATGAGGAGGGAGAAGAAGGCCTAGTTGGTGAGAACCGCATGGCCGCAAGAAAAATTGCCTCATATTATTTTAAGCGGCTGGAATTGGCTTGTTGGGCCGGTGAGACTGGTTCCTTAGAGGGGGTAAGAGAGGATGGGGAGCAAAAGGGGAGAGGAAATACAGCAAGTGTAAGTGAGAACCAACCCGTGGCTTGTCTAATTAGTGTCTAGCATCTCCGATATGCGGACGCAGCAAACCCTCTTAGCTTCGATCCCATAAAGAAGGCCTAGGACGCATCGAAATACCCAGACCGCGGAAGCTTGCCCCGTGAGAGGACCAGGCCAGTATACGGATAGATGGTAATGTCTGTCTCCCGCGGGTTGCGGTAGGGGCATGCGGGTGGAATGAACCTTCTCGGCCCAGCCTCAACTTATAATGTCGAGCTTGGGACCCTCTTTGCGGCAGCTTTCCAGCTCCACACACACACATCTATGACGAGCTGTTCAACTGTTAATTACTTCCCCAAAACATGTACCCGGTGCTCTCTTCAATGTGGATGCTCAATAACAATATTCCTGTGATCGCTAGTGGGGCGGTGGGGCGAGGGAACAAAAATAGAAATCTCGAGGTCTCACGGTCCAATGGAACACAGTAGTGTAAGGCTGGAAAGGAGAGGAACCAGGTGTTGGACGATGCAAGTTTAACCGCCCCACCCACTCACTCTATCGGAGATGCTGCAGTGTTTGCCGGACTGCAGTGTACAACATGTCAAAAAAACAATAAAGTGGTCGATTTTGTTCGGATTTGCGCTAAAATATTTCGAAGCTTCTCGTTCTCGTATGTGTCGTACGAAACGGATTTCGTCACAGCCGAGTGATTTTTCCCGCTAGTGTTTACCCTGGTCGATTCGAATGCCCCAGCGTTAACTTCAGAAGCAAGCACAAAGAACATCTCGAACCTCGATTGGTTTACTTTGGGGCTATGTTCATACCGGCATGTGGTTTCTTACTAACAAAATAGATATCTTGAGAATTCGAACAAAAAGTGAGCCTGGGCGGGCTGTGATATAACTCCGAAGGAAGGCTCAATAGGTAACCAACAACAATAACCGGATCAAAAAGTGAATTTCGACAACACCAGCCTGGTATGGCCTCTAATCCACCGGAGCATTTCCCGCCTGCTCGCGTCATCCCTCCCCTTAACCCACCCCACCGCCAAACTATCATTCTCCTCCACGGCCGTGGCCTCAGTTGGTCCACGTTCGGGGTTGATCTCCTGTCCACCGAGTTCCACGCCTTTTATCCGCTAGATCCCGCAACAGCAAGCATGATAGAGGGCGAGGGGAATCTGAAACAAAGAGCCGTGCCCCTTCGCACGCTTCAAACACGCTACCCTCATGCCAAGTTCATCTTCCCACTTGCCCCGCGCGGTCGGGCCACCATATACGCTCGTAGCATGATCCACCAGTGGTTCGATGGGTGGCACCTAGCTCCCCCCGTTTCCCCGGAATCCGAAGACGAGTCTTCTGAGGACGGACTTCTCGAGTCTTCCTCCGAGGTGTATGCCGCGTTTGACATCGGAACGAATTCCGAGGACGGGTTTGAGCCTAACTCTGGGGCCCAAACCCAGTCCCAGAAAGCCCACATGCATCAAAATCAACATCAACACCACCAGAAGCACGATAAACAGAATCACAATAAACTACAGCAGCAAAAACACCACCACCACCACCACCACCACCAACGCCGCCGAGAAGCCCAAGAAGAATGGCGCAGCATCCCCGGCCTCCAAGAAACCATCACCTATCTACACAACCTCATCCGACAGGAAGCCGCCCTCCTCAATGGCAGTCCCAGTTCCACCGCCAGTTCCGACAACACCACCTGCAACCCCCAACACGGCACGCAGAACATCGTCCTGGGCGGCCTCAGCCAGGGCTGCGCGGCATCACTCGCGGCGCTCTTACTTTGGGACGGTGAGGCGTTAGGCGGGTACTGGGGGATGTGTGGATGGCTGGTTTTTGAGAGCGCGTTGAGGGGGGTTGTTAATGCTGGGAGCAGGGGGGGCTCTAGGGGTGGAAGTGGGGGTGAACGTGGGAGCAAAGCCGGGGAAGAAGTTGAATTTGATCCTTTTGAACGGAGCGAGGATTACGACGATGGGGAAGGGGAGGAGGAAGGGATAGAGATGAGTGTCGAAGCTAAGATGGTGAGGGCGTTGAAAGAGGAGCTGGAGTGGGGGACCACAACGAGAGGCACGTCGTCGATGGCTCGGCCCAAAGTGTTTGATACACCCGTGTTTCTCGGCCACGGTATTGAAGACGACAAGGTCCCCGTCGGGCGAGGGAAGGAGGCATCCGAGTGCCTAAGAGCGGCTGGGATAGAGGTTGAGTGGAAGGCGTATGGAGGTCTTGGTCACTGGTACTCTCCACAAATGTTGACTGATATGGTGTCTTTTACAACACCTCTATCAGGTTGGTAACCGGGTATTGAAGAAACGGTGTAATATAATTACTGCATACAAGAAATTCGCGTCTGCGTGTGGGATCTAACTCTCCGCCCTCCTCCTTTATGAACATCCGATGCGCATGCAATGAATCCAAACCCAACCCTACTAATGCAAAAGCCCAAAATAGATAACCAACCCTCACCATTCGACTCAGCCGATGCCTTCGTCTCTTAGAGACCGCAGAAGCTGAGTGCTACCTGCTGGACGTTGGCGTCGATGCGGCCGATCTCGACGCCATGGCCGCTGGTCAAGTCGTTGAAAGCGGTCAGACCAATGTTGAGGCCCTGGTCAGCGTGATCGACGGCGAGGATGTAGATGGTCTTGCCGTTGTAGGAAGCGGACCAGCAAGTGCCGCAGTTAGCGGAGTTCCATTTTTCGACGGCCTGGGCACCGCCAATGTACGGGAAGCGCTTGACATCGCCCTGGACTTGCCTGTATCTGGCGTCAGCCTTCCGGTCTCCAAGGGAACAACAATCCTGGGCGAAATCCGGGCCCAGAACATGATTAAAGATCTTACCAGTTGTACTTCCAAATAAGGCCGTTGACGCCGTCCGAGCAAGCAACCTCGGTAAGCGGGCGGGCGGCGTTGTCATAGCCCTGATCATAGCCCACTGTGCGGAAAGTTAGTGGTATGGCAAGGAATCACCAGAAAGGGGACGTTTGGCATGAGACGAACCGGTAGTGGCCGAGGCAGCGGCGGCGAGCGAGAAGACGCTGAGGATCTTGGAGAACTGCATGGTGATGGATGGGATGGTGGTGGACGAAAGATGTCGACAAAGTGGTTGTTTTGGAGGATATGAATGCGGCGATGATCTGAGCGATGATCTTGCTGGTGATGCTGATGCTGATGCTGATGCTGATGATGATGGGAGTGGTGATGGTAGTGGTGATGAGAAACAAGGATAGGAAAGGAGCTCGCCAGCGTCGACTTTATACACACGATGGAAGCAACGGCCACCGCTAACCAAACCACCACGAATACTTTGCCACCCCTCTCCGACTACCGTCGATACGACAACTCCTTCCCGCGTCGTCATAGCCTCAACGGCGCGCACCGGCAATGGAACCCCGGGAGACCGGGGGAGGCCCACTCTGCTGCCGCGACGTTGCATTCATCGTTTGGGTTGTTCTGTTTTCGGAACCATCGTGACTTCCTGGCAGGGTCGAGGAATGCATGTGGCACGCCTGGTTTTGCCGGTCGGGATCCGCATCCAGCATCCATCCACATTGCATCTGCAGAAAAGCGAGAAAGTAGCAGCCGCATCATCAGCAGCAGCAGCAGTCATGGGTGAGCTTCCCACGCACGTCTTCGTATTCCTGTCCCACCGCCAAGGCTCCAAGACACAATCAACAAAAGCCCGTACTGAATTGCTCGGCTGAGCCCAGTAGCACAACACCTACCGGATGAGCACGCACAACAGCACCACAGCACCGTAGAACCAGAACTCCGCACCATCCCAATGCCTTATTGTTACAGTACTTCGGAGTCTTTTGGCAGCCCGGGCTGGCGGCACATGGAGACATGGAAGCTCTGGCCAGAACATGATGAGAAACAGCGGGGTCGTTGGTGCTCACCTGGATCTTGGGGAAGCCTGAATACGAGGTGGGCATCAGCGCCGATCATGGCACCTGCTCAGTGCAGGCCATAGCATTGCAGCGCCCGTTTGACGATGCGATACGATGCAGATGGATGCGAATGGATGCGATGGCTGGCACCTCTAGCTTTCGTTTGCGGGGTGTACCGCCTTGTTACCTAGTGAGACACCATGCAAACTGACAACCTACACAGGCGTTGGACACGCGGGCGGTGCATCCTAGCAGGGCCTGGAATTTGGGAACAAATTTAGGTTGCCCACATACCGGCGAGCAGGGCTAGGGCCGGGGGAAGCCGATTACCTTTTTGACCCCCTGCCGCGCCACTGCGACCCCCCCCCCCCCGGAGCTGCCGGACCGCAGCTTCCCGACGCCTCCCGAAAGACCAAGGGTAGCTTGAGGTTGAAGCTCCGTTGCTTCGGAATGGAAAACGGGGTGTTTGCAGGACGCCGGTCGGGACCGGGGAAGATATTTTGGGACAACACGCCTGCTGCCCGACTTCCTACTGTCTGTTGCCGCCCACTGCTGCCGTAACAACTCAATCATCTCACCAAATCGGGGGTTTGCTTGGGTCAAAAGGCATGCCAGACAGCCCAAAACGATGACAACAACAAGAAGAGCGAAGACATCACCACTATAGGACACACCACAACGCAGAACAGAACACATCAGCACACAAGCAGCAACGTTACCTGATCCATCAATGCAGCCTTCATCCATCGTACTAGTAGTCGTTGTTTCTGAGCCTCGAACGACCCCTGTGCTGCCCTGCCCAGTGCCCCGTCCTACCTGAGACAAACAACCCTGTAGGTTGGCTCTTACACAGTATGTCGAGTCCCGGCGTGTCGAGAGAGGAGCGAGAAGCCGGCAGCAAGTCAGATATTGGCCATCGTGTCCCGAATAGTTACGACTCTCCAGCCTAAACAAACTCACATTGAATTCGGAGATCCTGCCAAAGCAGCGAGAGCTGCAGACACGAGCTGACTGACCGCCGACGGGTCTCGGTTTCTCGCTGGAAGGATTTTGAGTGGTCTTTGTTTTGTGGTTCTAAATCCGTGGTGATCGGCAGACCAAAGGGGCGCAGGCGGCTAGTTAACGTTAGGTAACTACACTGTAGTAGTCAGCAGGAAAGGTCGGCCTGCTCGGTCATCTCAAAGATGGGTTTGTTGCCCATACAGTCATGCTTGTTGTTATTGCCGTTGCTGTGGTGATTGATAGTCTCTGCATTCTGTAACGAGAGCAGAAACGGGCACCGAAACACGAAGCTTCTCACGTTGGTTGTTCTCCAGCTGTGGTGTTATCTCCGAAATGGATGGCGAAGGATATCGAGAATAGGCCTCAACTTGGAAAGCCCGACAACCCGAAATGCCGGGAGACTTGACCGCCAAACAGCCCCGTCAGGCTCAGACCGCTTCCCAGTCCATCGCATCCACCATGAACTCCCATTGTTCCTCCTCATCCCCGATAGCTGTCCAGTCCATCGCCATTTCATCCTCGCCGACCACGTCTGCGTCCCCACTCCCAGCACCACTGCCTCGCACGTGAGCTTCGGCGACGAGGAACGCCTCGTCAAACCCGAGGAAGATGACCTCCAACATGTGCTCAAGCCGATACGAGTCCAAAGGCGCTGCCGCCGCGGCTCTTTTCCTCGACCACCAGGATTTTCCCCTCCCTTGCCCTTTCTCGCTTTCCAAAGTATTCCCACTGTCCATCGCGGCCGGTGGCTCGCCAAAACGTCCCAGGCTGCGCGAGCGTTCTACATCCCCCGTATCGGACTGATTTCTTTGTCCGAGCTCTTCCTCTTGCCCCACCTGCTCCTCCTCCTCATCCGCAGCTGTCTTCCACCGGTTCCGCAAATCCTTAGCCCGCCGTAGCTGCAACCTCACCTCGCCGGAGCCCAATGTCCCTCGCAGCGGGCTATCCTCGCGGTCCAACGCCGCCAGCACGTTGGCATGGTACCTGTGCTGACGCGGTCCCCGTCCATCACCGCGCCAGACACTTGCTCGCAGACCCTTTTCGGTAAGCGGCGCGCTGCCGTTGGCCGTGTTGACTTTGTTGTTCTCGTTCTTGTCATAGGTTGCTGCAGGCTCCTCCTCCTCCTCTTCTCCTCCTCTAGTGCTCCTCCCACGTGATGAGGGCGAGACTTCCACTCCAAATACCCCCAACAAATGGACCAACGCCCGCTCGATCAGCATGTAGTACTCGAAAAAGTCCAGCTTGAACATGAGCTCGGCCTCAGTCACCACGTGGGGTTCGACCCCAAGCCGATCCACAGCTTGTCGGTAACCCTGTGCCAAAAACGGCAGCTTCCATTTTAGTCGTCGTACAATTTTGGTATATCGTGCGAGCTCGTGGGCAGCGGACGTGGACGCAGAGGGGCGTCGGAGGCGGTTGCCCGGGGGGTGCGGGCGGAAATGGGGTGAGCGGGACGGCGCGTCATCGTTGTCGTCGGTTGGGTGCTTGGTGGGAGATGAGCGAGTGATTGGAGGGGCCGAGGAAGAAGATGTCGTAGCGCGGACACCAGAGGTGATCGGGGCGGGTGTCACGACGAAGTTCGCGTTGTGTTGTTGCCCTCCTCCATGTCGCGTTGAGCGTGGGAAGGGCGGGGCGTGCCGCGATGACGCGAGGCCAGTCATTAGAAGAATAAATATTCAGGTTCTCGGGAAATAAATATTTTAAGAAGAAGCAATGACGTATTCCTGTACGCAAGAAGCAAAGTGTTCCTCCTAAATCGTGTTTGAAAGACGGTGAACCAAAACCGCGTTGTGGGAAGAAAGAGCTAACTAAATAATGGTTGCTTGCGCTTTACCGCAGTTTGCAGGTCGGAGCGATCATCACAAGAAGCAAATCGAAGACGGTTCACTATCGGACGACAGCAGCAGGTTGGTCAAAACCCAAAGTCAACCAACAACCAACAACGGCCGCGCACAACTGATTCAATTCGACCGTCGAAATTTTTTGCAACCGGCCGCCCAGACGCGCCGCGACCCAAATCTTCTCTCTCCAGCCAAGCTTTCTTCTTCGCAGCCCGAGCAATGCCCGGGATTGCAATGAAAAAAATGGTTTGCGTCGTCCAGAGGCAGTGTAATACTGGAGACACGGTGAGTCTCAGGCTCAGCAAGCTGAGTGGACTGAGTCTCGAGGGACAAAAATTAATTTAATCAAATAAATCTACTCCGTAGAGCAGTTTCAGAGATTAAACTGAAAAGAACAGATACTACACTTGATCTAAGCCAAAAGGCAAAGAGAGCTAAAGAAGAAAAGAAAAGAAGTCCAGAATTTTGGCGGGCGAGCGAAGAATTTATACCCCTCCAGAGTTGGTCTGTGCACGTCTGCAATCTGCAAGCCCCACTTGACATCCGCGCAACCAGCCAGGCTGGGGCTGGTGGATCGGGCTTGCGGTTTCCGATGCTTCCAATCATTGCACCATCGCACCCACATGTACACTTTCTCCTTCCGAGTATCCGTACTATGTAATTACTCCAAATCCGCCGAGGTTGAGACAGAGTGTTTGCTGTGAAGTTTACCAATGATATTGCATCTCCTTCGTTTATTCTATTTATTTTACCTACAGTTGCAGACAAAACGGCTGAAAAATAACTAAGGAGAACATAACAGGATGTGCATAATTCGAGTTCCCAAGCAGTGGTACGGCAGGCCAGCCGGCGAAGCATGCCGCAAGAACCATTCCCCTTCTTGTTTCTAAGTATTTGGCTCAAGACTCTACTCCCAAACCTCCTAAATTTGTGAACGAAACAGCGCAACCCTCACATTGTAAACCATCTAAATTCCAATCCGCATTACCCCCGGTCTCAGGCAAACATCCCACCTCCATCCAAGTCTTCGATTTCCTCACAGGCTTTCCTGATAGCCTCCGTTGTCGAATCTAGATTGTCCTCGGTATGAAAGAGATTGAAGTGGTGCCCAGGAATATCAATGACCTTGGAAATCAGATCCTGTCTATAATTCCCCCATCCCAACCGGCGATCCAAACGATGGATATCCACCCTCGCGACACCCTGCTCGTCCGGGACCGGTACTCTCTCGACCGCCCGCAGCAGCACCACAGGCGGCGGCCGGCCCCTCTCGGTATTCTCCCACGCCTGCGGCAGCTTCCACTCTCCGACCGTCCGGAAGGCCTCGCGGAAGCAAGCCAACACGCGCTCCTTGGTAGCATCCGTCGTGTGTTCGCCCCATTGCACAGCGTGCTGCACGACGGGGATCAGGGGTGCCGTCGAGACGAGCGGGCAGACAGAGTCAACCATGACGATGCCTATTATGTTGAGCTCCGTTTCTCCTGTTGCTGCTATTGATCCACCCCAGTGCCTGGCTTTTTTCTCTGCTGCGGCCTGCCTTGCCACCTCCAATGAAATCAACCCGCCCAGCGACCAGCCTCCGATGATGATATCCCGGGAACCGCCATCTCCGCTCTCAAGCGACGACTCGACGGCGGAGCGAATGAACCCTAGGTACAGCGCAGCCATCTCGGGGATTCCGCCGGCCCAGGACTCGCCGGTCTCGTAGCGGGGATTGGCGATGCCGTGGACGGTGCGGTGGAGGTCGCCGAGGCAGTGATATGAAAAGATGGTGCCGCCGCCATCGTGGATGAGGAAGAGAGGGGTTGGCGGGATGGTGCCGGTTGTGGAGGGTGCGGCACTGGAATACCGGGAGTCCGGATCGTACTCCTGGATAAGACTGGGCTGGTCGGTGAACATGCTGCCCATGATGTGGAGGTGTGAGTTGGCCACTCAACGAGCTGAAGGAAACGACGCCGACAACGAGAGCGGCGGGGCGGTGGATATGTCGTGATACTACAGGCGGAGGGGTAGGTGGGTATATATCTCCTTTTTCGCAACGTAAACTAAACTGTCGTGAGGCCTGAAAAGTGGGGTTGAAGAGCTCATGCCAGCAAAAGAAAGCCGACTAAGGCCGATCAATCAAATCTGATATGTCGGTCGTCCAGCCCAGGGTTAGGTCGCCAAAGATGGTCTCGGCTGGGTCGGGTAGAAAGTACTCGCGTTGGTTGTCCAATAATGAGTAAATACAGGGGAGAGCCCGTAAATTGTCAAAAATGGAAGCTTTAGGGACCGGCGCCTGGGAATGTCGTTGCAAGCTTAGGGTGTTGTTCCGCAAGCGGAGGGTGACAAGATCAACGAAGACACCCGACTCCGAAGAGAGATTGCTAAGTGCGGGCCTGAATGAGCGGGTCCAAAATGTGACCAAGGAGCTGCTCTGCTGTGAGCCTGGGCGAGTCCTTGTCCCCGAAAGGGAAACGGCGTGAACTTCTCCAATGAGCATTGAGTTCAAGAACACAGCGTGCAACGTAAGACGGTCAAACTCGAGGTGTTAATGACAGGCGGTCTCGGTGGGAGACTGACAAAGGTATATTATTTTAGGGGGCTGAGAAAGGCCCAAGGACAGAATAACGCAAAATAAGCCAAATTGTAATCAAGGATTCATTACCTCGATAACCGAGAGAGAAATCGACTGACAACGTAATACTTTCATTAACCTCCCTTAAACACCAAGGGCCAAACCAAAACGTGAGGAAATGCAATGACACACGGGGAAAACCAACGCAAAAAATAGATAACCAAAAGGCCAAAAATAACAACCAAAAAATAACAATCAGGGAGTACAGTACGCTGGGCAAAAAGGAAAACAAAAAAGGGAGTTTACCATCGCAAAAATGCCGAAGTCAAAAATGCCAGCCCCAGGTATTAAAGCAACTTCCAATCCAGTACCCTTTGAGGAATCCGCCCGGTCAACTTAGCAGCCACTCCCAACCCTACGACAGCCCAGGTGAGGGGAAAGAGGAAGGAGAGGGCTGAGCGGGGGGGCTTGACGGCGGTGGACACAAGGTAGTCCTGGAGGAAGTACAGCAGCTGGGGCAACTTGCTCAGGGGTCCGATGTGCGCAATATAACCGTCAGGCCGCACGAGCACGTAGCCAGCCGTCCTCTTCTGGTTTTTGCCACTGCCACTTCCAAACCCAAACTTGCCGTGTAACTCGCCGCTCGTGTCTGTGTAGCCATGTTCCTCGGCGGCGGCCCCTTCATCATCGAGTCCCATGATGTAGTGGACCTTTACATCGGTGTGACACGCTGCGATAACCTTGTCAGCAGCCTGCCTCAGCACCGCCACGTCGTCCGGTTTTCCGGACCGACCACCGGAAAACAACAGCAAATGGTGCGGCGTGCCAACACAGATCCTCTGCAGACTCGTCTCCTGCTTGCCCTTTTGCGCTTGTACTTTCCCATCTGGCAAGCGGTCTCCGCCTCGGATCGTCGGCCGCCAGAACCACGCGTTCGCCTCGCCCACTAACCGGGTGGTGCCGCGGTAGTTGATGCCGAACTGCGACATGAAGTGAAACGCCATCTTGCGTCGCGCCGGGCTCTGCGTCACATGCGGGCCAATGTAGCGCAGGAAAAAATTGCGCACCAGGATAGACCATCGGTTGGGCGAGGACAGGAAGGAGAAGAGGCGGTCGGTGCCTTTGAGAAGCTGGAGGCCGACGGGCCGGCGCTCGAGGTTGTACGTATCGAGAAGCGCGTCGGCCGCCGCGGCGGTGGCGCCTCCGTTGGACTGTAACGCCAGCGCGCGCGCGAGCTTCCAGCCGAGGTTGATGGAATCTTGGATGCCCGCATTCATGCCCTGCCCTCCGGCGGGCGAGTGGATATGGGCGGCATCGCCGGCGACAAAGAGGCGGCCGTCGCGGTACTGGTTGACGCAGCGGTGGTGCAAGCGGAATCGGGTGAGCCAGAAGGGATCGTACAGCGTCCCGGACCCGGGGGTGGTCAGCTCGGTGAAGTGCTCCTGCAGCTGTTCTAGGGTCGGCGCCTCTGTTTCGGGCGTCTTGAGGGCCCCGCGTGTGATGATGACGCGGATGATTTGGTCGTCGAACGGCAGAACTGCAGCGACGCCCTTGTTGCCGAGGTTGAGCGTGAACCTGTCCTGCCGCAGGTTGGAGTCCCGCAGGTGGGTGTCGCAGAGGATGAAGTCTTGAGGGTATGAGCCGCCGGGGAAGGTCATCTTGTCGGAAGCGTGGCGAACGGTACTGTGGGCTCCGTCGCAGCCGACAATGTACTTGGACCGCACCGTCTCTATCGTCTTCCCATCCGGCCCGCCGTGTTCGAGGGTTGTGGTCACCCCCGTGCTGTCCTGCACAATCTTGGTGGCAGTAACTGGGCGCTCGACGCTGGCGCCGTACTTGGCTAGACATTCGTCCAAAAACTTCTCCGTCTCTGCCTGCGAGACGTTCAACGGCAGGGTAAACTCGGTGTCGGTGGTGCCGAGGTCATCAAGGACCATTTCTGTTGCGAGTTTCTTGTTGACATACACGCAGCCGCCGTGCAAAATGCGGCCGCGCTGGACGATGGTATCGGCAGCTCCATGGCGGTTCAGCAGCTCGAGCGTTCGGGGCTGGATGACCAGGGCCCGGCTCTTGTCGTTCCGCACTGGTTCCTTGTCGATGATGCGGAAGGAAACGCCGTGTAAGGCGAGTTCGAGAGCGAGAGCACCCCCGACTGGACCCGCTCCCACGATCAGAACATCACAGTTGTGCGTCATGATGCCTGACTCGGGATTCTCGCAAAAAAGGAGGGGCTATGAAAAAAAGGAAAATTAAACGTAGGATAAAGATGTTCGAAGCTGTTTAGCTTTTGCAACTTGCGGTTGTTCAAGTGATTCTGAAATGATGAGCACAGAGAGGCGCACCCAGCCAGACAGACATGGCCGTGAATTTATTGTGAATAGCGCTCATCCTAATCGTGGCTGGCTGTTGGAGCATACGAGACTCGGCCGCTGGATCGGGGCGCGATCTGCCGACTCCCGGCGGGGCTGAGGGATCCTTCGTCGACGCGGGATGGGCGTTGGCGGGGGTTGGCGAATGCTGCCGAGACCTGTAGGATCCAAAAAGCCCGGGCCGGTAAGAGTGCGAGGTGCGAAGCCGGCAAGTCGGAGACCCGAACCACCGTCCCGCCCGATTGCTCGAGTCGGAGGTGGGCTAGCGTTGTTAGTTAACAACCAGTCATAACAAACCTGATTCGCCAATAATAACTGCTAGTTATCAGAGGCATTGAAATTTCCATGCCATCTGAACTACGCTTCGCCCCCGCATCGTCGCAAACAGGTTCCAAGCACCTACCTATGCTCCTACGGTAAGTTGGTCTTGAAGGAGGAGACAAGCGAATTGTGATTTGTTTAAGTTTCTCATCATCTCTGACCCTCCTTGCTAAGTAGACAGACCTCCACAGCAGTCGCAATGAAAAGGAGCGAAAGGGAGGGAAAAGAGAAAGGAAAACCAAAACTAAGCTTAATCCTCCACACGAAAAAGGAAAATGAAGAAATTGGATGGACGAACGGCCTAACAAATCCAGATATAACCTCCCACCAATCCCACCCAACAAACACCGAATTCAGCATGACTTGCCCCTACCGCCTTCCAAAAGATACCATTGACCGAGCGGCCAACCATGCCACCCTACCTAGGTCCTCTCCTAGAAAACCACAACCAACATCGGTCGCAACAAGAAGATAAAAGACCACCCCCCCTCTCCCCCCTCCCCCCGCTCTACCCAAACAATAACCCACAGCGCTGCCCGCTGCGCAATTCTGACAAGAACTCATGCCGTCAAGTTGAGTCGTGGTATCATAAACATTGCAAACTCCTGTTTTCCGCCAAACCTGCGTGCGACCTGCGATCGCATCAAATAACCAACACACAATCAACCCGGCCTAGGAAATAACATGATCCTTCCCCACACCAATCCTGATACGAGACTCAACGGCCAGAGTCGGGCGTGGAACTCCCAAGCTTCTTGGTCGATTTAGCCGTCCCAATGTGAGTATTGTGTACCTAGAAGGGTAAAGTAAAAGGTTCAGATTAGTTTTCCTTCACACAGCAAAAACGGCATCACAAAATTGAACAAGCATACCTTCGTCGCAAACCGCAAGCTGGTAATTGTCTCCTTTAGATGCGCCTCTAGCGGACTGACCATGACAAACATGAGGGTCTTGGAGTTGCCGCCTAGCGAGTACTGTAGCAGGTGCGTGAGGCGGGAGTTGCGGTACGGCACGTGGCCGGACCCGCGGCCTAGAGCCTCAATGACATCCCCTAAGCACGCGAGGCTCTTGTTGATGTTTTGTGTCTCACGCATCCGCTCGCCCTCTGCCTGCGAGTGCTTGAGCCGCTCCGAGCCGGCCAGGTCGACCAGGTTGAGTGTGCCCTCACAACGCTCGCCCGTCGCGCTGTTGTAGCCGACTAGCTTAAGGATGAATACCGAGTGGGATCGCGAGGAGCGCTCGTTGGCTTTAGTCGCCGCCACACTCCGGTTGTTTTGCGCCTGCTTCAGCATTGCCTCCACCCTTTCAGGCGAGTCGAGTGCGACCGTCTTGCAATTGACAACGGTGGTCTGCTTGCGCACGTCATCGTGCCGGATTTCGGGCCGTTTCCGGCTGTCCTTGTCCGACTCGCGGCCCGGCGTAAGCAAATCGTGTAGCTCCTCGTTGTACACCTCAACAAAGCTACCCTCCATCGTGTACGTCCAAGACTTCTCCTGCAGCTTGGTGATAGTGTCGTAGATCATGTGCGTGGCTCTCGGGATCATACCATCCGCCGAGGACATAGTGTACGTTTTGCCGGATCCCGTTTGGCCGTAGCAAAAGATGCACACGTTGTATCCATCGAGCGCGCTCTGTACAAGTTGCGAGATCTCGCCAAATACCTCCTCGTTGTGCACCGACGGGTCGAACACTCGGTCAAACTCAAAGGGGAGCACCTTGCGGCTGATGGCGCCGAGGCTACTCTTCTCCTCTGGGCCTGTCACATCAATTTGCGACGACGTCTTGACGTCGGGGAACGCGATCCGAGCCTCCTCTCCTTCCGTTGAGTCAAGCACCGGCCGAACTCGGCACATGACCCGGATGTTGCCCTTTAGCTCTTGGTACTTGTTGAAAAGTACCCGGCGCTCCGTCTCCTCCTTGATCAGCTTCTGCCGCGCTTCTTCGGCGATCTGTAGAGCTTCTTGAAGACGGGCTTCCATACTGGCAAAGGAGTCCGCTTGCTGCTTGTTGTCCGATTCGAGAAAATCAATCTTCGCCCGCAGCCCGCGCAGTCGCTCTTCCAGGGTCATACTTGTCGTCGTCATTTCGGCAATCTGCTGCTGGAGAGCTGTCTTAAGGGTGTGCTCGCGGTCCAGATCTGACTTGAGTACCTCGGTTTGTGACCGCATTTCCTGGATCTCGCGCTCCTTCTTGAGTAGCTCTAGGTTCAGGTCCTGTTGCTCCGCCCCGAGCTTGGAGCGCAGTTCCTGAAGCTCCTTGGAGTTCTGTGCGTGCTCATCGGCGAGCTTAGAGTGGTACTGTCGTTCCAATGTCTCCAAGGCCTCCCCATGCTCTCGTACCAGTCGGTCTAGTTCTCCTTTGAACTGGTGTCGAATTTCGTCAACCTCGTGTTTGTGTTCTCGCTGCCGGTCTTCAATGGCATATTTCTGCCTCCTTTGCTCTGCCTCAAGGTCGAACACTAAAGATTGCTTCTCTTGCTGCAGTGAGCTGTTTTCTTGCCGTTGGAGGTCTAGTTGCCCCTTAAGCTGGGAATTGTGGTCCATAAGGTGCTGACGCTCCATCTCAAGATCATATACTACACCCAGAAGTCAGTCCTTCGGTCCATTAACCTCACGCACCCACGGACAGCCAGCACTCACCTTTCCTTTTTTCCGCCGAGATGGCCGCCTCCATGTTTTGCTTGTCGGCTAGAGTAAGATCGAACGTCTCTTTCATGGCTTTGACTTCGCTGTCGAGTTGGTTTATCCGATTGTCGACATCCGAAACTGTGAAAGATGTTACGGTCGAGTCCTTGCAAAGATAATAATTTCGAAAAGCAGATGCCTTGAGAGTGCTCCACGACTTCGTCTTCGCCTTTGCCGACTCATACGCTGCATAAAACTTCGTAACAGTTGGCGGTGTTGTTGGTGTCGTTGGGGGTGGTCTCTGCGCATCGGCGGGCTGGGATGGGGTTCCTCTGGCCGCTTCATCGCGGCAATACTTAATGGGAAGACTGCTGTCCTTCGGGACATCCGACTAAGATGCTCGAGGCGGAAGCTGCCTTTGTTGCTCAAAGACCACTCGGCCTTCTTGGACGTTTTCAGGAGGCTGGTTGTCGAGAAAGACGTCTTCTAAACACTTGCTCGGCTCAAGGATACTGTGGATGCCCGACTGGGACTGAGAGATTACTGAATACTGGCGGGCGGCATTTCGCACCTTGTGCGACTGTGGGATGCGGGATGGGAAAACAGGGGGAAATTCTGTACCCTTGCCTGACCGGACCTGACCTTCCTCTTCCATCTCCCGGTGCGCCATAGACGTTGCAGGCCGGGTGCGGGTTAGCCCGCGTGGACGAGTGTTGGGAGATACAAAACCCATTGACGTCGGAGCTCTGCCTGTCGACGTCGGACGAGTAGTTGGGCCGATGCTCCGACCAAAGCTGCCGGGCGGCGCATGTCGGGATGAGGTGGGAGGTCGACTGGCGGCTAGGCTGGTCATTGACGATCCTTTGACACTACTCGCTCGGACGAGGTTGCCATTCATGGGAGGGTTGGCGGGCTTGAGTGGCTCGCCCGCCTTCTCCGCTAGGGTCTTGCGCTTCTGTTCTGGTTGGGATACTGCTTCGCATGGCTGTTTGTCAGTAATCTCCCCAAGTTATATCAGGCCGGCCGAGGTGCTAATGGCGTACCGCTCCCTTTATGAGGACGCTTCTGGGGAATACCAGTGGGTTGAGCCCGCGCATTGTTCTGGGAGTCGCTAATCGCCTGGAGACATGCCGTTGTCGGTCCAGTGATCGCGGATGCTGCATGTACTTGAGGCGGCTGTAGCCTTGATTGACGGCCCTGCTGTACAATTGTCAGTGACTAGTGTCCTTCGATGACGGCCTTCCGTCTCCCCCTTTCTGACGAGGCGCCTTTCTTTCCCTCGGTATCGTAACGTACTCGGTTCTCGGCGTTGTCCATGTTGAGGTTGCGCATGCGTGGAACGAGCAGATGGGCGAGCAAGTACGACAGGAGCAAAGCTCCTGGTGTGGTTGCGAGTGGTGCCGACGTTTTGAAGGGTGGGGTGACTTTTCTGGGGTATTGGTTCGGGGGTTATTGCCTTTCTTCCGCAATAGGCGGTTGTCAGATTACATGGAGAGCTCCGTTGACCCCGTTCACCAGGGCAACCAAAACAAAAAGAGGGGTGGAGCCAATGAGCGGGCAACAGGCCGCTTCGCTTGTGGGGAAAGCGACACTTCAGCCACCTGAGCCGCACAGCCACTGATTAAGCCACATACTGGCTGTTATTCAGGGTTAGGGTTTCAATACGGACTTGAACGTATTATGTAGGATCAGCAGGATCTGGACAACACCATCACATGCAAGCAGGCCGCCAGACTTTAACTTGCGCTCTACAGCAACGTGGAAGTCGCGAACCACCCAATCCATTGCCCCCGATAAGCAGCCCAATCTATCCTCGCCCAAATACCAGTTGCTGCAAACCCGCGAACGAATGCCGCAATAACTCCTGCATCGGCATCACGCCACCCGTTTCTGTCGCCCGACCTCCACAACGGTTCTCTCAGCCAAACCCCTGCCCTCATGGAGAAGTTTTCACAGTTTCGCGATAGGGGCAAGTTCTCCAATTCTATGCAACCCTCTTATGCTGTTCATAGCTAACCGTGCATTAACAGGATCCGGAATCTCGCCGTTCCTGCCGGTAACCACGGAATCCTCCATCTTCGGGACCCTTTTCCACGCGACCCTCTTTTTCATCCGCCTCCCCTTCTTCATCTCCCTTACACTCGCCTACTTCCTTATTCTCAACAACCTCCCGTTTATACCGACGGTAGCCCGAAAGCTGCTGCTATGGGCACTTCTCGGTGTGCCCGGCGTCTGGTGGGTGGACCTGCAGCTGGACGGCGTCAAGCGCGGTTCGCTTAGCCAACAGTCCCCTTCACGAGTACCGCACCCGGGCTCTATAATTGCCGCCAACTTCACCACCCCACTCGACGCACTGTACCTTGCGGCCGTGTTTGACCCCATCTTTGTCGCTGCACACCCCTTATCACGCAAGGTCCGGCGCACCAGCCTCCTATCCGCTATCTTTGCCGCCATCTCTCCAGCCGCACAAGTTGCCACACTCGATGAGTGGGAGGGACAGTCGTCCGCCGGAGAATTGACTGACTTGCGTGCGCTGCTATCCCGCCACCCAGACCGTGTCATCGCCGTGTTTCCCGAATGTGGTACCACCAATGGCAGGGGCATCCTCCCCCTCAGCCCCTGCTTGTTGACGGTCCCAGCTGAGAACGCCATCTTCCCGCTCAGCTTGCGCTACACGCCGCCTGATGTTGCCACACCGGTTCTAGGGACTAAAGGCTTCGCCGGCTTTGTGTGGAAGCTGTTAGGCCGCCCGACACATTGTGTCAGGGTACGGATCGCGGAGGGCGTGTCCAACACCGCCAAGGTGAAGAATGGGACGTCAGCGCGCCATCCTGCTGTACCTAACACTGCTGGCGGGGTTGGTTGGGCTGGACGTGCGGAGGACCAACCCACAGCAGAGGAGCAACAACTATTGGACGGTATTGGGGAAGCGTTGGCGCGGTTAGGGCGGGCAAAGAGGGTTGGCTTGACGTTGAGGGACAAGAAGAGATTCTTGGCGGCTTGGGCGAAGAGGTAAAAGGGGTAAAGAACCACGGGTCGAGGTGATGCATTACCGAATACAACCCGCCGCATGGCGTAATTGAGCATTGTTATTTTATTTCCAGTGGATAGGTGGTGTGGTAAATGTTTACGGATGCGTAACGCTTGTGGGCAAAGCAATGCGACGCTGACTACTGTATTTTCTACTGCGGGCCAACGACGGACATAAAACTTAAGAGTAAATTTTAGGCTGCGCAACAAACGCATATCCACCTTTTTGACGATACTCCCAGATGGCAAGAAAACAGTAACCGCCACCCTCGTTTATACCCGCAAATAAACGCAAAATGTATGTACATATAAACCAGCCGAACTTCCGCAAACCCCTATTTTATCCCTTTTCCTCACATCCGCCCGTAGTTAAAGCCGGATTGCTCACGCCTTATCTGTAACGCACCCATGGCTAGCATCGGTGACAAGCCGGGCGTACTTTGCCAAGGTCCCGCGCGGGGCCCTGGCCTCGGGCGCCTTCCATGCCTTGCGGCGCTTCTCCATTTCCTCGGCGGGCACCTCGAGGTCGAGCACGCGCTTCTCAGCATCAATGACAATCTTGTCACCATCCTGAACCAGGCCGATCGGCCCACCCTCCATAGCCTCGGGCACGATATGCCCAATCAAGAAGCCGTGGCTACCGCCTGAGAAACGGCCATCTGTGATGAGGGCGACGTCGTTTCCAAGGCCGGCTCCCATGATCGCCGAGCTAGGTTTAAGCATCTCAGGCATGCCGGGACCACCCTTGGGGCCTTCGTACCGGATCACCACCACCGTTTTCTCGCCCTTCTTAAGCTCGCCACGCTCAAGCGCTTCGATAAAGGCGTCCTCGTAGTCATACACTTTAGCCGTACCCTCAAAACGAAGACCCTCCTTGCCTGTGATCTTACCGACCGAGCCGCCGGGGGCGAGCGAACCACGCAGGATCTGGATGTGGCCTGTCGGCTTGATCGGGTTGCTCACTGGCCGGATAATGGGCTGGTCATCGGGGAAGCCCGGCAAATCGGCCACGTTCTCTTTCAAGGTCTTGCCTGTGACGGTGATCCCCGAGCCACTGATGAGACCCTCTTTAAGGAGGAACTTGAGCAGGGCAGGGGTCCCGCCGATGTTGAACAGGTCTTCCATGACATACTTGCCCGAGGGCTTAAGGTCAGCTAAGAGCGGTGTCCGGTCCGAAACGGCCTGGAAGTCATCGATGTCGAGTTTGATCCCAACCGAGTCCGCGATAGCGATGAGGTGGAGCACGGCGTTAGTACTGCCACCCAAGACGCCGACCACAATCATGGCGTCTTCAAACGCCTGCCGTGTCAAAATGTCGCTGGGCCGGATGTTCTCCCGAAGGAGGGTCTTGACGGCCTCACCGACGCTCTCGCACTCGGCCTTCTTCCGCGGGCCCTCGGCGGGGAAACTACTGCTGCCCGGGAGGGTCATGCCAAGGGTCTCAATGGCAGATGCCATGGTGTTGGCTGTATACATGCCGCCACAGGCGCCACCACCTGGGCAAGCGTTGCGGATGATGTCGAAGCGCTGTTCCTCGTTGATCTCGCCCGAGAGATATTGTCCGTAGGACTGGAACGCGCTGACGATGTCGATGGGCTCACCCTTCATAGTGCAGCCGGGTTTGATGGTACCGCCATACACCATCAGACTTGGCCGGTTAACGCGGCCCATTGCAATCAGAACACCAGGCATGTTCTTGTCGCAACCGGGCAGCGAGACGTTGGCGTCGTACCACTGACCCTGCATGACAGTCTCAATACTGTCCGCAATGATCTCTCGGCTCTGCAAGCTGTACCGCATCCCGGTAGTGCCCATGCTGATGGCATCTGAGACTCCAATGGTGTTGAAGCGCATGGGAACGAGACCGGCCTTCTTGACACTTTCACGGACTAATGTTGATAGGTCGAGCAGGTGCATGTTACAAGGGTTGCCCTCATACCACACAGACGAGATGCCGATCTGAGCCTTGGACATGTCCTCCTCGTTCATGCCGGTGGCGTAGAGCATGGCCTGCGAGGCGCCCTGGGACTTAGGCTGTGTGATATGCGCCGACACTCGATTGAGCTTCTCCTCGGTATATCGGCGAGGTGTGGTGGAGAGGAAGCGGCTGGAACGTAGGGCCACGGAGTCAGGACAGGTTTTAAACAAGCATGGGCAGGTAAGGGAAACATACAGATGATTCCTTAGGGGTAACACCCGGCTCGAGGCTAGGGCCCTAGGAACGCTCCCGCGTAGGAGCGACGGCGAGAGCATGGCGCTCGCGGGAAGTATGCGCACGGCCGAGATGTGATGGTGGACGGATCAATGAGCTCAAGACATAAAACCCGGGATGGCCTTGTTTAATCCAAAAGCCCCAAAACCTCGGTCAATTGGTCCTCGAGCGGCGTTGGGAAGAGCGAATTGTCAAGAGATTTGGATGTGAGTCGAAGTTTTGGGCGAAGTCGGAGCTAAAATACCAATGTGTGTTCCCAAGTCACAGGGACACAGACAAGGGTCCCCGCGGGATCCCCGCAGCAGCCGTGGTGTCGAAATGCAAGCTTCCCGATTGGCCGATGGATCTCAAAGGGGGAGCTTGGGTACAGACATACCAGCTTGGGAGTGTCCTGTTTATCACACCCAAGCCAACATCCAAACCCAAACCCACCCATCTAGTTTCGTTTCCAGCCTTTAACCCCAAGATATCCTGCGTTGCACTAAACAGCCTGCAACTGGTTGCCAAGTTTTGTAAATGCCCACCCAATTCCTCAGCTACGAATTTCCCGAACAAAAGACAAGGTGGGAGCAAATCCAATGCCCATGCAAACCGTATTTTGTTCCTCTGCGTCACAACGCCACCCTGCTCCAGGAAGTCCTAACAACGCTCATGCGTGATAGTGCTCGCGCGCTATGGCTTTGCCTTTCCGTCACCGACTCCCGGCATCTCATCTCCCTTCTCCCTCCGGTGTAAAATCTCATCCACGATTCCCATCTCCTTCGCCTCGTCTGCTGTCAAATACTTATCCCGCTCCATCATGTCGTTGACAGCCTGCATGTCGTACTTCTCATGCCCGAAAGATTTATTGATGTGGCTCTGCACAATCTTGTTGATCTGCTCTCGCACCCTCTGTATCTGGGTTGCGTAGATTAAGATGTCCGCCGCTTGCCCACGGGTGCCACCAAGGGGTTGGTGCACCATGATAGAACTATGCGGCAAGGCATACCGCTTTCCAGGCTCGCCACCGATCAAAAGAACCGCGGCCATGGATGCGGCGCCCCCAACGCATACAGTTGAGACGGGTGACTTGATATAAGTCATCGTATCGTATATGGCGAGTCCTGAGCTGACCTCGCCCCCGGGGGAGTTGATGTACATTGTGATTGGTTTCTCAGGGTTGTCCGACTCGAGCCACAGCAACTGGGACACGACCGATGCTGAGACGGTGTCGTCAATTGCTCCATTAAGACATATAATCCGTTCCTGGACTGACTTAGCGTTGTGCGGCCGGGCAGAGGGGGGGCGTGCCCAGGAAACCAGAAACTCACTTGCAATAGCTTCGAGAATATATCGGCTGTGTTTTACAACTAAGCGTCAGCAAATGGAGTCTCAGATGATGTACAGCTGAAACCCACATGTACGCCACCCTCCGGCCTATCTATTTCGTCAGTAAAGCGGCTCCCAATCCCAGATATTGACAACGTACTGTGACCTCGGTGATGTACGGCATTGGAATGCCGCTCGTTGGGGGAATCGCGCCACCAGGCGCGTTAAATCTGGAAAACCGACGAAATTGTGTTCTCCCTAGCCTCTGAGACAGCCGCAAGGCTGCGCGCTGGGCATTCATGTTGAAATATTGGGGCCGTTGAGGAGTGACGTCCGGGACATAGAGGAGCCTCCCTGGAATGTTTAGAAAAGGTGAGGTGTGGGAGGTTCAGAGGGACAAGGGTGAGCCGCGCGATGGAACTTGACCCACAGTGGGTTTCACCTCGCGAGCACCCTGGGCTTGGCGAACCTCCACTTGACATGCGATCAGGTTCTTATTGGTCACAGGCTTTCTCAACGGTGCCGTTTGAGCAACGAAAAATTACAGTGAAACCCGCGATTACAAACATATCAAACCCATTCACTTTGGCCGGCATTTCCTACACTAGTGTGTTCGAGTAGTTTTGCTAGGAGCGTGGACATACACTACTACAAAACCCGAGCTTGGCTGTCGCTACCTTGGTGCCTCACCTATTTTACCTGAGGCTCGATTTTAACATTCTCCCTCATAAAATCAGGTCCCATAACTACAAGCTCACAATCAACCACCCTCGAATACCGCTTTGGTGTGTTTTTATGGGAAATTTCGAGGCAGTGTAGCCATGAAAGGCCTTTTCACCGGACTTCTTCGTCTTGCGAAAGATCCCCTGGCTAAGTTGCTCCGTGGGGGAGAGAGAGATGCACAGCAACACGAGCTTCCCCCATCTCAAACTCATTCTCCTAGAAAGCCAAGCAACAAGGCACATGCGAGGGCCGTCCGAGCTCGTACCAGCCCCCAAGCTGGTGACCTCGATTACTGGGATTTCGACATCGACCTAGGAAGCAACACGATTAGCACTGCCGTTGGCGACTTGCCGATTTCCCCGTTGATGGACCCAAATTTTCATACGGCAAGACAGAAGTTCACTCAACGAAAGCCCCTGTCATCTCCATACAAATTAACCAAATTCCAAAGAAGCCTTGCTCGCAATCCCTATGGTAATCGTCCATATTCTTTTTTGCGTAGTATTTAAGAACCAGTCTGACACGGTCTCCAGCTCTCGCCCTAGCCACGCCCATCCGAAGATGTGCGATTACCAAAACTCCAGTCCCTGAATATTTTCTCCAACGTTTTCTAATTGTCGCCCATCCCGAGACTAAAGCACCTTACTTCTTCCCCGAGGACCTAGAGTCCAAAGCTGCCGATACAACTGCGGCCGGAAGCCCTTCCGGGGGTCCTAGGCCAGCCGCGGGGCAAGAAACTAGTGACGCCGTGGATTTAAATGGCCCTACTGAGGTTAGCAGAGGGCCAGGCGATCCCGTGGACACAGAGAAGCTCACCCGGGAGGACGTGGAATTGTCCAAGTCGGACATGGGGTCGGACAAGCTCACACCCGCCCCCGAAACCGAAAACGAATCTAAGCAGTGGGATGACAAGAAAACGGGCCCCAGCTCTTATGCACTTTCAAGCCAGAAATTCCTCCAGGAACTACAGAACCCCAAATCGAAGTATTTTGTGGGCTACAGGAAATTCTTCCGCATGAGCGACAAGGGGCATAGGCTCCACGTTATGATCAATAACGCGACCTGGCGCAGTGATATGGATACCGTCATCCTCGATCTCCTACGCAAACGCGCGGTTGAGGCCTTGTGTCACTTTGCGAGACTATCCCAGGAGCAAGCACGGGGTTTCATTGTCAAGTGCGAGCGCTGGGATGATGTTAAGGAGCTTAAGCATCGGGGCTGTCTCCTATACCTAGGACAGGCCAAAGGAGCGACACCTGGCCCTGCATTGGAGTTCGTTCCCCCAAGATTATCATCTATGGATGTTGGGCCTGCTAAGTTCGGGGTATCGAAACTCGCCGTCCACAACTTGCGTGGGATTCTAGGGGACGAGTATCTTGAGAAATTGAGGCAGCGTTCAACTCTCCTTGATGAGGGGTCCCTGTTTCTCCTCGGAAGGCAGGCTACTGTTAACTTGCAGATGCTGCTATGGAAAATTCAGGGGTATGCAAGCTGGGAAAACCACCAAACACCGCCTTGAGAAAAATACACCGAGGCAAATCAACGCTTCTCATCGAGACGCCCGGACCGGCTACGAGATCTTTGGGCTTCGGCATATAGACCCTGGGTAATGGGTCAACCTCGTTCTTTTGAAACGACGAGGGATCTTGGGTATCCGCAAATTAGTTCCTGTCGCCCCGGGACCGGACAAATGGAGTAGTTCTTGACAACACCAGCTCAGCATTTCCTACTATCCATTAAACCCGTTTGGTCCACCACACTTGTGAGCTACCGGTGGCTCTCGTGCTAACTTAGCGCAAAGTCTCCAGTCGCTTAGACAACCAAATCAGGCATAGGGGAGGATGTTCAGTGCTCGGTAGCGTCGTTGATGTAGAATGTCCTGGGGGAGAAGAATGCCCACCCGAAAAAAATGGGCACGTAAGGGCAAACATACTTGAGGCGGCGTGGGTTGTTCGGGGTGTGAAGGGCTTGAATTGGGCCCATATTCGGTACCGAGGAGAAACCAGAGCATGCCGGCGGGAAACCCTCCCAATCTTGCGATGAGTTCCAAGATGGGCGGAAAACTGAGTAGAACTACTGAAATTTAGTCCATCAAGGCGGCAATCCCTTCCTTATTCGATGAAGGAGATGTTCCTTGATTGAAGCATGTAATGATTCTGCTTCCAAATTTCGGACTGGTGATTCCTTGCCAGTGGAGACGGAAGGCGGGAGGGATGAAAATCACTGACGGAGGCGTCTGAAAGGGATGGTGTTGTCAAATATCGAGGGTTAGGGTTGATATGACAGGGGTTTAACGCGCTAATTGGGCTATCCTTAACTTGCCCGAACGAAGCGCGTCACAACGCGTCTCCCCCCATCGTAACCCTTCGTCGACCTCGTCTGCACGAGCCGCTTCCGAAAGAGCGTTCACAAATTTCCTAAGCAACCCGTCAAACCACAGCCGCCATGAATCGCATCGATATAAAGAGGACAAAAGTCCTCGACCACCGCAAAAAACAGTTCGCGGATCCTTCGTACAAGGACACGGAGTATCCGCACCGCCTGAACTTCTACTCCACGCCGCCCACCGCCGACATCACCCTAGAGCAATTTGAGCAATGGGCGATGGACAGGTTGAGGAGTGTGTACACCTACGCTGGAAGGAGCCTCTAGAATAACCAAAAACTGACTACGAATGGCACAGTCCTTGCTGAACTTGAAGCGTGCTCTTTCCGAAACAAGACACCCGCCGAAACTGCCGTTCACATGAAACCACTGCTGGAGAAGTACCTTCCGCTCGATTCGACAAGCTCCAACAGCTCCGAATTAAATATTCAACGCCAACGGGACCACTACAGCCATTTCATTTTGCGCCTAGCGTTTGCGTCGACCGAGGACTTGCGCCGTCGTTTTACTCGCGTCGAGACGATGCTGTTTCGTCTACGCTTTCAGGCCGACGACTCGCGCGAGCGGGCTGCTTTTGTGCGCTCTCTAAACCTTGACTGGGAACCCGTGTCGGAAGAAGAAAAGCGCGAACTAGCACCACTGCTGGCGACGACAATCGGGTTTGGTCACGGGAGGCGGGCGCAGCAGGTGATGGACGAAGAGTGGTGCAAGGTGGATTGGATGCGGGTACCAGATTTGACAGAGGGGCGGAAGGTGTACATTAGGGCGGGCAAGGCATATGTTCCGGCGAGGGAGCAGCAGAGCATGGTCCTGAATGCGTATACGAAACGGCTGGAGCAGGCCTTGGAAGTAAGCTCCGCCGTCCACGAAAAGCTGAGTGTGAGGGGCGTAACTGACAAAACCATATTCAGCTCACATCACGCGCCCTTCCACGGCTAGACGAAGACGACCGGCTCACACCGATCCTTGACCATCTCTCGAAAAGTTTCATCGCACCCGATGCGAGCTACACGGGCTCGGGCACCGCGATCGACGGCGCTGAGATCACGGCAGGTAATATGGATAATCTGTCACAGCACTTCCCCATGTGCATGTCAAACCTACACCGCTCTCTCCGGCGCGATGCACACCTTAAACACTTTGGGCGGTTACAATACACACTCTTCCTCAAGGGCATCGGACTCAACCTAGAGGAGTGTCTCATCTTTTGGCGATCGTCGTTCCGCAACATCACGGATGACACATTCAACAAGGACTATCGCTACAACGTGCAGCACGCATATGGCCAGGTAGGCGGCGACATGAACCGCCGCGGTGGTGGGTACAGCCCTTTCAGCTGCCAGAAGATCCTGACGGAGCGCGCGCCCGGATCTGGGGAGGCTCATGGTTGCCCGTACCGCCACTTTAGCCTCGACAACCTCACCGCACTGCTCCGCGCGTCGGGGGTGACCGATCGCGGGGTGCTGCAGGGCGTTAAGGAGGACACAGACAGCCAAAAATTTCACATGGCTTGTAATCGGTACGTCCTTAATTTCATTCGCTTATTTTCTATGCCAGTGTCAAATACCGAAACCCGAAGTGTGTGGTGTAAACGCAAAAGCTAATGGTTCGCCCCTGGGTGGATGTAGCGTCTTCGAGCATCTGCACCACACGGAACTGAAACGAGCCAAGGACGATGGGATCATGACAGCGGCGCAGCTGGACACAATCGTACACCCGAACGAATACTTCAAGCGGAGTTATCAGCTCAAAAATATGGATGGTCGCAGTAAGCAAAAGCAAGAGGGAGATATCAAAATGGAAGGGTAGGGCAGTTGATGAGAAGAATGCAATGCACCAGAGAGAAAGCAGGAGGCAAAACGGGGCTGTTTATTCCAGAAAGGTCAGCTGCATCGGCGGCTGACACCCTGCGCGTTCTGTCTCTGTGATGAGAAGTGTGGGTGGTGTGGTGGTTACGCGTATGGTTGGCTTCTGCGGGCTAGTCGCGGTCACCGACCCGGGGGTAATGAGGCTTTTCTATAATTGTGCTTGTGAAAGGCGAGCACATGGGCATGGGAAGTGTTGTCAGCAGCCAACTCATCCGGAAATGGAACTAACCACTTTCTACAACGACCCGGTGACCTGTGCCGGCCTCACCTATTTGAAGCACACCTCAGCCTGCCTGCAAAAGACACAGGAATTGAGAGAGAAAGCAGAAAACATCCGCTAAACTACAGTAAGCACTGGTTATAATCTGATACGTGTACACTGCCTACTACAGAAGTTGATACAAGGGTAGCCGATGCAAGGTATCAACAACCAAGAGCGCGCCCACAACCACATTCAAGCACTGAATAAATCGGCCAACTTCGAAAAACAGACAACAACGCTGTGTAGCCCATGTTTCAAAGTTTCCGAGGGGGAGCGACACGAGTACCTCCATACATGTTTTCAGGTACAGTACACGACAGTACCTAATGTAACAGCCACGCCAGGCGGCATCAGTCAGTTCTAGCCCCCTCCCCCCCCCCGGCCCCCCGATCACACTCGATCGCTCACAGCGGTGGTCTCGATCAAGCCGCCCTGAACACAAACGACGATCAAGATGGATACAGTTTGAACGTGAGGGCGGCACGTTCGCGACGTAACCGAGATAGACCGAGATGGGGGGAGTGTGGGGGGCCAACCATTGCTTCGCCTCGGGGAACGCTGCCCCTTTCTCCCAAACTAGGTACTTTTCATGCTTCCCGTTCTTCATCGGCGATGGGCAGGAAAAAGAAAAGGAACATTATTTTCGAAACCGAGCGCCGCCATCCGGGTGTGTTCCCTCGAGCGACCAAGCCTCCTCAAACCAACTACATCTGTACCTAGCGAAGCCAGAGTGCGAGGAAATTTGCGGGGGCTGTTGCGGAGGAGCAATCTCGGCTTCAAGCCCATCCGAAACTTGTGAGAGTTGGGCCAGTAACTAGTTAGCCGTTGTGACTTTTCGCCAATCCAGCTCGTTGTATTGCAGCATTGCAGGGCATCTTCCCCGAAGACCAGTTGAGTGACTTGGCGTCGACAAAGTGTCGTCATATAGGTGTATCAGGCCGAGACGCATGTCTCCTCGTACCGGAGCGTAAAATAACAATTTGTATCTTGTTCCGACTTTGGCGGGCCCGTCAACTCCACGTTCCCTCGCACTAACTAACTAGTTATTGAGACTACGACAGGACTCAATAGTTGGCAAGGTCTCTCATGTTCGACTCGGCCCCCTCAGCGGGGCACTATTGTGCCAGCATCACTACTGTTGGTTCGTGAGTTGGCCGGTGCTAGTCACGATGCCGCCAAGCAAAAAGCCAAGTACCGGAAAGTTTGCCAACCTTTTGGCATTCAATAACTAACTGATTTACAATTACGTCATGAGAACCATGGTACTCAAATCCTCTTGCATTCTTTGCTGCGAAGTCTCGGAAGTCTAGGCAGTTTAGGATAACAATCCAGCCTTTAGAATAGTTGAGGATCGAACATCGTGAGTGGATTCAAGGCTGCAAGCCATAACTCGCGATCTGCGGTTGCCTGTGACTTCCCGAAGGATCGCCAGCGTCGAGAACACGCGGCCGGGAAGAACCCCCCGGCTGCGGAGCAAAGCCGACGATCCCGTTTCTGGGCACCCTTGAGGTAATCTGGTATCCGTACACTACATGTAAGGAGTGTACACTAGCAAAGGTGTCTACGGCTTCTCTTCACTGCCAAACGAGAACTGAGGCTAATGCAACAAATAGTTAAATTCAATTTAAACGTACCGAGTGGTAGAAAAAAATCAAGGGTCACTTCGTCGGTAAAACTAGGCTGCGCGGCTTGCATGATCATTTCGAAAATTACATACGTGTAAAAGCTCGCCTCAACACAAAGGATCAAAGGCATAGGGTGTGGTTCTAACGTACGGAGACATTCCCATCTTTCTTTGTCGGGGGGCAATGCGCTTGGAGCTGGTGATGGTCGAGGAAAAGCAAGGAAAAGCGACGAAGGTCCCGACCTTGGAGTTACATGGGCCAACATGCCCGAAGAACCATCTAGCCCAAAGCTGATGACAGCGATGTGCAGGGTCTAGTCAGGGAAAACAGGGCGCGGTTCTTGGGGCCTAACCCCCTGGCCGCTGCGGAAAATGTTATTGGAGGGTTTGGGAATCGGGAAAATTGCCGAAAACTCAATCTGTTGATGGACGACGAAAAATCATCATTGACCTCAAGCTTCTCAGGACAGAAATGGAAGCAAGGGAAGGTGCTGGGCAAGAAACCCGAATCTTTCCCGAGGACTGGGGCGCCGCGCCGACTGCGTGGCAAATTCACATCGGAAGATCCACCAGCCCGAGGGACTGGACGCCTTGTGGAAAGAAAAAAAGTCGACGCTCAACACAACAAGCTTGCAGCCTTGGAGCCCGGCATGGGTTCGAGACCGGAAAAGACATCCATACCTAAGGTAGTCAGTACACTACCGTCCCTAAGCTGCAGGCACAAAACCTAAGGGCCGAGCGGGCAGACAAGGGAATCGACACGCCGGCAATCACCAACTCTTCAAGGTTACCTGGTGAGAAAAGATGGGAGAGGTTCCAGGTTGTTGCGCTTCCTGGAAATCTCTGAACGTTACAATACATACCTACTGTGTACTGAGAATGATCGCTGGAAAAATACCTCCCTAGGTAATTGGCTCGGCGACGGCGACGAACGAACAGGGGCTGTGAACCGCCCGCCCTGCATTGGATTGGACGGCGGCAGAAGGAGGGAGTTGTCATCCGCAGCGACCGCAGGTTGTGCGACACAGCTGCAGCTTGCCCTTCTTGTACAATTTCTGCAGCTCAATTCGGCGGCGTGCGGCGGCACATATGTGAGACAGAGATGCTGCACGGCCACCCTGCGTCGTGTGTGCCACGTATTCCCTCACTGCATTCTTTCCCAGGCACAAGAAGCAACGAAGCTTGGTTTGAAGGGTACCAAGTTCTACAGAGGTTTGATGTGTTCCTCGAAATTGCGGGGCTTCCCATCGTTTTCGGAGAGGTTACCGAGACAAAGCCGCGCTGGGGGAGCGGCCATACCTACCTACCTACCTACCTAGAGAGCCTGGTTACCACGTTACCTAGAAGGCCGTAATTCCTCAAGCCTGCCAAAGTCTCGGAGGCGAAATTTAGGTGCAAATCGGGAAACAGTTTCTTGATTTTTCGGTTTCATGCTTCACTGTATATGGACGCCATGGAAAAATACAATAACATGTTGGTATCGTGCTTCTATAACTCCACCCCGAAAAGGTAAAATGTTGGTATCTCATGTTTTACGCCCTGCGGCGTGTGCCAGTTCCAGTGTATCCCGTCCCAAATTTTACATCACCCCTCATTTCTTCCAAGACGCCGTCGCTGATGCCGAAATCAAACTTGAAGAACCCTAGCGCTGAAACAAGAAGTGATAAAAGGAAATCGAAAGCCCGATGCCTGTAACAGGTTGGGTAAACAAGGCGCATGCATTATCCAGATGCAGCGTGTGGGAAATGAAACCCTTCGTGTCAACATGAGAGGGGAATAAAAGGCCGCAGAAGCACGACAACATCGTCGTGTTGCATGCGCCGACCCCTCTTTTTGAAAGATCGGCCAAGACACCAAGCAAGTCGACGTCAGAGGCTTGGCGAACGGAAGGAGAGCCACCAGTGAAGGCCGCGCGCGATTGGCGGAAGGGTGGTGTCGCAGGTTGGAGGTAGTTTGGCGACCCAATGGGGTGCTTCGGAGTCGAAACCCGCAGCGGCCTGACGCACAATGATGAATTTGTGCTCTAGAACGGAGGATGAAAGCGCTGCGCGCTGTTGGGCGACCACTGCGGGAAACTTGGTGCCACAGCTCATGGGCCGCGACTCGCACGGGGCTGTTGATGTCGACAGCCCTTGCTACCCGGAGAAGGCGGAGCGTAAAATGGCTTCCGCGTACCCGGGAGTAAATCTAGGTCAAGGTCAAAACAAGAAAAGAAGCGATTGCCGAGGCGAGGTATGTCGTGGGAAGGTCCGGGCTTAGTTGGTTGAGGCGCTGCTGAAGTCCGGTGGAAAACGGAAATATCGGGTCTAGGCATCGGTCGCGCTGTCGTCCCAAACCACCAACCTGCCAGGCACGGGAGGTAACAGCTAGCAGCCTGCGGGGATCGGGACATGGAAGGCTGAGGAACTTAGCCTCGAGACCCGACTCCCCGAGACCTGCGGCTGCAGCCATGCGCCAGAAGATGCCGTCGAGTCGAATGATGGGGGGGCCAGATCGGCGGCGAGCCCGTTGAAGACTGGTTGTCCTGGCGGCCCGGTCATTTTGGTTGCGCATTCCAAACAAATACACCCACCTCGTCCGCATGGGTACGAGATTCATGTGTAGCCGACCATCTTAGCGCAACGGGTGCAGTAGTAAATGTTGGTTCCGATCTGGACCATGCCGGAGAGGCTCGGGTCGTCGGTCGAGGTGATTTCCTCGGCACGCGCACATCGCAAGCAGCGGATGACGGCGACCTGGACGGTGGGACGAGAGGGTGAATCCATGCTGCGCCGCGCGACGGTCGTAGAGCTCATCGCGCTAGATGAGGGGAGGTCCGAATCAGACCCTGAATATGCCGAAGAGGAAGATGAAGTCGATGCGGAGGAGATGCTGCCGGTGTATGGTACTGCTGGGGGACGTGATGTGGCGGAGGACATTGTTGGCGAAGTGGTAAGCAAATGAGGTTGCTAAACTGAGCGAGCGATTTCGAGGTGGAGTCTAAGTTGAAACCATTTGAAAGTTTAGTCGGGTGGTGAGTCGAAACGTTGTTTGGCTCTCAAAAGGTGCGGCCGCAAGTTGGGGGGGCTGTCGGGGCTTTATTCCGGGGAGAGTGCGAGTGCTGCGGGAGATGGGCTGGGCCAGACCAACGCATGGCTCTGGCTCTAGCCCCGATGGCCAAGGAATGGAAAGGCTGGGATCCTGGGCGCCCTGGAACCAAGGGGGGGGGTGTGGAAATCCGAGGTTCAAATGGCCCACTCAGGGGTGTGGGGTGCGGAGAGGTGTAAGGTCAGGTAATTACACTTCCGTACGAATGTGTAGTGTACGTCGCCGAACTGCCCTGGCCACACTCCTCCCTCAGACTGTCTCGGCTTTGAATGTTTGGCTCAATCAATGACCGGGCAGCGTCTTGTTCGCGGTGTTTGTTAGCAACGATAAGTGAACCGACGAGGGAGAAGCTACTTCTGTCAATGACTCATGGATACGGTTCATTTTCATGCTGTTTTCTTTGTCTATTTTCTAGGCCTGTTTAGAGTGGATGGGCCTTTTCTTGGCAGGCCCACAACAGCTGGAGGTCGAAAGGTGGGACGAAAATTCTTGGGACTGGCAGACGACCATCGGTCACCTCATCATGATCATATGTACCTTCACCTCTGTGTGTTTTGCATTATCACGGCTGCACAGAACCATCATCATTTCCATATCACGGCCTGAGACCGTCGCTTGTTGGTCTAGAATCGGCTTGGGTTTTGGTGTATTTTGTGTGGCGTTTGAAGGCGCGATCGCAACCAAGAAGCCCGATCTGGCCGCCTTTCTTTTAGGCAATCTGTAGTGGGGCCACCACCCCGCCATCGAGGTTCAAGAGACCGAATCTGCGATTACACGTCCATAACTGCCCAGCCGCAAAGCCTTCCTGACATTGCGTAACAGTGTGGTCCGATGCCTCCGATCCAACTTTCATGATAACTCGACGCCATGTTGCTCAGATCGAAACCATACACGGCTCTACATAACTAGCAGGCGTGAGGCTCGGGACTGTGAATCCCGATACGGCGTGTCTACTACCTAGGTACGTAAGTGAGCTCCCACAGTGTGTGCAGCGTCAGTGTCGAGCTGTCATTTTCCTTCCTTCTTCCGACTCCCAGATGGTATGATGACTGGAGCTCAAAACAAAAGCTTTCATCCCATTCATGCAAGCTCTTTCGTGGACGGGCCCAGTCCTCTGAGAGGCCTTTAATTCCCCGTGGGACAAAAGAATGTTTCACCTTGGGACCCACTTGCCGTTGGCTTCATTTCTCAGAAACGTCCACTGTGAATTTGAGGACTGTCTCGTCGCCTGTTGCGGGGAAATTGGGCAAGGGGGCAGGGTGGGTAAGAAAGACTACTCGCAGTGTAGTGCAATGTAGGAAACCTTCCCAGGCAGGCCTTGCTTTGCTCCAAACCCTCTTCCTGCCTCGCGGGGGGGAAAATGTGGTTGCCTTCCTGGGCCTGAGAAAGAAAGAAGTCTGGCCCTCTTCCGAAAGACCCGGCATCTCAGCAATCTCCTATGCTTGGCACGCAGCATCTTCGCCTCGCGACTTTCCACGCAACGTTCGAGACCGGTCGATTGGTTCGCCGCAACCCCAAAGATCCGCCACCTGCTGACCAAACGCGAAACCTTGAAAGAAAAAGACATGCGAGCATCAACAAAGCCATTTACAAGCAGTCAATGATTGGCCTGTGTCGACCTTTCCGCGGTGACTCCGTTCTCAAACCTCGCTTCGACAGGACGGCCTAGAAGCCAGGATCGACAAAAAAGCTGTCCGTTCCACGTGAACCCTAAGAACCCGAACTCTTCCCGTCGTTTGGGTTTGACCCGTCAAGGATCGAGAAACTGATTGTCTCGCTGGCTAAGGGAGCACGTGGGTAGTTGGAGAGTATTCGTACCGGTAAGTGAACGTTTCTAACTTTGTGGGCGTGGGAAAAGGAATAGATCTTAGACAAGTCGAAAAACAAAAACAATTTGAAGTCTCCTCGCTAATTGAAAACTTGTCCATGTACAGTACATACATGTATGTATACATTCTCAATTTTGCTTCCCCGTATCTATCAACCGAAGTTGTCCGCTTCGCTGACCACGACGCCTCATCCCCAATACGACTCCCGACATCTCAAGTCTCGGCCAGTGAGAACGCTCCCCAAATATGACTGATAGTATGGCCGAGAGTCACCGACTTTGTATAATTCTTGTGTTTAGGGTTGGCGGGGTGGCCGAAGTCTTCCCGTTTAGGTACAACGCAGATCAAGACACAACCTTGTCCATCGGTGCTCGAGAGCTCCGTAATTATGAAGTGTACTTTGTTCCACAACTAAACTCATCATGAGCCGCCCAACGGTTGGTCTGTATTAAGATACTAGCTAGTAATGTGTATGGTGCTCTTCCCTGCTACGCACCCGAGTTTGTCTCATTGTGATCCAGTATGTATCGTGGTATCTCACGCTGTGTCAGATTATTAGGAGGAGAGGCATGAGCCTTCTGTAACTGTGTATCCACCGATATTTGAGCTTGCTCACTTATTCGTCATCTATAGCTTGAAGACGTCGACCTTCCTGACGCGTCACGGAGCTCTTCCCAATAAAGCTGTGTTCTAAAGGGGGAAGCACCAGCAAGTGGTTTCACCTCGTCAAGGTGGGCAACTCCACCGTTAGCCCCGTCTCGCCCAAAACAGGCATCACCCTTTATCAAATAGGTACGAAATCGATTGTAGGTTCCAATATGCCGCACCTTGGGGATGCCACATGTAAGGCAATGCTCTTGTTGGAAATAGGCCCGAGGATGTAAAGGGGCGTGTTTGTTTCATAGAAACTGCGACGAAGGTGCGTCAGATTTTGCTCATCACCCCGAGGTCGTGAGCTGGGCAAGGTTCTGGGCGGACACAACATAGGGAGGAAGACATGGAAGTGCGTGGCCCTCGGGAACACCCACCACCTACCTAGCTACCTACCTAGGTAGGTGCCTACCCACCCGGTGTCCTCCTCACGATCACTAGGTCCTAGCTCCTATCATCTCAAACACCCGAAACTATTGACGCGTATGCCTTTTGGAAAAGATTTTGTTGTGACTGACTTACAACGACTTAACGGTATCGAATACTGTCCACACAGGGATTCTTTCACCATGGCCCCCCTCACGAGTAGGCTGGACCGGTAAAATGTTCCTCCCCTTGCTACACTTCCTTTCAGACTTGTTGTCAACCGTCTCCGCGGGTCTGATGGGAGGCAAGGTCCCCTCCAGCCAATACTCCATTTCCCATCAAACGTACACCACAGCTGCTAGAAGCCCAACGTAACTGACATGCACATACCGATGAGACGGTTCGCTGGCTAAAGAACATGGGATGCTGAGAATAATATCCACGACATATATAAGCTTGATGAGTGGGCTTTATACAGTTTTGCACAGGATAATAGACGCCGTCCGGCTTCTGTCAGCCCCGAACGGAACTTATGCCAGGACAGGATACGGAAGTAGAAGAAAAGAGGGGATTTGAGCCGTGGTGCTTCTTCATCACGGGTAATAGCAAGGGAGAAGGACACGATCTCCAGGACGTAGTTGACTTTGCGGGGTATGTAGGGACATCGTAAAGACATGATGCCAACACTATGAACTCGATGGCGCCCTGGTGGTTGTGGCGTTCAAAGAAGATTTGTGTAGGTTTATCGTTCTCTCATGAGGGGATTGATGGCGAAATGCGGGCGACAGGGCCTCCAACTCACACCTAGGGGTCACACCGGATTTTCAGGGAAACACACAACTATGGCAAGGCATCGAATTATCTTTGGTACTACGCTCCGATATCTTGTTGAGCTGAGCGATTTTCCTAATAAATGAACTCCCCCGCCAAGATAGAGAACAACTGGTGAAAACGCGACCCTTCCCCTCCCTTTCCTTTCCCGTCCTGTCAATAGTCAAGAAAGCAGATAAATCCAGCAAGCCACTCAAACAGAACCCCAACTTTCGACGTTCTAAATATGTACAGCCAAAGGGAAAGACAACACTGAACAGCCAAAAAAAAGAAAAACGCCGGTCGACATAGTTAGGCATGGACCTCTTCCCCTTTCAGCCCACAATAGGCCAACATCACTCCAATCGTCCAGTCGAGGGAAGTAAAAGAAAAAAACGACAAGGACCGAGACCGTACCTGTTGTTCAGGTGTATGAGGACAGCGGCCCGCCCATGGCGACGAGGAGGCAGCAGTTGAGGCAGTGTGCATTTCCGGACAACCGACCGGATGGTGCAAAAAAGGGCAAACAAGGGGAGATTGACAAAAACAATGTAGGCTTAAGGGAATCCTCCCCTCTGTATTACAAGGTCCCCGAGGCTCCTGGCCACGAGAGTACATGATGGTGCTTTGGCGCCCCCTTAGTAGGTCCTAGTCTTCTTGGCGTATTCCACCAAGTGGAAGACACGGATACAGCAAGAGATACGCCAAACTGTGTATGGAATAAAAAAGAACAAATGGAACGATATGAGGCCTGGTGCGGACTGGGGGTTGCTTGCAAAATATAGGCCGTGTGCGATGTCGGGATGTCGAAGAGAAAAGGAAATTTGTTGGAAGACGCTTAAAATCAAGAAAAGTCGTCTCGTCGTAAGTCGGGTGGTCTCCAACAGTAGGTAGTTAGAAGAACGGAGAGGGGCCAAGCTGATCTGTCCCCCGAATGGTAATATGGGTGATTCCACTAAGCGGGCGCTAGGAGATGTGGGCTAATGGCGATGGGGATGTGGTTGAGGGCATGTATTCGACGTGACGGCCCTGGGGCTGGGGCTTCGATTACATCACGATGCAACAGCCGCACCCCGCCTTCTTGTCTTCCGGTTCTTCGGCTGGTTCAGGTGCCTTGGTCGTTTGCGAGGGCTGCGACTGATGACCCGGTGTCCTGGGGCTCGGCATTGTGTTGACAGGCGTGTCGGAAATCTTAGGCATGGTGGAGTACGAATTCGATCGGCCTGGGATCGCCGAATTCTTTGAATCCCCTTTCAACGGCCACCCGGGTTGTTCGTCCTGCTGCTCATCTTCAGTGACTTTCTCTGCTTCCTGCTCCTGCCCGCTGCCTTCAGGGGGTCTGAGGAAGCCTTCGTCGGTGAGCGGCCTGAATTCTTTGTCATAGACACTTCCGAACTTGCCCTCCCGCTCCCATTTTTCCTGCTGTAAACGTTTCGCGACTGTCGGTAGCAGCTGCTGGTCTGGCGGGAGCCGCGGGTCAGGGCGATAAGCTGAGACCATCCATGGAGGTTCGCCTTCCATCGGCTTGGAGTTGCCGGTCGAAAACTCACGATCTCCGGATCTGGTTGATGGTCGAGTGCCGTTTCCGCTGCTCGTGGAGTCTTTGCTCGGGCCACCCCTTGTCTTCGGCCGTCCCGCGGAGCCATTGGCCGGTTTCGGTTTTCTTGCGCCTGCCGCCGTCCCCGTTTTCTTAGGAGAGGAGTCGGGTCGTTTCGTGTTTTGTCCACCCGAACCGGCCCCCGCCGTTTTTGTGGGACTGAGGGCGTTGCCCGTACTGCCACTCCGGGCCCGTGGCTTGGGATATGTTATCGAGTCTTCTTCGCCAGGGCTCCCCTCTCGCTTCCGCGTTAGGCGCGTGTCCCGTGCGAGATGCTCGTTTGGCAGAGGGGCCGGGCTGGTCTTTGCCACCGGGATTCGGGAAGATCCTTTGCCAGTTCCGTTAGATGTCCAGTGCCCATCTCCCTCTTCTAATATCTCCGATGGGCGTCTCAGATCCCAGCTAGGAATGATTGAAAGATCAACCGTTCTTGCATCGGTCGTTGTGGCTGCCGAATTCTTCCTTGAGCGCGAGACAATGGACTCAGGTCCCCCGATCGACCTGCCCGACCCATTGGCTTGGTCCTGGCTCTGGTCCCGTTTTGGCCTATTTTGACTTTTCGATCTTGCTCTATCCCTTTGGCGGGGCAGGAAAATGCCGGCAGCCTGGAGTTCCTCGCTTTCAATCTTTGCGAGCTTGTCTCGGTGAATCCATTTTGAATTTTCGTCGTTGTCCATATTCGGGTGCCGCCCCGCCAAAACCTTTTTGTGCATAGCCTCCGAAGAATCCCCTTTCGCTGTCGTGCGCTGGTCAATCGGGCTCCCGGGCAGTCCATGATCTTGGATGAGGCGAGGCGTTCGCTCCGTGTGATCAAGAGACGCAGAGTGGACGGCATCGAAGGGTTCCTCATCGCTGTAGCTCTCGGAAGAGGACTGGGGGTTCGCTGGGGTGCGCGTGACGGAGTTCCCGTTTTGAAATGCTAGTGGTGGCCGGGCCGACGCGGGCGAGTTGTTCTCAATCACCGACGTCTTCTCATCATGGAAAGTCTGTGAGGATGGTTGGTTTAGTTTATGTCTCAACTCGGTGACATGAGCGTAAAAAGTACGAGGCGATGATTGTAGTAGGTGAAGTCTGTAGTCTGCGAAGGGGGGTGCGGTTGCCGTGGCGGATTGACTTACCTCCTGCTCGTTTGGTAAGACATCTTCCCAGACATAAGGAGTTGACGTGATCGCCGTCGCCGTCTGGGACATGGTGGCCATGTTTCGGGAAGCGGAGAGGTTCGCTGTCTAGATGGCCGCTTCAAACTTTCGGCCACTTGACAATTGATTGTTGAAGAAAAGTCGGGACGATGGGGGAAGCTTCGGCTGTGATTGATAGTGGTTCACCAGCACAAAGCTTCCAGGGCAAAAACGTTAAAATTAGAATATCGATGAAGGCTGCCAGCGAGAGTGGGACGGTCTTTGTCGAGCCGGACCCAGACTCTCGCGGGCCAAAGTCGGCCAACGGTTGTGCAGCGGCTGGAGTTATTGAGACGACAAAACACACATGCGCGGAGAAAAAAAGGAGATTTTCGCGTCGTGTAGATGGTCGCACCGCCAACTGATTCGCCGGCTTGCCTCCAGGGGACTAGACGGATGTTTGGTGATTGGGTCGACGAGGCAGGTGCTGAGTGTGAGTTGCGTGTTGTTGCGGACTTGCGGGAGGAAGGGGGTATGGCTTTCGGAGTTGAAGATGTGTCGTGGAGAGACTTTCTTTCCCGAGAAGTCGCTGTGTCTGTATAGGCAGGACCGTGGTGTCGCGGGCTGTTGACGCTGGCAGCGATCGGGATGGCCCTTTGCAAGGAATTGCGTCGGGGTGGGGAGAGGAATTGAGCGTCAGGGCGAGAGCCTGCAGTCCCAGATTATTCGTGGGCGAGGGGCCCGGAATGGCGCATGCTCTCCTCTGGCGTTCTTTCTTTTGTTTAGTCGATCAGCTGTCGCTGCATGCGATTCACGGCCAGCCAAAGACGACGACAAGAAATCTTGGGGGGCGGCCCGTGGATGGCCGTCTGTTCTCGCGAGAGGTTCGAGAATTCGCTTGAAGGGGGCGCCGTCGAATGGCATTCTGGCAGGGGGGAAGCTTGATTAATCTGCCTTGGAGACACGATTGGCCAAAGCGACGCGATGTGGGGCTGCCTGTATTTGCAGGGGCTCTTGCTTTCTTCAGTGCTGCCGTTCATGGGCGAGCCCGTCAACACCAATTCAATCTTCAACTTGGCGATCCGCGATGTCCGTGTCTTGAATAATTAATTGATTAAAATATGTCTACTTCCCAAGGCGTGGTAGATGTGAGCCTGATGTCCCCGTACCTTCAAAAATGGGGTGATTAAACTCGCTCTCGCCATTAGTTGGTGTTTTTGGGGTCGTTCTGGTCTTCTGACTGGCAGCTCGGCGCGCTCCAAGCAACGGTGGCCGTTGGCAGTTGCACGCCCCATCTCATTTCCCACGGACCAGCAACCCATCCCGGTTGTGGTCACCTTCCGCACCCAATTGATCGGTTGCGCAGCCGTCCTGAACAGCTGAACGACTTCGATCACACACCATGCCAAGACAATGGTCCAAGCCCAATTTCTCATTGCACCTCGAGATAAGTTGCGAAGAACGCCATGTCTAGCTCGCTGTCAGCTGTGCGGCCCAACGGTCACACACGGCGGACCAGAATTGTATGCATTGGCGACACCCACAATCGCGCCGTCAAATTGCCGGAGGGCGATGTTTTGATTCATGCTGGCGATCTCACGAACCAGGGGAGCTACTCCGAGGTAAGTGACATTGATCATAGCGAGTGGTGCCGGCCCTCCCAGAGCATAGGTATGTTTTGAAGGAGAAGGGCGACTGATCGAAAACTATCCGACCTCTTCCCAGCTTTCTAAAGCTGTTCAATGGCTTGAAAAAACGAATTTCGAAAAAAAGATCGTGATAGCGGGTAAGGGCGCTCCCTGTCAACGAAGGCGCTCACACGGATGGAGACTCACCTCGATGTAAAGGGAATCACGATATTACCTTGGATAAAGACTTCTATACGATACATAGCCCGAGTTTCCATAACCAAGAACATCAAGACCCGGCCAAATGCCTATCCCTTTTTCAATCGAGCCGCAGTCTCATTTACCTCCAACATGAGAGCGCAACCATCAAGCTGACAAGTACTGATGGCCCGGGCACCGAGTTCACCATCTTCGGATCCCCTTACAGCCCACAATACGGGAACTGGGCCTTTATGTACCCGCGCTCCCCGCAGGACCCGACGGCTCCGGAGGCGAATGGTACAGATGATCGGGAAAAAGCCAACGCAGCAGAGCTCTGGTCCGCCATCCCAACTGACATCGACATTCTAGTCACCCATACGCCGGCGCTCTCGCACTGCGATGACGATTGCGGCTGCTGGGAACTACGCAACACCCTTGCTAAGGTCCGGCCACGGCTCCATGTCTGCGGCCACGTCCACCAAGCGCGAGGTTCCCAGCGTGTGAGATGGGATATCGGAACCGGAAACGGAGCCGCTGCCGAGCTGGCGGTGGAAATGTGGGAAGACCCCAACCCCGATCCGAGGTCGGCCAAGATGAGTCTCGTGGATCTCACGGCCCGGGGAGGGAAGCGCCCGCTGGATTTTGACTTGGAAGATCCAGGTCTCTCTTCCAATTCCGCACCCGACCACACCTCGTCCCAGCCCCGGCTCGAGCCTCAACCCAAGGCCGGTGCTGAACCTCAGCCGGGGTCGTGTGACCCGACGGGGCGGGCCGGGAGTCCTAGCCTGGACCCCGGCCCTTCAGTGTGTGGAGAGCAGAGTATAAATCCGCTGGCTGAGGCAAACCGTGCGGGCCGACGAGAGACATGTGTTGTCAACTGTGCCATCATGACCACAGGTTGGCCACATAAGGGCGCGAAACAGCTCAACAAGCCGATCGTCGTGGATATTGATCTGCCCGTGTGGAGGAGGTAAGACAGAGATGGCTTTGCCGGCGCGCTACGGCCGAAACAAAAAGTCACATGAAAAACAAATAAAAAAAAAACACCGTCTTTGTGATCCAATCGCCCGACTCGCGACACTCTTGCTGTCATATCCCCAGTATTGTATGCCCGGGCAACGTGGTTGAGGGACAAAGTTCCCTGCGAGCGAGACATAACTCCATTGCCGAGTGCAATGAGAACCTGTGGGCAAATAGATATTCACGATAGGCTCCAGACCGTACCCTCCTGAGCTGTGGTCCCTTGGTGACCACGTTTGATATTCCAACATTTTCCTCTGAGAGCAGCAGCATGGGCCTCTCCCTCGAGGGATAGCCCACCAATCACTTTTACACTTTGCCGGAGCCTCATTCAAGAAGTTAATCCGATGCCGGTGCGGTCATCAACCCAAGCTCAACGCCCAAAGTAGCCCTCCATGGAGAAATGGGGAAAACTCGAGGTCCTTTTCATCTGTATTTTCGTGTCGTTTTAATGGTTTATACTCTCTTCTCTGTTACCGAATGCGGATCTGTGAAGCGTCTAATATCCGTTGCTGAGGCATGACGGGGGTCAAAAACACTTGCTGGCCTGTCGCAAGGAGGAACAGGGGCCAAAGCCGAATCTTCCGCCATTTGGAAGAATCCAGTCATGGGACCGAAGGAATACCGGGAGGGGAAAGAACCGAACATCAGCTGTGGAATGTCACGAATGTTCTGTCGGAAGGGAGATGCATAAACCAAGGTGAAAACATACACGCGAATAAGATCACTAAGAGCAAGTGCGGCTGGCTCACCGCTGGACTCGTAAGCAGCCGGACTCGGGGACGCCGGCCGCGGGGACGAATCATGATGTGGTGGGGGTGAAGGGGCAGCCCTGAGTTGTGCTTTGAACTGAATCTCACTTGCTGCATCGTCTTTTACAGGAAGGAGGGTGTGATGGGCCCTTTCTGCGCAAACCGTTTGGCGGAAAGCTAGTTGACGTGAGACCAGTCCGGCGGCAGCAACTGCTTTGAAATGCCCCTTTTCGGAGCCGTCGTCCACAAGGGCCTCCCCTCGTGGACCACCAACACCTCTTGTGCACGAGTTCTGGAGATCTGCCCCATTCACGTCATTCGTCCATCTCTCGATCCTCCTCAACCATCCTCGGACCTGGTCTCACCCTCGTTTTCTCTCCAGCCTGTTGAGGAGCGTCTTGGGAGGGGCAGGTCGACGTCCTGAAGAGGGCACGAGGGGTAACGTGGAAGTTTGGTGGGGTAACGCTGCTGGTTCTCTTGCCCCTGACTCGTCAGCGCGGCTTGGGTGGCGTGTGGGGAGACAGGGACGTTGGAGCCGCGCATCGAGACTTGTGACAAAAGTCTCGTGGGGATGGGCATGGCGCCTTCGGCCGCAGAAGCTGGGCGGACTTCTCGGTATCACAGCGTGGGGTAAAAACAACCTATTGCTGGTGATTATGGAACGAGTGTTCGATTTTGAATGTCCATGACCGGGCCTCAGGGGACATTCCGCCAGAGACGGGTGGAGCGCCTCGAGCGCGGGCGACCAATGAGTCTTATGCTAGCCGTTGTTGACCTCTCAAGATGTTTGTTGGCTGCCCCCAAGTCCCTCCCCGAGTTAACGTAGTGTAGCTGTGTCGGGACCACGTTTCCCGCCCAACCGTCCAGCCGCCCTTTGACAGCGGGTTGATCCGAAGGAGAAGCCCAAGCACCTGAGCTCCCGTCCTGAGGCACCCAAAGGCGCAGGTGAGACATCCACATCGACTGCCGCCCGCGAGAACCACTAGGAGGATCTCGTCCCTGCGTACCCCGGCCTCTCATCCTCAGTGATTGGTTGTTGTGGGGGCCGTACCACCCCCTCCCCTCTTCAAACCCGGCCCCGCGTTGGTCGCTGGGAGGGTCATTGTCGATGCACGCAGATATCTCTCAACGAATCACTTGAATCGGGGCATCGCGAAATGCCGATTAATCGACCAACAGAAAGTAAGGGCCGTGGATTTACGGGGACATCCCCCTCCGACGACTCGCGCCATCGAGGCCGTTTGTCCAAGTTGAGAATAGCCCTCGCTATTCGAGCGCATTTGTGATTGTGCATGCTGCTCCTCAAGGCTGACTGTCGGGTGCTCGGCGACCCAATTGCGGCCATCCCTGGGACCTAGGTACTGGTGCAGGTCTCCTCCTCCAACGAAGCTGAGCGAGATCCGGAGTACAATACCTACGTGAGTTGGTGTCTGTGTTCGGGGCGTGTGGTGGTTGAGTTGACGGAAAACGCCCCGCCTGATATCTCCAAGACTCTGGTCTCCCCCCTCCTTCTTTCTCTCTTGGTGTGGAGATCAATCTGAGCGAAACTCAATACGACAGTGCAAAACACACAGGGCTTCAAAGAGGGGGCTAAGTTACATAAACACCTGCAATGAATCCCGCGTCCTTGTGGGGCTCAGTCTCAACAGCTCGTTCGTCTCGATCTCCGAAGCGTTAGAAGAGACGGCGCGCGCGACAGGCGCCAACTTGACGGCCAAAAAAAAAAAAAAAAAGCAGAGCCAGGCTGTTGACTTCAAACCATGGTTCGTCAATTCGTCAGTCTGTCACGCTCCTAGGAAAGGTTGCCGGGAAGTCGGAGGGGCCTCGAGAAGGTGATGGAATCAGCGCGGGGCCCTTTTCTGGTGGATGATTGCCGTCCTTCTGCAGGACATCACGACGGAAAGGGAATGGTTGGCGAAAACCAGAGGACGCCGGCCAAGTCGCCTCGCATTGCTGCGGGTATCTGCTGGCTGCACCACACTGGCGCTGCGTCGGCCTGGGCAAAACCCACCTGTCCTATCGAATCGGGACTCGAGAGCCTCTTGGGTTCGGTTTGGAGCAGTGCAACGCTGGACGGCGCGACGGATGGGAGGAAAGGGGAAAAGGTGATCGAACTGCGGGTTCCCGCTTTGATGAAGACACGACACCCAATCTTGCAGCTTCGTTCGATACGTTGCTCAGCCGGCGTGCTTTGTTAAAGCAGTGCATGAACGCCGAGACGAGACGTCTCGCACACACGGAGAGCGCCACCGAGGACGAAACACAACCCGCGGCTCGGGCCTCGCTGACCGGAAGAGAACGGATCTTAAGGAATGCTGTGTATGTAGTGAAGGTGAGGCGAGAGGAGGACGGATGAATCATAAGCGGGCTGCGTCGAAGTCTCGAGGCTGAGTGAGTGAGAGACGTATACTTTCCATCGAGGCGTTCCTGTCCCTTGTTTTGCCTGACCTAGCAGCCTGGGTTGCCTGGGTTGCCCAACTTTAACGAGACGATGGATTTGTATGAGGAATCCTTCCGAATGTTCCATCGCCCTTGATTGACCGGAGGGACGGTGAGGATGCGCATGGGGTTCTCAAGGTGACCTCGTTGCTGGGCGAGGACCGGGTCTGCGTCTCTTCACCGCCGGTTATCTCGTCGCGCGGTGTCGACCCGACAGACTTCGTCCTGCATCGGTGTGCGCAATTTTAGCAAGGTAATCCCCAAATTCGTTATCCCTTTCCTCGGATTCACCATTGATGCCCCCTTTAATCCATCGCCGAGGTTCAAAGACTGCGGAATCGTACTGCAACATTGCCACATTCTCCATCTTCATCAGGGGCCGGCGCTCCGGGCAACTATGTACGGATTACGAACTCAGGACTGCGCAGTGCTCAAGACCCTTTTTCGCCACCTCAGCCACTGATCCAAGCACGCTTGGCACGGCGCAATGCGCAATGCGTCGTTGCTATGTCTGTGGCGCACTTGGGCCTCGCCCATCTTTCAACCCGAATTTAGTACTTTACGAGGCCATTTGAAATCCCCTCTGTGGCGGGCTCCTGGATCGTGGTGCGCAAATTCATCTTTGTCAAGCAATCCTCGACCCGGCCCTCCACGTCGGTTGCCACGAAGGCGATTTTTCGGTGGATCTTAAATGTGGCTTGTCGTTGTCGTTTTGTTTGCCGAGCTCCTCGTGCTAGCTGCCTCGGCGGTGGGGGGAGTGGGTTGGATGGACTTCGTAGTGGACAGGGATTGTTTTGCGGCCGCGCCCGCTCGCCGTTGTTCGTCTCGGGACCTGGCTTCCAGGTTGCTCTTGTGGAATCCCATTGTCAACAAAGTGGTTTTTGCCATCGTATACCAGAATGGAAGCTGTCAATCCCGGCCATCGACCGCGTCGGCTCGACACGGCCATTCTGATCCGTCCTCGGTGGAGGTTGGCAAGCAAGCAAGGTTGGCTGCGTGCAACTTGTCGCCTGAGAGTGTGTGGCCCATTGTTGAGCTCGCTGCACGAAGAGCTTGGTGTTAGGTGAGGGCGCAGAAACCGACGGAACTGAACGGACAACCAGAGGAGACGACCAAAGATGCCATCAGCCATCCCAAACGGGAAAAGCAAGACGATTGGAGCCAATGGGCTGTGCTGAAGAAGGGCCTCAGTGGTCCACCGCTCCCCACACCCCATCCGCCCGCAGAAGACAGCCCCACCCAGTGCCCATCGGCTGGTCCCCCACTGGTAGGCCCTCGCGACCCTCTTTTTGCCCCCATCATGAGGAAGCCAGGCGAGCCAGGGGATCAGCCATCACCCGCCCAAATGCCCCAAGTGCTCCACTGGACATTGATGCCGCGTGCGGATGGTGCCCCTCTCCCATTCCCCCTCTCCCGCCCTGGCCGCCGCTTGACAAGCCGCCCCCCATCTCAGGTCCCTCTTGAGGTCGAGGGTGATCTCATCGCCCGTTTCTTTCTCTCCCATCACCACACAACACGACAGCAAACCCCCCTCGCCAAACTACCAGGCCGGATTTTTGGGCAGGCCCTGACCATCATTTGCCAGGCGGTCGGCAAACACGGCCACCTTTCGCCCTCTTGTTCTGTTCTCCTTCTTCTCCATTTGTTTTGCGTTTCGTCAGTCACCGGGATCCGAGGGAACAACGGCCGAGCCACTCCAGTCCACGACGGCAACGCTGGTTGCTTGGTGCCAGGGCGTACTCCACCAGCCGACCTGTTCATCCCATATACCCGACAATACGCCCCCCTTGCTCGCACCGCTTCTTTTTAAGTCTCATTCTCTCTCCCCGCCCGCTATCCCACGGTTCCGCAGTACACCCGTGTACTTCTTCAAGGCACCACTGCTTCTGTACTTCTAAATCCTGCATCTGGCTGCGGTTCTTTCTCCGGAGCGAACAGCCAGACTTCCTTTCATTCCACTCGCCGCACACGCCTGACGGGACATCAGCCGCCCCACACTCCTTTTGTGACTGAACCGAGCCAAGCCATCGTGGTTTGGATGTGATAGTCGCTCCATCAAAGGTCGAGCGCCAACTGTTACTACCTCCTCAAAGCCTACTCGGCCGTCATTCCGTTTGGGCTAGACACCGCCGCACTTCTCGCCCATTTTTACCCCCCGTACGCCCCGACCGAAACTGGCACTTTACGGGAGACCGGCCGCTCGCGGTTGACGAAATAAATACACTCACCTCGCAATGGCATCCACACTTCCCCCAGATCCGTGGAAAGTTCTCGGTGTTGAGAAATCCGCGGACAAGGCCGAGATTCGAACAGCATACAAGAAACTGGTTCTACAGTGCCATCCGGATAAGATCCTGGTCCAGGACCCAACATTGAAGGCGCTGAAGATTGATGAATTTCAAAAGGTTCAGCAGGCATGGGAACTACTCAACGATGACGCCGAGAGAGCAAAATATGAGCAGAAGGTGCACCTCGCGGAGCTCCAACGCGCCGCCAAGATCCAGCAAGACGTGAAGCACTCGGCCAATAGTTCTGTCCCGCGCTCCGCTGCCAAATATTCGGCTTACGAAATCCGCACCACCGAGCCGCGATACAAGAGTTCCCCGTCGGGCGGAAAGGTGTACACCTACTCGACCACCACTCACACTCGCTCGCAGGAGGAGATGCCGTCGTCCCGTACGTTTCCACTGTACGAAGAGTCCACTAAGCAAGCCCGGAGGACTGCAAGCTATGAGAAGCCTGCCAAGCGAGATGAGGAGAGACGCGATAGGGACAAAGAAGAGAGGAGGCGGAGGAAGGATGAGGATGAGTCCCGGCTGCGGGATAAGGGGCGGGATAAGGAGCGGGAGAGAGAGCGCGAGCGAGAGCGTGAGAGGGAGAGGGAGAAGGAGAAAGAAAAGGAGAGGAAGAACCATGGGCTGCGCGATGCTGAGAGGAAGCGGCTGGAGAAGGAACGAGAAAAGGAGCGAAGGCGAGGCGCCGAAGACAAGTCTCGCCGACACAACCAGCCCTATGTGGAGCAGTACGACCCATACGTGGAGGCCGAAGGAATCATTCTTGACGACGTGACCCACGTATTGTCCTCGTCGCGGCCGGAAAAGAAAAGATCCTCCAGTCGAAAGCACGAAGAGACGCGCGAACGCGAGCGAGATCGGGACCGCGATAGTGCTCGCGACCGAGAGAAGGAAAGGGAGAGGGAGAAGGATAGGGATAGGGAGAGAGAGAGAGACAGGGAGAGGGAGAGGGAGAGGGAGAGGGAAAGGGACAAGTCAAGTTCGCGCCGTGCCAAGTCACCCCATGTGGCCAGCGGCCATAAGCACGTCAACCTTTACGAAGAAGCTGCGAACTACTTGAAAAATCACGGGACCGGCCAGCAGGTTTCCTCCTTTTGGAAAAAATCCGACACCCCCCCGGATGCGTCTTTCATGCCTTCGGTAGCTGACTTCATCACACCCCCTGCGCCGACACCCCCTCCCGTCGACCTAGAGGAGGAGAGTATCCGGAACTCAGCATCTCGCGCTGCCGCCCGCCGCGCCTCTAACGATGCTTCGAGATCGCGCGAGAAACTCAAATATGACGTTTCGGACATCACTCCATCCAAGAGCAGGCCGATTCCAGTCCTCTCTAAGTCTTACACCACTCCCATTACCCTCACGGAGTCTCCCCCACGGGTCAGCCGTTCACAAACGGCGCCACACGAGTCATCGTACCGCCCTGTGCCGTCTCTCTCTCGCACACAAACTTGGGCGCCGGGGAGCAACTCAGTCGCTGAATACTACGACGAGGTGGAATCAGAAGAAGACCGTGAGCGTCGTCGGCACCGCAGCCGTCGCACACGGTCGCCTTCCGGCCAGCCTACGCGTTACAAGGTCGTCGAGGGGAAGACATCCAAGATTGATTCTCAGTACGTGTACGGCGAGTCGCCCAATTCCAATCGACGCTATGCGGCCGAGGCGGTGGACCAAATGGGACGCTCCCCATCGTCGTACCACAGCAGCACCCCTCTCCGAGTTAAGCACTCAAAAGCCTACGACCACAGTGATATCAACTTTGCAAAGTCTGATGATATCCAGTTCTCGAAGTTTGAGATGCCCTACCAAACGCCGTACTACGCCTCTCATCCCTCGGATGTACGTCTGGTGCAATAGTCAAAGTGGGGAACACTGGAAGCTGTTGGCATATTTTCTCACATCTGCTTGCGATTTCTGTTCTAATCTTTAATGAGTGGATGATAGTAAGTACTTAGGCATGAAATTACGATGATGAGGCTTGACGAGTTTTTTTTTTTTCCTTCATTTCCCCCACCATCTGTATCTCCTTTTCTCGTTGGCGCTGGGGGGTTGGAACGCACATCGGAGTATCTGGCTTCTTATTTTTTTTTCCTTCCACGACCATATCACTACACCGTTGACGGGCAGGTGTCATGAAAACAAAACAGTAACGAACCAGTCGTACCCGCCATTTCCTTGATTCCGGAGCTTTCTGACCCCATCATGGTGCGATATATGGTTTGGCAGGTCGTCACAGCATGGAACACGAAATGGGTGGACCAGCATGAGATAAGACATGTTCAAGTGCGGAGGGGGGGCAGGAAAGGGAATCATCCGTTAGCCGTGGGGAGGGAGGATGGGAATTGCAATGACTGGATGAGAGCATCTTTTGGGATCCTTGTTTTGTCGTCGATTTTGGTTCCTTTTTCCTTGAACTCCTGGTTTGTCATTGGATGATGTAGGTAGGAAGTTATGACATTATGGCGGCGACGTGCTCGTCTCCGTAAATTCAAACACATATCAAATAACGCATCCGTGATTACAATCTCCAATCTTATATGGTACTTTTTGGATCCATGTCAAGACCTGAATGTATAGTCTCGTCAACTCATATTGTCCGCCATCGCCTTCTTGTCTAAAATCCTAAAACATGCTAGCATTTTCCGCAGCTGTCGCTAGTTAACTCCGTAAAATCAGATCTAAAAAGGTATGTGATTCTTCCACGTGTACAGCAGGCTCGAGCAAGAACGCGGCAAATAAAACAAAACAGGCTTCTTTTCCGCTCCAAAACACAAACCCTCAAGGTCATACCACGTAACCAGTGCTTTCGCACCGCCCGGGGTGCTCAAAGAGGGAATCTATCGCCCCCTCGCCCTCCCTTGCTGCCCAGACCACAGCCCTAGGCCACTCAGAGATGAGGCAGTCTATGGCTTTCCATGCCTCAGTGGTCTGTCGACCGCCCACAACGACAGCCCCGCGCAAAACAAATGAACCAACATCGGGCTAAACGGGGCAATGCCGCGTGGCACGGCGTTGGCAGGTTGGGGGGTGAGAGGCGCAGGCACAGCGGTTCGTCCGTGAACTGTACCACGTGCCCACGTGCCCCAATGCATGCTGAGGTGTCAACGACCAAAACACCACTGACGGCCAGTCCCACTCCTGTACTTGGTGCCCCGCGCTTTATACCAAGACATACAGTGAGCAAATCTGTGGAGAAGAGCGTGTTAGTTACCCATCAATCATTGACATAACAATAAATGCGACGACTCCTTAATTGGTCCTGTAAACCCCCACGGAAGAAGGTGGTAGTGGAGGAGGAATTAAGCACGTACCAAACTTAGACCCAGGATCATGCTACACCAGAAGCACACATTATTGAAGGTTTTTCGGCCACGAACCCATTTCGTCCGCTGTAGCATCACGATAGGGAGCTGGAGCATTTGACAGATGAAGCCGTAGCCGCGTAGCTTCTTAGTGATGCAAGCCATGACGATTTCGTGGCCGATAGCGCTAATCAAGAAGGTGATGACGGTAGCGTTGGCCTTGCCGATATGGGGGCGGCTGGCACTGTAGACGTGGCGACGTAGGAAGCTGTAGACAGGTACGTTCCACTCGCGCGAGAATTCCATCCAGTCGGTGCTGTTCCACCAGTCGCTGTAAAAGTGCCGATCTGCGAACCGGGTGATCTCGGCGCAGGCGCCGAGGACGTACTCGAAGATGACGAGGAAGACGAGCAGGAAAGTCAACATGAAGGGGAAGAGTAACCACGAGATGGTCTCGGCGAGGATGAGGAGGACCTCAAGTACTGTTAAGGGTGAGTCGGCCGCGTGAAAGGATGGCCCAAGCCTCTTGGACGCATCAACCAAGGCTGGCAGAATAAACTCCTCAGAAATGATGGTCAGGAGAAAGATGCAACCGAAGATGGCGGCAATTTTGGAGAGGAGATTCTGCCAGTCGATCTGATCGTTCCGAGGGTATTCGATTTCGTAACAAAGGGTCGGGCAGCATATATAGTCCGCATAATTTGCCCATGTCAAGTTGGCCGGGTACGTGATGTTACCAATTGGACTTGTCAACTCACGGGCCAAGTCTTCGCGGAGTTGGGAGACCTCATCTGTATCCCCAAGCATGCCATTCCCCTCACCTCCATTGGCCTTAGCCTCGGCTCTCTTGGGGCTCGTCATCATGCCCAGGGGATTCTCGAGAGTCGGGTAAAGGTATGCGGGTGCTCGTGATGCAGTGGAAGGATCGTCCAACTCGCGTAAACGCTTTTCCGTTTCGCTTAGGTGCCCGTTGTAAAATAGATAGGAGTGCATCTTCATGAGAATCACCATAGTGTGTAGCAGGAAGAAGACTTGAGAGGTCCACGTCCAGTCCAACAAGAAAGGTACTGCAATCCAGAACGCAAGCCATACAACTTGGTAAACGCTCATGATAGCCATCCCGCCTTTGCTCCAGGTCAATGCGCTGCTAGATGGTGCGGCTCTGAAGACACGGTGCAAGGGCAATGAGACGGCAGTAGTAGCCACCATCAGCCCGTCGGCAATGGCTAGGTGCCAGAGCTTAACGGTAAAGAGACTCCAGATCTCCACACGTAGAGGATATCCCGTGTCTTTGATATTCCGCAGCATCGATGTTATTGCCATAATAGCGAGGCCAATCCAAAAGAGATTGAAAAAGCCACGAAAATCGCGGTAGTCGCTGTTTGGATCGAAGTGGGAGACTCGGCTAGCGAATTCGATCGTTGGGAAGAGCCGGCGGCGCTGCTCCGCGCGAACCTGCTTGCGGGCGGTCGAAAGGGACTTCACGGAAGGCGGCGCATCGGGCGGGACGGGAGTTGAGCGGCCACTGTAGAGAGAAATGGGCGGTAAGCTACGCTGCTGCTCGTAAGTAAAACTAATTCAGCCTACCTTGTTGACCCGGTCCCATTGCCATTGCTCGGAAGCTCCAGCATGCCGCTTCCCTCGGATACATTGCTGATTTGCGATAGCTGGGAGTGAAGCGGCTTCCGGGCCCGTGGTCGCACAATGTGGTCACCAACACCCTCCGAGACATCGGCCGAGGTGGACGCCATGGCACCGAAACGAGGCAGTTTGAGATTATCCGCGATACCAACACCAACGCCGACCTGAATTTATTGCCAGTTGTTGCTATGCACCTTTCCCCCCTTTTGTTCTACGTCTTGTCGGATGTGCGCAACTGGCTGAGTCGGCGCTCAGGGTTCAAACGACGAGTTACGGCGTCAACGTGCTTCCTCCTAAGCCAGCAAACAGGGCGCAAAGTCGGTGCGACGCAACGGAATGACGGGACTTCGATCGCAGGTTTCTCGGCTTCGTTGCGCCGCCGACAAATGATCCCTGGGGGGAGTCGAGGCAATCGATTGATCGGGTGCTGATTGTGATGAGCGAGGAGAGGATCACGGCTTCCAAGTTAATGCCCTTCTGCGCTAGATTTTGGTGGTTGGGCGGGAGTCCATGGTTTGCTGACAAGCAACATTCATCGAGCCGCGGCGCGGTTGCCTCTGACACCAAGATGAGTTTCCACGCATCTTGCTGTTCTCCCCAATCTGACCAACGACAACCCCTGAAAACGGCCCCTCAACCAGCCCAGCCGCCAGCGACGTCACTGACACGTGATAACGTTGGGGAAAGTTCGCAGGGGTTCATCGCTGGTTTGTTTCAATTCCGGCGGGGCATTTGCTGCGACCAACCTCTTTAAAGCAATACCTGCCACAGTATTAGTGTAGATGTTCCTCTCAAGTCGTTTGGCCCGGGCTTCTCTTGCGCGATTTGAAACCTACGGAATCTTCCAGAGGTCGGGTTTCAACAACGATGACGTCCTTAGGAGAATTGAAACACCTCACTGCTGGCGACCATCCAACTTCACGGCAATTGTGACACATGCGGCCTGGAACAAATAAGGTACCTAGCTAGGGGAGGTTGAGGTACCGAAGCTCTTGTGACTGCAACCTGGCGGCACCCCAACCCAGGAAAAGGCTCCCAATCGATGCGCCTATTGGATTGCCCCAGTTTAGCTTAAGTGTCGGACACCCGCCGCACTGGCTTGGGCCCGCAGAGTTCTTTCCCCTTCACAAGAGCGACCAATTACTACAGAGGATGGCCCATCGTGGTATTACAGAGCTCAGCGAGGGGCTGTTTGCCTTACATGACACCCCTCTTGCTCCCGACTGGAAACGAGTCGTTTGGCGCATTCTGGAAACGGTTCTAGGATCACTCCGTCAAGCTTGGAGACTATTTGTTACGGCGAGGTTTACCAACCAAGGCGCCGAAGCCGGTTTCTTGGAATACGAGCATTGAAACATCATCAATGATGAGTTCTGCGCGGGACAGCCGTCGAATGCCACAAAAGTCCTGTCACGGGCCCAGTGCCTCTAAGAGAGAGATATTCGTAGTTACCTAGGTGCCATGGCCTTGAACAAGGAAAACGCCCGTTTGGAAGGAAGAAAATTATTAAAACTAGAATTGGTTGAAATTTTGGCTGGTGTGAGAAAAGCTAGCCGCGCGAAATGGAACGCCGCTCCCTCACAAACCGCCTACGTTCCCGACGATGCGTGCTCGGGCAACGGAGGGAGGCAATGTTTAGGCCAGCATCGGGGTCCATTGCCCCCGGCCGCCTTGGACGCTCGGGGCTTTCCGTAATGGAACTCAGTGGTCCTCATGCGTCATGCGGTCGGTAACTTCGGGCACATGAGATTTTAACTCGCTAAGCGCTGCTTACGCGAGTACCTGTGTTGTCCACTGAGTCCAAATTTTATATCAGTATATTTCGTAGGGTTCCCAAACCAAAAGCCACCGAAGCTGCAAACTGGTCGGTTGAAGCCGCAACAACATGCCCGTCTTCATGGGCCCAATGCCCGACCCACGGTCCTGGTTATGACCTGCATCTGACGACAATTCCAGCTAACCTAAACAAAAAACCTTAGATTTCACCGGTGGCCCGCAGGCTACGACGCCCAAGTGAACGTTGCACCTCAATTACTCCGTACATGCGTCCTGATCACTACCCGCCTCGAAAAAGGTATATAACTCAGGCCCGCCCCCCTGCAACTTTCTCTCCCCTCTCGAATCCAGAGTCTGAATCTAGAATTCACATTGCAGATACCTTATCTAGAGATTGCCGCAGACTTCCCGTCGACATTCCGAGATCGCTCCTCTGGCGTTCCGCACAGTCCCTTATCAGGTAAGCTCGCAACGTTTCCTATCACATCCGCATCACTCCTCGTCTCCTCCTCTCCGCACCCGGTCGATCATTGTAAGGGCCCCTGTCAACTTGAAATCAAGCGCAATTCCACGCCCCTGCAAGTGCAAGTTCATAGAAACACAAAAAGCGATGAGCCGTGAACGGGAAGTGGGGCAATCCAGGCCCAGGGGTAGGCGTGCCAAGTCTGACCTCGCCAACCTGGCCCACCTCACTCTTCCTTCAGGGTCACAAGGCCCAAGACCAGCAACCTTGTTCTGCGCACAACTCGCTGGAACGACCACCACCAGCGCTACGCCTCTTGGGCGAGGTCTTGGTCAACGCCTGCCCTCCTCCCCTCGCCCGGCCGGCTGCCTGCTGCTTGCTGCGCTCGATATCCCAAACTCGCCTTCTGCAAGCGCAGTCATGTCCTCGATGTCTGTGGAGTCGCCGCCGTCCGAAACACACCACCAGCCAAGCGATCGTGATGCACAATCTCAGCCGGAACATCGCTTGGCTCCCGCCAGCGCGGGCGATGCGCGCGCAAACTCAGCACCTGGCGTAGACATCGTCGCCTTTCCCGCCGTTTCTGACCTACCTTGCGTCACAGGTGTCACGGCACTACCCTCGAGTACAAACCCGAGCCCGAGTCACTTTCGCTCCCGCACTATCGCCCCGTCACCACCTGTGTCAAGTCGCGCGAGCCGTCCTCAGTCACCATCTACCGCCGCTCAGGATTTTCTTGGCGATTTGAACCACCTTACCCGCTCTCCCGATTCCCTATCTCACGCGCCAGAGACGCCTTTCCACCTCCATACCGAGTCTGCGCACCCAGCCTACGGCCACACCACGCCCGGCCGACCAATAAGACGGTCCGGCCTCTCCCTCCGGAACTCCTCGTCGGCACAGTCTCTCCGGCCGATATCGAGAACACCAAGCCTGAAAACCGGATTGTACGGTCCGTTTGGTTCTACCTCCGCTGCGAGCTCGGTTGTTGCGAGCCCTGTCATATCTGCCATGGGCGATCTCACCCCGCTTCCATCGCCTCTCCTAGCGAGTGACTCGCCCGGCCCGTGGAAAAAGCTGAACCGGCGCCCGTCGCGTGAGGACGCTATGTCGCCGCCAACCTCCGTACCACTCGAGTCGGATGGCTGTGAGCTACCCTCAAAGCCTACGAAGAAAGGATATAGCGGGGTCGCATCGTTTCCAACGCCAGTAAACCAGGACAGCGCCGCGCGCCAGGAAGGCCGACTCGCCCAGCCCCCGGCCACTCACACAAGAAACCGGAGCATCAGCGAGTATATACCGGATCCCATGTTGATACCTAAGCGTATGTCAACAATGTCTGGTACACGTGCCAAGCCCGACCTCAAGACCACAACGGATGGGCAACTGCGTCGCGAGCCCCACCTCTCCGAAGCGCGGGGTCTGACGCCCATTGAAAAGCCACCGACACCACCGCCAAGCGAGTCTTCTCTGAGCGCTGCTGACTTGCCCTTGGCTACCGCTTTGGCGGCTACCACAAGGAGTAATAAACAACCAAGCAGTGCCACCTACTTCATAGCGTATGGCCGGGACGACCAAAAGCGCCGGCGTTGGCGCATGGTACGGCCTCTCGGTCAAGGCACCTTCAGTCAAGTCTACTTAGCAACAAGCCAAGCTTCATCCTCATCATCCGACGATGAAGACGGTGGGCAAACCGCTGGGACCCAAAACTCGAACCAATCTTTGACCCGCCCACGGCGGTCTCTTGTGGCGGTAAAGGTCTGTGAGCAAGGCCCCCGGGGAGGCGCATCCGAAGAACGCATCGAGATGAGCCTGAAGCGGGAACTCGAGCTCATGCAGTCTGTACGACACCCATCAATTGTGCAGCTGAAGGCTTGGAGCATCGAGCCAACACGGGCCATCCTTGTGTTGGGTTACTATCCTGGTGGTGATCTTTTCGAGGTGGCAAGCCGCCATCGGGCGCTTCTTACTCCATCCCTTATCCGTCGAATGTTCTCCGAGCTCGTCGGTGCGGTCAGGTATCTGCACGCCCAGAACATTGTTCATCGGGACATTAAACTCGAGAGTAAGCCCTTCGCTCACCCCCATTCCTTTCACTCCCCCGTTTCCGTGTTAATAATCACCCTAGACGTACTTGTTAACCTACCTCCTTCGGAGCTCGCCCCTTCCAACGACTGGACCACTTACCCTTATTCTGTCACAACACTCACCGACCTCGGCCTGTCGCGCCGCGTCGCCCCCGATGAGAAGCTCGAGACACGCTGCGGCTCTGACGATTACGCCGCCCCCGAGGTCATCATTGGCCAACCATACGACGGGCGTGCTACCGACGCCTGGTCGCTTGGCGTCCTCCTATACGCCCTCCTCGAGTCCCGTCTCCCGTTCGACCCGCCCCCATCGGGCCCTCAGGGCGTTGACCACGCCACGCAGATGCGCATGCGGAGCCGCACGAGCCATCGCATCGCGCGCGTTGAATGGCGCTGGTTTTTGTTCGGCGCAGGCGAAGGGGAGGATGGTGATGGAGATCATGAGGCAGAAATCAAGAAGTTTGAGGAGAAGGGGCTGGTCGGCGCCATGGAGGTTGTCGAGGGGTTGCTTAAACGAGCGAGGAGTCGTTGGCCCCTCAACCAGGTCGCTGAGACGGAGTGGGTCGGCAAGGCTGTTAATGTAGAGGGCGGCATTCGGTTCATGGAAGAGGAAGAGGGTGAGGAGATTTAAGCACGTCTTACTCTCCCATGGCTCTCAGGATGATAACGCCCGTTTAAGATGCGGTGCGAAGTTGGAGGGGGGAAACTAACCGGGTTTGAAGGAAGGAGCTAGGACAATGGACTAGTTTTCCCTGTCGCTTTTCTCTGGGGGACGATGGAGATCTTCCCATCGGGCCCGGTTCCACGAACACCGACATGGGTTTTGTTCTACTGCAGGAGAAGAAAATCACATCCAAGGTGTGACCACTGCAGCTTACTCACAATCTAGTGGGATCATCTAGAGGAAACTTCACTCCGGTCCGACAACATTCTGGGCCAAAGTTGGGAGTAAAACACCATTTGCAACTTCCTTTTTTTCTTTTTCTTTTCTTCTCCTTCTCCTCTTTTACGTCCTTTTTGAGGGTTTCTCACTCTTTCACCTTTAGCCATACATTAAGAACAGACAGACCAGGAAGGTTACAGATGGCAAGGGAGATAAAGACACGCCTGTAGATGAACGGGCACCCTCTCGACCATGACGGGGTCCTCTGAGCCAGCAATGGTGTCATGGGGCTGTTTTTTGTTCATTGTATTTGCATGTATGTACCTACTACCCGTCTTATAGGGGTTGGGCTGGGCGGTACATTATCACATTAGTTCTTGATATTATTATCATCATGCAGTTTTAGATTGTGAGGTACCAAGAAACGAAAATCAACCTGCACGTTTAGGAACTTCACCTGTTGTGCGTTCTTGTGGTTCTGTACTTTTTAAGGGCGAGCGTTGTGAAGATAAGGGGCGTAAGGGGTAACATTAATCCTTGCGTGAAAGGTAACGGCCACTAGCAGTCAACGGTTGATGCGAATTGCCCCCTTTATCCACAAGAACATTAATCATTGCCTTATTCTAAACAAATACTCAAGAAGGGGCACCTTGGCAACGATCAACTGGTGGAGGCAGGAATATATACATTAACGTGAAAATGATCGCCGGAGGATTGGCTGCTTTATCACTTTTCCGGTGGGGCTGACCTACGCGCGAAAATAACCTCTGGAAACGGCAGAGTGCGCCTGGCGGATCTGCTGCACCGTTATCACAGCACACAAAACTGGAGTGTTCCCGTCTAACCGTTGTATTCATGTCTACGTGATGAACACGATCACACCTCCATGTCCTAATAAAGTTACAGAGTGGCGAAGGTGTAAGGAACCTGAGGGAACCGCCCAGCGACGAAGGTAGATGGGATCACTAAGTGCCCTTTGAAAAGAGAAAACTTAAATAACAGACCGCCTAACTCCAATTCCCAAGACCAATTTTCATTTCCCGGTCATACCATCATCTAATCAACCTCCTCCATGGCGCTGTCACCGGTCTCAGCGGCCGGGACGCTGGCATCGGCAGCCGGCGCGTCCTCGGCAGCCTCAGGCTCCTCGTCGAGGTTGAGGCCGAGCGACACAAGCTTGTGGATGCGCTCAGCGAAACCGGCGGGCTCCTCGATGGTGAAGCCAGAAACCAGCAGGGAGGTCTCGAAGAGCAGCTGGACGATCGACTTAACAGTCTTGTCGTTCTCACCGTCGGCTTCAACCTTCTTCTTGAGCTCCTGCACGATAGGGCTCTTGGGAGAGATCTCAAAGGTCTTCTTAGAAGACATGTAGCTGCTCATGGAGGTGTCGCGGAGGGCCTGAGCCTTCATGATACGCTCCATGTTGGCGGACCAACCGAACTGGCCGGTGCGGATGGCGCAGGGAGCACCAACCAGCTTGTGGGACACAACAACCTTTTCGACCTTGTCGCCGAGGACATTCTTGAGCGACTTGGCGAGGCCCTCATACTCCTTCTCCTCAGCCTCACGCTGAGTCTTCTCCTCCTCAGTTTCCTCTAGCTCGAAATCCTTGGTGATGTCGACAAGCTTCTTGCCCTCAAACTCCTTCAGTTGAGTCATGGCATACTCGTCAATGGGGTCGACCAGGAAGAGCACCTCGAAACCCTTCTCCTTGAGTGAATCAAGGAAGGGGGACTTGGTGACAGCCTTGAGCGATTCACCAGTGATATAGTACATGTTCTTCTGGTGTTCAGGCATCCGGGCGACGTAGTCCGAGAGCGAGGTCTGCTCATCGCCTGACTTGGTTGAGTTGAAACGCAGCAGCTTGGCCAGAATCCCGCGGTTCTGCGAGTCCTCGTGGATACCAAGCTTGAGGTTCTTGGAGAAAGCGCTGTAAAACTTGTCAAACTGCTCCTTGTCCTCGGCGATCTCGTTGAAGAGCTCCAGAGATTTCTTGACGATGTTCTTCTTGATCACCTTCATGATCTTGTTCTGCTGGAGAGTCTCGCGAGAGAGGTTGAGGGGCAGGTCCTCGGAGTCGACAACACCCTTCACGAAGCTGAGCCACTCAGGTACCAAATCGGTAGCATCATCAGTGATGAACACACGGCGGACGTAGAGCTTGATGTTGTTCTTGGTCTTCTTGGTCTCGAAGAGGTCGAAGGGGGCGCGCTTGGGCACGAAGAGAATGGCGCGGAACTCGAGCTGACCCTCAACCGAGAAGTGCTTGACACCGAGGTGGTCCTCCCAATCGTTGGAGAGCGACTTGTAGAAAGCGGCGTACTCTTCCTGGGTGATGTCCTGGGGATTGCGAGTCCAAATGGGCTTCTGCTTGTTGAGCTCCTCCTCCTCGATAGAAGTCTCCTTGACCTTTTTGGTCTTGGGCTTCTTCTCCTTCTCCTCCTCCTCGTCATCGACCTCCTCGATCTTGGGCTTCTTGTCCTCGCCTTCCTCAACTTCCTCAGCCTCCTCATCGGGTACCTCCTTCTCGGTCTCCTTCTGGACGTGGAGGAAGATGGGGTAGGAGATGAACTCAGAGTGCTTCTTGATGACCTCCTTAACACGGCTCTCGTTCAGGTAGTCCTGCTGCTCATCCTTGAGGTGGAGGATGATCTTGGTACCACGGCCAAGCTGCTCGCCCTCGGTGTCAGGGGTAATGTTGAAGGTGCCACCGGCGCTCGACTCCCAGATGTACTGCTCATCGTCGTTGTTCTTGGAGACGACGGTGACTCGGTCGGCAACCAAATAGGCCGAGTAGAAACCGACACCAAACTGGCCAATCATGGAGATGTCGGCACCGGCGGTGAGCGCTTCCATGAACTGTTTCGTGCCAGAACGGGCGATGGTACCGAGGTTGTTGACGAGGTCCTAGACTGCGAGTTAGTAACTTATCCTACTTGTATCATGTGCGAGAGAAGGAATTCTACATACAGCCTTGGTCATGCCGATACCGGTATCCCGGATGGTCAGCGTCTTGTTCACCTTGTCCGGGATGATGTCGATGCGGAGGTCCTTGTTCGAGTCCAGCTTGCTGGGATCGGACAAGGACTCGTAGCGAATCTTGTCGAGGGCATCGGAGGCGTTTGAGACGATCTCACGGAGGAAGATCTCCTTGTTGGAGTAGACGGTGTTGATGATCAGCGAGAGAAGCTGAGAGATCTCAGCCTGGAACTCGAACGTCTCAGCCATCTTGAGGGTATCTGTGTGATCTATTGGGTATCTGGAAATTGCAGGAGTCAGTATTGACAGAACGAAGAAGGTCTTGCTCGAGTTCAAGTCCCCTGTGCAGAAAAGCTGTCTAGGTGCGGGGCGATTTTCGACAGTCGCCGAGGCAAAGACAAAGGCAACTAAAAAAAGACACTGAGAGAGTGCGACGAGCGCAAATAGATCTTGGGCCAAAGATGACAAAAGGTGTAGCAAGAAAAGCCATTCCGTTTTCAAGATTGTAATGGAAAATAAATCTGGTGGAGGGGTGGGAAGCGAGGCTGAAGGAAATCGACGGCGGGAAACCGTTGCTTGCACTTACCAAGAGGGTTTGAAAGACGATCAACAGTCTAACGTTATGCCTCGAAGACCTTGGCAGATTACTTGGGGAGAGAGTGAAGAAAAGGAAGAGAATTGGGGAGATGGAGGAAAGAATTGGAGGAGGAGGAGCTGTGGCAGCTGAAATAAAATGGGCTCTTCCCTGGGCAGTGCTCAAGCAGTTTCCACGAGATTCTATCGCCCAAATTCTGCGGCCTTCGTTTGTACGCGCCCCCGCAGCAACGGGCGGCTATTTCTGATTGGACCCTTGACGGGTCCCGCCTGGAGTTGGGCCCACTTGAGGCTGCTGTTCACCTGCTTCTCATGAGGATGGTTTCTCGAAGCTTCATGATAATTCAACGTTCCGCCAGAGTTCTCCAGGGCACTTTAAGGTGATTGTATGCCTCTTCTAAAGATGCCTGGAAACTCACACAAAACAGGTCGAGATGTCTTGTTCGCGAGAATGGAAGAGGTGTCTCGCAATCGTTGACTCTTGAACCCCGCCTACGAGGCTGAAACGAGGCTGCAGTGGTCTTGCCAACCTAACTGCCCCGCAGTCAACAAGGCCGGGCGGGCACATGCGGCCAGGAACAGCAACCATAAACCAACCGAAGTTGTGGGCATGGAGAACCTCGATATCAGGTGAGGTACCCAAGTACTGACTTGTGGTTCTGAAAGAAAGGTATAAAAGGTGGGGAGTCTTCATGTTCATCACGACATCGCCGTTTCCGGACGCATTGGGGTCCCTACCGTGTGCGAGATAGGTTTGGTGGCGATGATCGCGGGGCAGTTTTGCTGGTTCACGCCCCTGGTGCGCCACGAGTCCACGACAGCAGACCACCTACCAACTAACCACCAAGCCTCTTTGCCCCACAGCAGGCACTTTCGTCATTCGTTTCATTCACACAAAATAACCAATGTTAGGTAGCATGAATGGGAAACTAGCAGAAAATTCTTTAAATCCCTACCAAGACCAGATTTTGGTGATGATTTGGTTGATAAGTCTACAGGGTCTGTTTACCGGGTACGGTTTGGTGTCTGTTTTTGGCCAGTGGCCTGGTGCAAGGCATCTCACCAAGGCATCAATATCATTTACACCCTCCCGGCAGGAGCTTCTTTTTCTCTGCCTTCTGGTGATTGAACGTTCCATCCGGCGGCCGGATGTGGAGGGTGGCTTGGGAATGAGTTTGTCTTTCCGTCGGTTTCCTTCAATTTCTCCCTTTCATTAATTAGGTCGTCCCCCCTCCTCCGTCTCCCCCAACCCGACAGAAGGTACCTATCAACCACCGCGATCCTCCCTTAGGCTTAAACGCTTCTTTTTCCAATGGGTTCCACTTCTAGTCCCCGCTGCGCCACGTGAAGTTCAAGTTCACCTTCTGTTCCATTCTCCGGTTCCCTCAAGCTAGATGGAGGAGCGAATTGGTACATGAGCCCTATAAGTATTGAACTAATCGCCTATGCACTTCGCCATTAGCATCGTTTGTTGTGGCTGCTAATATTCATGCCACTGGGGAAACTGGACTGGTTGTAAACTTGGAAATTAGACATACCGGCCCGGCCCACCACACCCAATGGTCTGGCTCATGAAAGTCATGTCAGTTGTGGCTAGAATCGCAGGAAGATTTCGGGGGACGCACAACTCCAGTTCCATCCTGTAACAGCGAGCCCAATTGCACGAGCAGGGTTCATATTAGCACCCGTATATCCCGGTGCAATGCCCGTCGTAGCACAACTGACGAGTCCCAAGCTGAGCCCGACTAGCAGGGGCCCAAGGTGGCGTCCGTACAATACCTGCTGCCGAGGATCCAAACCGGCGCCGATCGCAAGGTACCTGTAAGCAGTCGTGGGTGTCAACGCCCAAGCTATGGGAAGAAGAGGAGTAGAACGGGTTGACTCACAACATGACGAGGGAGGACATAGCTTCGGTCAGAACGACTTGGCCAGGAGATATCTGGCTGGGATCAAAGAAGTTCCCACCTCCCATATGGCTGATAAGGGGCGAAGATTAATGATCCGCCAAAGGTAGGTAAGGGAGTAAGCCCCTAGACACTCACGATATGGCCTTGTCACGACCCCAGCACCCAAACAACACCCCCCCAGCAAGAATACCGCCGAGAACCTGGGCTACGATTAATGCAACCCCTAGCCTGACTGTCAGTCCTCAACGCTCTTGAAATTAACCTAGAGGAAGCTTAGCTGGTCTCACCTCGAGACACTGGTGTCAACCCACATAGAATTGTTGTGAATGTAATCATAGGGTTGAGGTGGCCACCCGTGGCGGTGGCTGTTGCGTAGATAAATAAAGACAGAAAGACGGTGTTGTATACGCCAACATAGGCAATAACTTGAGTGACTCCCGAGTTCATCAGGGTCATCCCGAACTGGCCGGAGAGGTATATTGAGCAAGCTGTGGCAACGCACTCAACAAGCTGGAGCCAGCTATCAGCCTTGGAGCAGAGGGGGGGTGTGGAGGGATGTGGGCGTGAGGGGTCTAGCGCTGCATTTGCTTACAGCTGCTCTCCATATGGTCCGGTCTGTCCAGCCGCTAAGGTAGTACTCTCGGCGGCGGTACCAGAGCCGGGAAGAAACAATGGTTGTGTCCCGTCCCGTCCCAGCAAACGAGCCTTGGAACGCGCCGTCTATTTTTTGTATTTGTTCGCTAGGTGTCGTGGGCCGGAGCTCGCCCTGCAACCGAGAGCGGTTGCGCGTCAAGGTTGACATCGCATCTGACGGTTATGTGTTGAATGTTGACTCAAAAAGTGCCTCGGAGTCGTTAATTTTCTTCCCACTACACTACCGAAGCGCCCGACTCCTTATAACCTGGAAGTCAAGCCGCCCGTTCGATCCTTCCTAACATGCATGGGTGGGCGTGAGTCAGCAATTGTGCAAGGTTAGAAAAGCTGGCATTCCGGCTCATTTCTCGATTACAGAGTGATTTGAAATTGGAAACTCCTGAGAGCCCAAGACATGGGGTACTGTTATCGACAAGTCATAGTCAAGAGAAGTTTACTGTACACTTTCCTGAAAGCATTATACATTGGACTTTACGAAAGACCGTGATGTCTCAAGGGGCATGTCATTCTGCCTGCGGGGAGGTAGTCTTGGCATATGAGGAGAGTGAAAGACAAACAACCTAGTTGATAAATGGCAACATGAGCAAAGGCACATTGGCCCCTCCATCGAACCTGGGATTCTTTGTTGTTATGATTTCAGCCTAGAAAGCCAAAGGTACGAGACAGAGGGGAGTCGCCCCAGCATGCCCAGTTCTCGCGGATGCTGACGGACAAAGCAGGGACGTGACCAAGCACAGGCTTTGTGGCACCGGTTGCCAGCAACATAGCGCACTGAATAGTTAATACCGAAAGCGGAAGTTACATGCAGTTTGTGGCCGTGCGGTTGACATGTTTGTGAGACGAAGGTGTGCCTGGACCCCCACTTTGTCCGTTTGTTAGTTGAAGGAAATGGAAGGTACCGGCGATCACGCCGTTTTGCGATTGCGTCACAAAACCAATTCGCCCACCTCGCTGAGAAGCTACCCCACCCTGAGCCCACCTTCAAAGTGCCAGTTGCTTTTCAGCCTTCATCCTTCCTTTTCCCTTTTTCTTCCCTCTAACAACCACCCAGTTCACCCTTTGAAAATACCTCAATTAAGATCATACCAAAACCATCCTTCCAAATCGCCAAAATGACCATTCCCCAGCTTGATGGCCTTCAGATTGAGGTGCTGAACCCGGAGGACGTGGCGAAGGCGACTGGCCCGGAGACCAAAGCGGGTAAGCTTCCCTTCTGCTTTTACCCCGCATTTTAGCTTTCTTTCACCTTGCCTCTGTCTTCGACCGCTAATAGTCCCGGTTAGGCGACACTATTAAAGTGCACTACAAGGGCACACTCACCAGTGGCACGAAGTTTGACTCCAGCTACGATCGCGGTGACCCGCTCGCTTTCACGGTCGGCGAAGGCCAAGTCATCAAGGGCTGGGATCAGGGTCTCCTCGGCATGAAGGTTGGCGAGAAGCGCAAGTTGACCATCGCCCCTGAACTCGCCTATGGCAACCGGGCTGTCGGCGGCGTTATCACCCCCAACTCTACCCTCATCTTTGAGACAGAGCTTGTCGCGATTAACTGATCGTGGCTCGTAAAGGAATCTAGGACGTGGGGGCGGGAAGGAGGGAGAATCACAGCTGGAGCAATGTCTTTTGACGTAAGCCTGCCTGCAGGCAGCGCCACCGACGCGTTAAAGCTCGACAATGAAAATTGAGACTCCCATGGGATCTCCATGGGTCGTCCATAGCACCGCTTTCGCTACTCTTGTTCCTGCTTGCGCGTGCCGAAGTGTTTTGTACCATCATCCGTCCACAACGCGGGAGCCACATTACCTAAAATACTATGTGAGGAGGGGTGTCTCCAATGGCCTGCGGCTTCCCATTTATTGTCTATCTTTCAGTAGCCCACCTGGTGTTATACAACCCCCCAATTGTCTATATTTTCTGTCCGCATACAACAGCCCAAACTGGTTCTGTTTTTGTTTCTTCGCCCCAGCCCTTTGAAGAACCTCCAGGACTTCCCCAAGCACCAAGATATGGTCCCTTACTTTTACCAAACCCCTTGCAGGTTCGTCATCCAACAGCTTACACCGCAATACGAATAGAATCCCATCACCGTGCAGCACCGGTGATTCTGTGTAATCCCGACCCCCGATAGGGCCAGGTGTTGCTGTTGCTAACGAAACACTTTCCACTATCCCACTCGCCACAAGCTTCCCAAACATATCTTCCTCGGAGCCCCTCTCCGTGTAATTCCCCTGCGCGAACCAGTCCGCCACCGCTGCGCCGGGAGCGTCATCCGCTAATATATGGAGGTTGAAGTGTCGACTAGCGGCTACGGCGTCGTAGGTGCGGCTTGGGACGGCAATGTTGAAGCTCACCACAGGTGTCGGGTGGAGGGCCAGGGAGGTGAAGGACGACATGGTCATCGCACGAGGAGTGGAGGTGGTAGATGTTGTACGCCCGTTTTGGGGGAGGGACGGGACTGGGGAGGGGTCGGTTGATGTACAGACTACGACGGGATGGGTGAGGAGGCGCATTATGGTACGGAATTCTTCGGACAGCGGAAGGGAGGGAGGTGAGATCGATGATGGGGAGGAGGCGGAGGAGGGATCCGGGAGAATGGAAGGTGGTTGTGGCGGGGTAATATGAAAAGTTCGGGGCTGTCGTGAGCTTTGAGAGGAGGGTCGGGAGTTGGTCGCGTGGAAGAGTCGTCGAGGGGGTGGGAGCAGGGCTAAGGGTCCTACAAGGAAGACATGGTTAGTTTCCACGATGTAAGTAAGGTATGAAGGAGGTAGTGAAAGTAAAGGTTGATCGAACGAGCTGTATTGGGTAACCCCCGAGGGACTAATAATAACTGCACAGCTGGATGAAACCGCGGCGCATCGCATACCCGGGCCGAGGGCGCAGAAGGGTGCCGGACGGGAATTTTGGTGGCCCGGCCCACCAGCGCACGGCGGTGGCTCATTTCAGACCCATGAGTTTTGATGGCTTGCAATTGAAGCCAAAAACCCAGTTTATCAAGTATTTTAGCACACCAGGGCCATCAAGGGAGGCTGCCTAAGATTTAGGTGACGACTGGGAAGCTCGTTTTATGGGAACATGCAATTTCGAAAATAGGATGTTGCCGGCGATAAGCGATTCGCTGCCATGCGATAAGCTCCGTTACCCCCCGAGCCCCCGGCAATTGACACCTGCGGGGCTTGCACAAGCCAACATCCTATTCACCGTACAAAATTTCAACTTCGGCGTGCCATCGCACCTAACTAAGGTGTGGAGTGCAAGTCGCAAACACCATCACCACCACCAACTGGTCAACAAAACAGGGTGGCCTCTAAGCGCGCCAGACCTCCAGTTAAGCTGGCAACCCCCCGCCCCGCTCGACTTTAAGCAAAACGTCCCGTCCCACCTCCGATACCTGGGATTCTCGCTCAGCCAGTTCCGTCGCACCATGGGGAAACTTCCGACAACACTCCTCCGGCGGCCGTCCCTGGGCGGCTGCTTGACCTCTGTCTCCCCTTCCCATTCCGCCTCCGCGTCTCTAGCATCACGACACACAACCGTTCTTGCACCGGGGCCAATACCATCCGCCGCACGACACCAACAAGTCCGACACGCGACCTTTGTGCCGCGGTCCCGCCGGCCGTACCAATTCACGCAGCTGGTCCAGCTGAGCGATGGCTCAACCTACACCATGCGCACGACGTCGCCAATAGCACTGTACAAGTCAGGCAAGGATAGCCGGAACCATCTGCTGTGGCAGCCGACCGAGAAATCGCTGCGCAACGTCGAGGTGGACGAGGCCGGGAAGCTGGCGGCGTTCCGTGATCGCTTCGGTTCCGGATGGGATGCGGATGTGCCGCCAGCTGAGGCCGCTGATGTTGCCCCCAAGGATGGAGACAAGGCCGCTGCTGGGGGGGCGGAGGGCAAGAAGACGCCAGCCGAGCCAGAAGCCGACCCGTTCGACTCGCTTGTTGATCTTATCAGCGCTTACGCTACCGAGGATAAAAATATTAAGGGTGGACTGAGCGCCAAGGACCAGGCAAAGAAGGATAAGAAGAAAAAATAGTGAATTAGCACGGGGCTAAAGGGTTTAAATGGGCGCATGAAAAGAAGGATGTATGAGGTACGAGTGTCTCCCAATCTGTACAATAACAAGACGTGGGGTTTGTGTCTAGACGGAAACAACACACAATTGCCTGAGAAAGATGGACGAATGGCTGGTTTAACGTGGGAGATGATCACGAACGGTCGAGTGAATAATGCAAATGACCTCCAACGCCATACAAGCATATAAGCGCCCCACCCCCGACTCGATATGATACGACGTGCGGCGCTTGTAATGTGAATACTAGGTAGTTTTCGTTGCATCTCGAATGACCCCTCTCTGGGTCGAACTCAAACTCCCCCAAATAAGCCATTTGGGCCATTGAACGGTGATGATTCAAGATTTCTCCACCAGCGGCCTAGTCCGAGTCTTCATGAATCCGCGCTCTCGCCCGGTCCACCGCTGTGTCGCCGGCTGGCTTGTTTGTCTGGACGACCGGTGGTCGGTAAAACACCGTCTCGTCGTCCTCAGCGTCGAGCTGCATGAGGAAGGTTTCCCATTTCTCGATAAGCTGGCGGTGTAAGCAAACAATGACCTTCTAGGATAAAAACGGGGGAGATCGCTTACCTCCTTCTGCGCCTCAACGGCGCTCTCCAAGAAGGTCTCCACTCCAGACTTGAAGTCCTCAACCTTCTCCCGCTCAAACCGGTCCAGTTCAGACCGCATTAGGCGGCCCATGTCGTCAAATAATAGGCGAGTCTGGTGTACCTTGCGCTCGGCATCCGCCACTTCTGCATTCACTTGGTTCAGTCGGTCCTGCTGGCTCTTGCCCTGGCGCAGGAGTTTGTCTTGTGCAGCCTTGCGCTTGGCGAGCTCCGACTCGGCCGCATGCCAGCTGTGAAAAGCCTTTTGGCGCTGAGAGAAGGCTTGCTTAACACTGCCGATCAGGCGTATGTACTCCTCAATGATGATGCCGAAAGTGAGCACGTCCTGCTGTGCCTGGCGGTCGTATACGTCGCGGATCGTGAGCTGCAGTTCTGAGAGTGCATCAAGCGGTCCGGAGAGTGTGGGTGACAGCTCGACGGTAGACAAGGCGTGTAGGGAAGCTGAGAAATCACCAGCAGCCTCTGCCATGGCCTTTCGCTGGGCAACCATACTGTCCATGGCCTTGAGAAGCGCCTTGAGCTGGTTCTCTAGCGCATCAAGATAGACCTTGCGGTCATGGAACCACTATCACCAAGGTTAAAACGCTTTCATCACACACGGTATTAACAGTGAAGGTTGTATGGGAACACTCACATCATCCTGCTCCACAAACTTATTCCCGCTTCCCACACCGAAGCCCAGTGATCCCAGCACGCTCTTACTCTCTCCAAGACTCGGCTCCTTGCGTTCTTTGTGTTTGACATCCACATTAAACGCCTCGCTCTCCAGAAACAGCTTCAAATCCCCATCCAATTGCAACGTTGGGTGTGCCGCGATTTTGTTAAGCATCTTCTCGAGTGCCGCCCGCCGGGACTCAACAAAGTTGCTCTCGAATCGGCCTACAGCCTGTTTCTCAGGGGGCGGTGGCACTACCACACCTGGATTATTGCTATGCAGGGAGTTGTACAGCCACAGGAAATCTCGGTACCGTCTTTTGACTTCGAACTCGCTTTGGCGGTAAGCCTTCGACGTCGTCTATGACCATAACCTCAAGGTCAGCGTTACGGCACACACACATACATACACATCCCAGTCTAGAACCGTGGGGGCTAGGCAGGAAAATAAATCACCGAAAGGAAAGAGAAACAGGAAACACATACCTTTGTCCGGACCGAGTACACAATATGGCTGCTCGTCAGATCTCCCACCTTGTGCGGATCGCCAACCGAGATCTGGAAGCTCGGCTTGGCCGCTTGCTCGATGCTCACGCTCGGGTGCGTCGCGGACCTCACTGAGCTCGGCACCGCCGCTTGAACCGGCGGTGGTTGTCTCCCGGGCCTCCCGCCACCTATCTGACCGTCTCCCCCACCCTCGCCATCGCCATCTTCAACATCTTCGTCGTCGTCAATCTGGTGCGGGTCACGCGGCCCCGTACGGAACGCCCTCCCGGCGCTAGTGGCGGATCCAGGGGTCGGTGGCATCGTGGTGCGGAGGGGTAGGTTGTTCTCCTTAAGCGGCGGGACGGGAGGACCACCTTCTTGACCTGCAATTTCCGGAGGAGAAGAGGAGTCCGTCGGAAGCGGAGGGGTGGCGGCGGCCGTGGCGGCGGCACCGAGAGGCCCTAGCGGATCATCTTCGACGGCTTGGAGGCGGGTGGGCTGGGCCACGAAGCGGCGCGGGGTGAGGCGCGAGGGGCGGTTTGAGGAAGAGGAATTGGCCGTCGACGGTGTATTGCCGGAGATGGCTTGAGCGCCGGTAGCGGCCGTCGTCGTGCTATCGTCTGCCGAGCTCTGCTGGGTGGATGAGCCGCCGAGAGGGTCCGATGCAGCCGCCGAGTCGGCCCAGGGGTCTTCCATTGCGAACGACGAGGGGGATGAGGCAGGCGAGTCGCTTGCGGGTTCGTGTGGTCAACGGCCAAATCGCTTAAAAAGATACAGTTGCGATGCGCGTAAGTTCTTGCAAGCGAAGCAACCCGCGAGTGGGATGTTGTGCGCTTCCTAGTGGTTGCCCGTGTACTATGTATGAATGGGAAACTGTCTGCCGACCTGCCCTGTTGTCGCCATGCGTTCGTTACGTACGACTGGGAGCTAAGCCGTTCTTGGCGGCTCACATTTACGAACAATTCCAGGCTGTCAATGAGCTCCCCGCCGCCCCGCAATTACCGTACGATACGCCATAGTTATCAAAGGAAGTAACCATGTATTTTTGTAACTTGGATTAACTATCGCCAACACTTTCTTACACAACTAGTTAGAGCAAGGGAAGTAGGTAGGGACTAGGTTGGGAGGTAGGGATCTAGAGACGATTCCTATTATTTTACGAACTACCTTACGGAATGGACTAATGCGCCGTGAATATTTCGTCCGTTCCGTCCGTAAATGATATAGTGAACGCAGACCGCAACCCATCCTGAACTCCAGGCTCCCATGTTTATCCTTGAGCGATCCTTCCGCCCATCCCAACGGTAATCACTCATCGGTTGCCGAATAACTTTTGGCCAAGCATACTTCTCCGCCGCCGCTTATCCCTGACGTTCCTAGCGCTCAGGGTCATAGCAACCGCCCGCAACAATCAGGTTCATGCGTGTGAACTGTACGTTCATGACCGGCGTTCTCTTGGTCGCAAAAGCACTGATCTGATCCGGGGTGATTTGAACCTCTTTGCCCTTCTTCTTCCCAGTGCCTCCTCCGCCTGTGCCTCCTCCGCTTCCGGATCCGGTCGGACCAGGCGCCGGTGGTGCCTGCCCACCGACCGTGATGCTGCCTCGATCCACGGAACCCCCAACGGCGATGGTATCGCCAGCGACCGCCCCGTCGGTTTGTGCAGCTGCCTGGACGGCGCCTCCCGCGAGGGGGTTGGCCTTGTTCGGATCCGCAGGTAGCTCGACGTCCCAGACGCGAACGGTGCCGTCCAGGCCACCCGATACGAGAACGTTCGACTCGGCGCTGAAGCTGAGGGAGGGAATTCCGCCTTTGCCATGGCCGCGGCACCGCTTAATCCGCGTACCCTTGTCAATGTCCCAGAGAATGATGTTTCCTCCAGAGTCGGCACTCGCAAGGATTTTTCCATTATGGGCACACTGCAACGCGCTGATGTAGTGGGTGTGGCCGGTGAAAACCCGAACGCAGTTCCCTGTCGAAATTGACCACATGCGGATCGATTTGTCCATCTCGTCCGACGCCGAAAAGACGTACGTGCCGTTCGGATGCCAGGCCAGTGCGGAGATGCTGGTGTCGTGGCCCACCATGAGGCGCTGCGCCGAGGCATGGTCTTGAGAGAAGACACGAACTGTCTTGTCCCAGCCGCCGGTGGCAAAATAATGCCCATGGGGACTCCAGAGGACGCGGAAGACTGGCCCGTAATGGGATTTGTAAATGCACAAACATGCCCAAACGTCCAGTGACCAAAGTCGGATCTGACCGTCCGCTGAGCATGACAAGAGCAACTTGGTGCCCGTGTCCGGTTTCTTCTCCTCGCCCTCGCCGTAAATGTTGCGACCCAAGTTGGCGATTGAGTCCGAAAAGGACACGCCGTAGACCGGGCCAGAATGTCCGATGAGCTTACGGTTGTTTACCTTGAGATCTTTTTCGCCCTCGATGCTGGTCGAGAGTGGCTTCCCATCCAAGGACCACACCCGAATGTAGGAATCCATAGTGCCCACGGCAACGAGTCGGTGGTCATTGGAGAAATCCATGCAAGAAGCGCTGAGAGACCGTCAGGAAACAGCATGGTTGGGAAGTCCCGTATTTAAGAAGGAATGACATACCTTCCCAGTGTGTTGTGAAACGTGAACATGCATGACGAGATTGGGACTCCGACGCCCCCGGTCCGGCCTTCAATCCGGAATCGGTCACGATTCTCACGTACTTTCTGCATCTCCATTACGACATCCCTCGCACGGGAGGGTGGAAGCGGTAGGTCGGTACGTGAGGGCGCATCTGGGCTGTCCTCGCGTTTGATGCGTTTGTCAAACTCTTCGACCAACGAGGGCCGGCCGTCGGCCGGTGGATGACGCTGGTCCTCATCCTCTAGTTCGGCCCGAACATCATCTCTTAGCTCGGGTTCGAGGGGCATAGGGCCGAGCTTCAGCTTGGCACTAGTGTCGAGAACATCGCGGTTAGAAACGCCGGTAAAAACGCCTGGGATGCCTTCCTGCGCATCGGCCTCATCCAGGTCAAGATTCTGGGCGCGGCGGTAGATGGCCTCAAAGCTGTAAGGCTCGATAGGTCCACGAGCGCTCGTTTCAACGCTACAATGCGTCTGCAACAAGTAGGTAATCGTCGCACCGCCTTCATCGGACTCGCGCTCAAGAAAGTGGAACAAATTTCCCGAGAGTGATTGGTTCAGTGGAATGCGGTACTTGTTCTCACGATACAGTCGAGTTGTTTTGTTTTCTTCGACGTGTTGAGGGAGTGTGACGGTAGCCAGTAGAGCGAGAGCGTCCTGATGTACCGCATCAAACTGGGACCGCAGAGTCTCGAGGAAATGCTTCGCATCATCGGTATAGCCCTGGCTGACAAGCTCGATGTACGAGTAGACGAAAACGGGCCAGAGCAACTTTCTTAACTCGAACTGTGGTTTCGTTAGCTCACGCTCAGTGGGAGGGTTGGTTCGTTAGACGATCGCACCTTATAGATGTCGAGATTGTTTTCGATCCAGTTCCGTAATAAGAGGAAAGCCTTCTGGTACTTTTTCGGACCCGACTCTTCGTTCCGTTGCGCAGGCCGCCCATCGGGGCCCAAGAAAGCTGTCTCTTGGCGGAAAATCGCCTCGGTTTTGGTGAAGCCCTTTTTCTTCAAATAGTCCGTAACCTGATCATTGTCTTGTAAGTCATAGTCCTTGCTTGTGTGGCTTGCGTCGTCCGTCTGCCGCCGCCCGGGGGGTAAAGGAAACTGAGCAAATTGTTTCCAGGGAGACATAGTGAAGGTGCTGATAATGGTGTCTAGAATGGGGTTGCAAAGATGGGAGTTCAGTTGTGAGGAAGGGAGGTTTGGTGGCGGTTGAAATAGTTGGCCGCTCGGCGAGGTAATACTGTTGAGAATGACTCTGCCCAGGCCCATTCGCGGGGTGTGACAATGGATATGTCCGTAAACCTTTGTAAACAATAACCAAGAACGGGGGTGTGTCCCTTGACGTCGTCTTCACCCGACTGCTGTACTCGCAATAGCGAACTCTCACAGCTTTTGCGCCTGTCACATCACTTGATGGAAGAGGTCTTGGCTTTGAATCGTCGTGACATTTTGAACACCCTAAAATGAAGATGAAAGAAAGCGGGCAAAGAAGTTCAAGCATGTTAGAGTGCTGGTTTTTAAACTTACAATTTGATTGAGATTTTGGGCGGATGGCGGGTTGCTCGTGCTGGACGTGGCCGCGGGCGGGTTGTTGCCGGCACCACCTGCGGATTGAGGTTGACCCCCGTACGAACCCTGCATTCCGACGGGGGGTGTTGGGTTTGACATCGTGGCCGGCGCTTGCGTAGATCAAAGGGAAGAGACAATGGCCGTGGTCGTCATGTGGGTTTTATCTTCGTCTTGGTGGGTAGTGCCTCGGCGGTGTTGAGGGCGTAACAATTAGGTACCCGGTCGTATGTACCTTTGATCGCTGAGCTGGCCCCCATACGCTTGGGAGTCCGCAATAGGAGAGAGGCCGGTGATGGTTTGCTGAGTATTGAATGTGCCGGCTGATGAAATATCGATGAATATCGGAAATTCGGGTTTAGTATCCAGATCCGTAAAGAGATGCGAATGAGAGGAAGGCCCACAGCTGTTCATGAGGGACCAAGAGGCTGGGTGGAGTTTTCCGATAGTTCCAGGTTACTAGCTTGGCACGTGCCCGGGACTAAGCTGCCCCACATCGTAACTGGTAATTACATTACCTATCCGTATTCGTAGTTGAACCTCGTTCATTGCTTCAGGGAACCTCCTTGACATAATAAATTAGATCCGCGCCTATTATTCGCTATGGGTGCACCAAACATTCACCACCAATATTTATCCAGAAACAACTCGTTTCATTGACAATTACAACCATGGATGGCTTAACGCAACCCAATAATCACAATGGCGGGGGGCCAGTGAATGTCCACCAGCCCTTTACTCCAGGTGAGCGCATCCAGCAGCTCAGCGAAACCGATCAGGTCGGTCTTTCTCCCTTTTCTCTGTTCTTAACAAGAAACTCATTTGCCCCTAGGACATTACCTCCCTCTTAGTCCACCTCTCATCCGCGATGCGTGCGCTCGCCACGCCCCCAGATACCTCCGCGAATGATGCACCTCCAGGTGATGATACCGGTTCCGATGCCATCTCGGCTTTTCACATGGCGCAATCAGCCTTTTTCACCACTGTCGACCGAATCGACAAACATCTGACCCGCCAAATCCTAGCGCTTGAGGAGGCGGGCATAATCACACTACGTAACACCAGCGCGGATGGTCAGCCACAAACAGGAGAGCCTGGGGTGGGCGACGCAGTATCAGCAGCAAACACTGGCGGCGGCGGTAGCAGAGTTCGGGCCGCTGCGCCGAAGCGGCTGGAACCCGATGGGATGGGACGATATGGAAACCTCGATGTGGGCAAACTGAATATGGCGAGCAGCACAGTCGAGAGGGATATGGAGCGCGAGGCATGGCGGTCGGCCAAAGAGGAGCTTCGAAGGATTGCCACAGAGGGCGCAGAAGGTGGTGATCGAATGCAGGAGTGATGTTTGCCTCTACGGAGATGGGCGGCTTATTTTGATCTTTTTGTTGACGGTCACGGCTGGGGCGTTGGAGGCCTGGGGCGTTGGAGGCATGGGCCTGAGGAAGGGAGTCCGGCGCGGGATCACCCTATTAGAGAAGCGGCTGGTCTACGGCCACGAGCATGGATATACGCTCTTGGGAACAGCCAGTAAGTATCATGGGTATCAAAACCTGGTTTCTTCATCCTCAACTTGCGGATGCCCCACATAATCCCCGCGAGTTGACAATTTCTTCCAGTCATTTCTTGATCAAGGACCGAGTTGAACAACGGAGCTGAATACACGATCCATCGCAGTGTTTCCCAGGCGAAACCCCCAGCCGAAACGGTCCACTACGGGAGTGCTTAACAGCACTCGACTCGGAACATCGTTACAGGATTATCTGTACAACGGACGAGTGATTCCCGAAACTTGTTGCTCGCCCAACAGTATGGGGCTCAGATCGATGGACTACAGAGCTTGTCATACGCGCCCGAAGCGATAGTGCCGTTAGCCGGCACAAAAACATTCGTCGGAATGCTGTGAGTCGTCAGCCCACGGCTCGAATCTGCGAGGGAGTCAATAAAACCTACATGGAATCGAATAAAACACAGTTCATGCGTTCATCGTTCGTGTCGATGTTGTCTATTAACTGTTAACCCCCATTTATCAAGAATTGGGCTGTGGAAACTGCACTTACCATACCAGACAAAGTACGCGGTGCACTTGTCTTCGCCATTACATGTGTACTGGCACTTGAATGGGCCGTACGGGTCGCTCTTGTGGGAGAAGAACATAATCTGGCATCAAGGTTAACCATTGTACCAGGCAGTTTCTCATTCGTTGACAGTCCTTACGTGCGGTCCTGACACATAGTGGTCGTCGTACCAATCCCGGCTGACGGTATAAGAAGTCCAGTCAGCGGCGACGGGAGTAACTATCGTGTAATCATTAATTGGGTAGGCGGGGTGCTGGTTGGAAGCCGGTATGCCGTTTGTGCAAGTCGCGGCCGCGCCACTGCTAGTAGGGGTCGCCTGAACAGGCGCCGGGCTCCGGCGAAGGGCAAGCTCCTTGATGGTTCGGTCGAAACGAGGGGCAGCCATCGCCATCGACGCTAAGGTCGCGAAGAGGGAGGTGGGTGTGAACCGCATGATAGCTGTCGTCTTGTTCTGCAGCCTATGTATGTCCTGAAGTCGTTGTCCGCGAAGGATGGCGAGGCGGAGGTTGGGGAAAGGAAGAGGGAAAGTTTGAGCTCTCGAGGTTGCCAAAATCGAGGGAACCTCGGTTGATAGGTTGAAAAAGAAGGCTCTCTAGACGACGGTTCTACGGTGGAGTTATAGGATCGAACGGAAGGAGCGATAAATAGGTAGGCAAGGTAGGGTACCTAGCCGTTGTAAACAAAAGAGGTACGTGTTAAGCCTTACGATTCAGGTCGACTTTGGCCAATTGTTTGGAGTAGCAAACAGACCACAAAATATTGGGCAAACTAAACCGCGTTTGATTTGTTCTTCCAAGGAGTTTAAAGAATGAAGTATTCCATACGTCCTGATCAAGGGAATCTCCCCTTAAATCCCCCATCCTTGCAGCCTCAGGAAGAGGGTGCAACGTCGCGAACCATGTGTGCCACACCTTAGTGTAAGGGGGATGACATCGAACAGGACCGACTGACACAACGGTCGAGTAATTAAGCCCCGTTTGTCCCACACGTTGATCGGCACTTCCACGACAATCAGTTACACGATAGGAGGCAATGAGGAAGCCTGGCTGAAGAAAAAATGTTCTGCGGGCGACGATTGCGCGTCCGACAACGGTCTAGCCTCCCACAACCCTCTTGACGAAAGCGGGCTCTACTTTGTAAGTCCGTATGGACCGGAAAGGAAAGTTCACGGGAATTGGATTCAGTCCGGGCCCCCCTTCTGCGATGAAACGCTAAATCCGTTGAAGATCAGCTTTACCCAATATCAACCCCCGAATTATCCGTCGACTGTTCCTGGATTTTCCACCCGTCTCGAGTCCCCAACTGTCAAATAGGAAGGAAGGCCCAAGGAGAGGATCCAATCGTACACCCCTCGGTTATTATTCTGATGCCTGCTCCACGACACCCACACAGAGATTCTTCGTTCCACCTGCCCCCCAACTTCTAGCGAAGAAAGTCGACAACGTAAACCACCGGTCGGCTGAGGGGGAGACCCGTGCGACTTCAAAGACGCTACACGACGATTGAAAAAACGGGGAGGTGGTGGTCAAGACAAAGGCGCAGGCAAAACAAGGCGTAATTGTGTGAACAAACATGAGTGTACACAAATGCGTAAATATATAGAAAATAAGTACTCTAATATTACCGTACGTGCCCCAAGCTTTCCCAGTTGCCTTACCTTAACGAGCCCGTGCCAGGTTGTACTACCCGGTTTCTTTTGATATATCTTCTAAGGGGCGAGTTTAACAGGTCGTGATCGAGATATTTTGGTATCACGGATGTTGTTTTGGGGCACCGAGGACGGCCACTGATGTCACGTCGATATTTACCTTTGGTTACCTTCTATCTTCGAGTCGCCGTTACAAATGGTTTAGGATACGTTCCGACACAAGACCCACGGTATCACATATAGGAGGCTGCGAAAAAAAGATTGAGAAGTGAAGAAATAGGAAATCGGAATATATGGCCGAGCAAAACAAAAAAACAGCTTCGATCTGCGTGCTTCCTGTGACGAACCTTGAACCGGTATTACTAGTATGCACAAACAATAGAAGGGGGACCTGCTGGTCACACTTGACCCCTCTGTCTCTCACAAATTACACTTCAAACCCCTTTCTCCCTTCCACAAGCCCCTCTGCCAACTTAGAAACCGCCACCCACGATGGCACGAACCGGAGCGCCTCATCCAGCGCGGGTATTGTCCCCTCCACGTTCGCATCGCTCCACATGCAAACCACGGTTCCATTCAGACCACTGTGTTTCCCGGGTGCCACAACGCCGTCATCTTCTCCGTTCTTCCACTCCACGTCCACCACCCACTTCTGATCCCATTCCCGGTGCCACATCCTCACATTCCGCACCCCGGCGTCCGGGTATTGCCCAAACCGCTCGTCCCACGCGGAGCTGCCCTGCACGCTGAACCTGGACACAGGCTTGCCAAACTCGAGGAAACACGCCTTGGTGTTGTCTGCATCGACCTCGAGGCGCGCAGCATGCGGGCCTGTCCGCGAGGTGTTGATAGTCACCAACCGGCTATAAGAATCCTGCTCAACAACCGCTGTCGGGCTATCGCCGATAGTCAGTTGCGGCGGCGTGCCGGACCCATCAAAACAACAGCCCACAAGCCCGGCTCTCCTCGACTTGCCGCACGTCAGCTCCCTCCCTGACGCCGACGGCAACTCAGCCACGATACTCCTAACATATTGTTCCACACCGTGGTAGCACACGGTGTTTGAGCCCTGGTCCAGATCCAGCGTCTGCACAAAATATACCTTGTACCGAGCCGCTGACGAGAATGGGAAGGCGGCCAGGTTGTAAATGAGCGTGCCGACAAGCACCACCAACAGCAGCACCGGCAGGTGGTGTGTAACGCGGTGGATGAACGGAGACAACGGTAACAGGAGTAGAGCGGTAAATAGGAACGCGATTAGGTAAGGCAAAAGCAGGCTGCTACCGTCCGCGCCCGTCTGGTGCACCGAGTCAACGAGCAGGAGCACCGTCTGGGCGACCAAAATAATCGCGAACGGCCCGAGCACGAGGAACTGGAGGATCCAGGTCCAGGAGGGGAGGTTTCCAGACCAGGATTGCTCGTGCTCAAAGGGCTCGCGGCGGTGCTGCGCGAGACCGCTGTCGCTGTAGCGTCGTGTGGCACCGTTGACGATGGCAGAGATAGAGCGACGGTAGTTGGTAGTGAAGGTGGTCCGATTTTGATCACCCGAGCCCGTCGAGCCGCCCACGAGGGGCGTGCGCTCCGTTGGAGATTCGGCGTCGGCGTCATCGTCAACGCCGTCTGTGCCCTCGGCGGTGAGCGTTGTGTGTTTAGACTGCCCCGCCCCGGTTGGCGTGGACTCTTGATCTGGTGCGGAGGACAGTAGCTGGGACTGGGAGAGGTCGTCGTGGGAACGACCGCGGTGGAAATCCCTTTCCTCTTGCTCTTCGCGCAGCCTTTGGGCCCAAACAGACTTTGCGGGCAAAGCAAACTGCTCGCATAGAGCGATGAAGAGCGACAGAAAGAGGGCTGATTCGAGAAACACAAACATGTATCCAGCACCAATCCTCAACCGGTCCTCAGCAACGGTCACTGCCACGAGCGTGGCCCATCCGAGAATAAATAGCCAGATCTGCGCGTAAGTTTTATGCAAAGCGCTGGGCCTCGCAAAGTTGGCTCCCCGCATGATAGCCCAAAAGGCGAAATAGAAGAGCGAGACCATCATCGCCAGACTTTCCAGTGCGGTTAGCATGGCTCCCTTCAGCACCTAGAGAAGATAACGTAGGAAAGACTTACACAGAATAGCGGCTAGTATAGATGACGAAAGGGTTCACCTTTCTTAGCAAGTACGCGGCTCCAAGCGTTAGAGACCCGGCAACCACAAGCGCAAGTGGGAACCGGAAGAAGCCCTTCCACCCACCCACAGGAATCGCCTCGTCATCGAGCAGATCTCCCCGACCGGCAACACTCGAGCTAAACAGGTAATACTTATCCGCGCGGTGAAGAAGATAACTGACCAGAACCAGGATTAGCGGCGTTGCAATCAGCACTGTCAACGACCAGGCAAAGAGCCCCCTTAGGCCAAATAGCACAAAGCCCTTGCCGAACAGATCAAACCATACTCCGTCGCTAGGGCTGCCGTTATGCACCTTCCCACGGGCTCCATCGAGTCGTGGGCCGATGAACGTGTCGCCCGTAGCATCGCTGGATAGCCGAGTAGCCGTGTGAATAGAAGCAGAGAGCATGTGCCACAGGCTGCCTCGAGATGCGTGTCTTGCGTCGTCCTGGTTGGTGTGGTATCGAGCTCGCGGTTTGAAGAAGGCCAAATCCAGGCCGCGTTGGCCAAAGATATCGTACAGAACGGAGTAGTCCGTGCCGCTCCGGATGAAGCCCAGCCCGAAGGCGTCGGAGGCGATGATGGTTCCGAACGGATCTGCTGTTCCTGCGTAGGCGGCGGTGACTTCACGGTCGGTGGTGCGGAAGACCATGGCCCGGCCACCAGCCCCGGCCCCTTCGAGGTTCAGGAACGTGTGAATGTAGGAGTTCAGGGGGTGTTGTCCGAGGGCACGGGCGCCGTAGAGGTAATCTTCTTCCCCGTTGTTGAGCATGACAACGATGCCCCTCTCGGGTTGGTTGCCGGGATGGGTAAAGTACTGAATTAGCTGCAAGCAGGTCACAACTCCCATCCCATCGTCCGTGGCGCCATACCCGGTCGAGACCCTAGCATAGCGGTTAGCCACCCAATGTATAAATACCCTCGCCATCGACGGGAGAGTGGAGAAACTAACGAGTCGTAGTGTGCGTTAACCAAGGTCAAGCCCTTCTCATTCCGCCGAGTATTGTGGACATCAGCATCTTTCCACCACGCCCCTGCGTCGTCCGACTTTCCCCTAATGTACACGAGAATGTTGGTGCCTTCAAAGTAGGCTGCAACCTGGGGTGTGTTGGGGTTCGCAACCACGCTGGATGCCATGAGAAACGTGCAATTAGAGACCAAGTCATCAAACACGGTAACAGGCGCGTCTGTGGCCGCAGATTCAGACCTAGTGTTTCATGGTGAGCTTTGAACAACACGCCCGTAGCTGCCAGATCAATACTCACCCGTCGGTGGTCCAGGCCACTTCATTCTCATCCAAAACCGACCGAACCCGCCCAAGAAGATACCCTCTCAAATCATCGTTATAGTGGCTGTTGTACGGGTGATAAGCCCGGGTAATAGTTGCTAGGTCTAGCCATGCTTGTGTGAGATTCGTCCCTGGCACTGGCGATTCCGCGTTTGGCGGTGGAGGGGTGGTTTCGTTGATGACCACGATGGGTATGAGCAAAGCTAGGTAAGTGACTGTTGTCCAGAATGTGACCGGTCCCGGCCGGAATGAAAAAGGGTTCAGCATCTTTCACACACCCCGATCTCGGCGGTTTGACCTTCTCTCAGTCTCTCAGTCGGATATCGCGAAGCGGCCTTGAACCTCTCGCTTCAGAACGAACGAGGTTGACGATTATAAAGGTCGCCTACTAAGGAAAACCGCCAAGTCGTAGCTGCATTCGCAGTAGCAATTCCAACTTGGCCAGCAAATGGGTTTTTGAAAAAGAAAACGGATCGCGCAACAGGGTGTCGTCGGGAGTTCGTCCAGCTATTCGGAGGGCTGCAGATGCTTGCTACGCAGACTCATGTCGGAGCCTCTACAGGAGGAGCTTGCCTAATCTTGGACCAGCGGAATTTGGCGAGTGATCACGTCGTCGCGTTTTGTCACTCGCGAGCGAGCTCAAGAGGCCGACTCTGGGAAAACAGACTCGCCGAAACTCCCGCTAAAACAGACGAGGTTTCTTGAGATGGTAGAGATAATACGAATAGTTAGAGGGTGGAAAAACGCGATCCTGTCAACTGAGTGGGGGGAAGTTGGAGCTGAGATGGCCTGGAAGATCTGCTGTGGTCCAAGCTCCCCCCCTGTGATGTCACAAGGACCCTGCTGACCAGCCCCAGTGCTTCAAATCCCCAAATCCCCGCCTTACCAACATATAGGAGGTAGCTTTGGGGGGAAAGGTGCGGACGGAAATCTCATTGAACGCAAACCTCGCTGAGCGTGATCAAATCAAGTTGTTGGGCAGTTAGAAGTAGTTATTATGGAGTCTTGGTGGTGTACACAGTACAGTACGGCTCGTTGGCTTGGTCATTAAACAGACAAGCGGTGCAAGTCAATGCACCGTACTAGGTAGACAATGAGAGACGGGAGCATGCCGGGTAGCTATCACAGGAGATGTTACGTACGAGCACAGCATGGTTCAACAGAATTTCTACTCTAAACATGTACAGTTAGTGCCCACCTCATATCCCTTTGTCGGCCAGACTGACGGCTTCTCGACCGTATAAACCTCGTTGACAAGTTAGGCTATGGGAAAGTGAACTTTGCAAATTGAAGTAAAAAGAAAAAAGAAACACAATCCTATCAGTCAGTAGCATCCCACGTGCTGATTCAACGCATGTTGGCGGTGTTAGTTCTCCAGGTCCCGCGGCGTTGTCCTTAAGCACCCGGAGGCGGTGGGGGCAGATCCATGGGCGGAGGAGGCGGCGGGGGAGCATCTCCAGACGGTGGAGGGGGCGGCGGCGGGGCGGCATTAGCGTACTGACTGATCAGCGCGTTAAGACCACCGGGGAGGCCGGGTGGCGGACCACCGGGCGGCGGAGGAGGAAGACCAGGGGGGGCTCCGCCTGGGATGGGCGGAGCACCCGGTGCGCCGTAACCGCCATAACCCGGGTAGCCACCATAACTGGCCTGAGGGGCCATCGGTTGATTCCAAGGAGCATTACCATGGCCTGAGGGGGCGTTTCCATAGGAGTTCTGGCCGGGATAATAGTTGTCTCCACCGCCGTCGCGGTTGTCGGGTCCGCGGTAACCACGATCCCGATGGTCGCGATCACGATCACGATCACGGTCACGGTCACCGCGATCACGAGCCCAAGGTGCAGGTCCACCGGAGGGGCCAGCAGGCGGTCCGCCTTCTTCGCGGTCGTTGTTCCGGGAGCGCCACGGAGCGGGGCCGCCAGTCGGGCCTCTGGCCCAAGGTCGGGCATCACCTCCGCCAGGGCCGCTGGGGGGGGCGTGGGATCCAGGTCCAGCCTCAATGCGTGCCGGAGCAGCACCAGTGCCGCCAAGTTCTTGCATAAGTTGCTGCCATCATCGTTAGCTTACTGCAGGCAGTAGTCGCGGACAGTCTTAATGGAACGTTGACAAACCTCGTATTCGCGATCCACCGCGTCGCCGCCACCACCGCCTCCCAAGCGAGGAGCACCAGGCCGTCCCATTGGGTTGTCGTTGCGCCAACTCGCACCGCGCTGGCGATCCGGGCAATCGCGAGCCATGTGGCCGGCGTTACCGCAGACACGGCAGATGATGCTGGCAGTGTAGTTCTGCTTCTCGGGACAGTCGTACTTGCGGTGTCCAATCTGGCCACAGTTCTGGCACGCCTGGTTTTCATCATCGCGAAGCGTTCCGTTGAGGGCAGCAAGCTCACGGAGCTGGTTGCGCTTCAGCTCGTTCTGGCCTTCGGGAATGGACGCGGCCTGGATATCGGGTTAGTATGCGCGGTGTTTGCAAGGGAAAAATGACGGGGAAGATACGAACCGTTTCAATGACGTTGTGGATCAACTTCTTGGCTTTGTTCACCTTCTCCTCGGTGTCCGCCATGATAAGACAGTGAAGATCCTCTTCCTGATTACTTGAGTGGGCAGCGTCAGAGCGGCCCTTGCCTTCCTTCACGGAACCTTTTCCGCGGATGGCAATCTTAGCGCCAGATTCTGTTTCCATTTTCTTCAGCGTGTTACCACGGGGTCCGATGAGTAGACCAACTTAAGAAGGGAAAAAGGCTAGGTGTTAGTAAACTGAGTTAAATGGGAGCGTGGTGAGTGAGTTAGATTCCGAAAGGGTTAGCCTGCAAGGCACGGCATCACGGCAGGATGCTGACACAAATGCCCGGCAAAGTACCGCAGGGAAGGGGGATTGAGTGGTTAGAGAGGTTAGAGGGTTAGCAATCATACTGAAATTGATTTCTGGGTAATCGTTAACCGGGACGTAGACCTTCTCTTGGGTCTTAGTCGGCCGCCGGTAGTCGGACGGCGGGTGGTAATTCGGGATGACCTTCATAGCCTTTTCGATCAACTTGTGACGCTCATCCTCGAGACGCTTGCGGTAGCGGTATTCGCGAGTGTTGACACGGCGACCGTGGTTGTCGTACTGCGGGGGAGGCGACGGAGATCTAGCAACGACACGTCAGCAAAAGGGAACACCACCAACCTACCGGTCGCGATACAACGAGAAAAAACATACCTATCGCCATCAGCCGGCACAACATCATCGATCTTGAGCTTCTGTGTAATTTCCTCAATGCGTAGATGAAGAGTATAAGCCTCAAGCTGTTCGCTGGTCATGTCGGCGACGATGGCGGTAGGCAAGCCCATCAACCCAGCAGCCTTGTTCTCAGTCGCATCACCCCAACGATTGCGCTTCTTCCGGCGTTTCGGCCCATCCTGTTGGGAGCCTGCAAAGGAGAGGTTAGTGATAATCGGTATGACTGAATGGTGCCGCTCAAACTTACGCTCAGGGCTGCGGCCACGCTTCACATCAAGGTCGTCATTCGAAAAGCCATTCGGCGTCGATCCGCCGTTTGCGACGCCATCTTCTTCGTCGCCTCCGAACCGACGCTTTCCAAGCGGGATGTTATTGGACCCTGTGATGCCTTGATTTCTCCACGACATCGTGCCGATTAGCTTGGCGCTGGTAATTAAAATACCGTGAGACTTTGTCCGTTGGTTGAAAAAGATTCACGCGGGCGGCGATGCGCTTTCCAAGAATTTGGAATGTCGCGACAAAGCACTGCCCACATTTGCCACTAACCTTATCGAGGGCCAAAAAGTAGTGATGACAGTCACGTGATACAGTTGATGTGGATACTTGCCAAGTCTCGGGGTTCTTTGGGAACTCACGCTCACCACCCCAATTTCCCTCTGGATTCGTTGAATTTACTCTGTATCGAGTATCGACACGCTCCCCGCACTCAAACTAGCAAGTTCTCAAAGTAAACTTCCCTTTCAGCATTATCTAACCCGCAAAGAATGGCCCGTTCATTTCTTCTTAGCGTCCTCCTGCATTCCCTTCTGCACCCAGGCCCTCGAATGCTCAGCAGCCTTGTCCAACTCCGCCTCAGTCTTGCCTCGGTTCTCGAGCGCCTTGTGCTCGCTGGGGACGTGCCTGCCCTTGTTGCTTGCGGGCCGGGCGACAACCCTATCAACCCAAGCATTCACGTTGGGAAAATCATCCAATGAGATGCCGGCCCATGCTAATTGCCGAGTTGAATGGCCCCGTTAATTATGTTCAAAGAACTTCCGCTAGCAAATCAGGTAGTATCACTTACAGCTGGCGGCAACCCAACCCCAAGAAGCAAGGTCCGCGATGGTCAACCTGTCACCAACAAGGTAGCCTGATTTGGAGCCCTCAAGCTGCGTTTCAAGGACCCGGTACAGGCGGCGTGTCTCGTTCTGGTACCGATCGATGCCGTACTGGATCTTCTCAGGGGCGTATCCTATTTGGTTTTGTTAGCCGTGTCTATCCCGGCGGCATGTTTGGTGAGATCTTGACGTACTAGCAAAGTGGTTTGCTTGCCTGTGCTTCGGTATTAGCATTTCATTGCCCCGTCAAACCATCGTACGAAAACCGACTCACCCTTGCATCGGCCCAAGACCGCCCATCTGCCAAAAGAGCTATCGTCCATCTCACTGTCAACTATCCCGCTCGCACACGAACAACAACGGATCCAAGTAAAAGCAAGGGGCTATGAAGTCATACCCAGCTGTTGGTCTCATAATACTCCTTCGTTCCCCGAGGATACGACACCTTGTGCTCCGTATCGTACCGGTCAACCAAGTACTGCAAGATAGAACCACTTTCAAACAGGCGGATGGGAGTCCCGTCAGGGAGGGTGTCAGTCAGCGCGGGAATGCGGCCATTGGGGTTGATCTCAAGGAACCACGGTTCTTTCTGGGTGTTCTTGCTAAACTCGATAGCAGTGACCTAGGGAAGGCTTAGCACAAAGAAGTCCCACTCGACTGTTTGTTAACCAAGAGAGCGCTGAGAATTACCTTGTACTGCAGCCCAAGCTCCTCCAGGAGCATTGATACCTTGATGCCGTTCGGCGTCTGTGCCGTGTACAGATGGATATCCGACTTTGTTTCAGCCATTTTGTGAGAGATGTTGCTTCCTATGGTTGCTAGTTGTGGGCTCAACTAAGGATTTTACCATCCTAGGAAGTGAGGTTCTCATACAAATAAATACTCCAAACATGTATTGGCAGGGCGCGCTCTTCCCAGTGACTTATTAATCATGATGCGAGGGTAGGTATGACGAAGCAAAAACGACATCATTCGATGCGGGGATTAGAAATCGGGGGACGCTTCCCGGCTAAGCTAATCCACAACCGGAGGGGTCCTAGGTCCAGAAGCTTCCCCAAAAGGGTTCATTTTCCACAAACGCCATGAGCTTAATGCATAGTACCCGTTGCTTTTCCCGGGAAGTAGATGACCCGAAGAGAGACACACAGCAGCTCGCGGGAATAAAGCCCCTTCGGCAAAGAAACACTCCAACGCGAGCTGCATCCGAGCCGGGCCCCGCTCTTTTTATTCCCACCTCCTCATATGTCCGGAAAGTAGGGAGGTATGCACGAAAATGGGAAACGAGACCTGAGAGTAGGTTTTGGTTTATACATTTTAATGAAACAGCCTTTAGTTTTGTTGAAACTGTATCTCAACACTAGGTAAATAGAACCTCAGTAAAATATCCCGAGGTCAATGAGTGAGTGTATAATTGTCATCAAAAGAACAGAAAAATATCCATTACAGCCATGGGAAATGACCGATACGCAGCCGCACGCTTCCTGCAGTTAAACCCAACAGATTATACGCACCACCTCGTCTCTATACGCACCCAAACAGCGAGTCAACGGCCGCTCTCCCGAACTACGAAGAAGCCGCACACATCTTGCCGTCAGGTCCCACGGTCCACATCTCACTACCCACCGCCTTGGTCGCATAAAAGAATCCATCCGGGTCATACTTTTGCTTGATCTGCAGCAATGTCTCGTAGTTGGACCCAAAAAACGCATACTGAAAACCCGGCTGGCGGAAATCGGCCTCGTTCATGTACGCGCCGGAACCCGGGGTGACGTCCTCGATACGGGGCATTATATCGTCCGTCATGAGTTGCTGATTAGCAAGCATATCGTCCCACTCGGCCGGATCGAACGACCACACGGTTGTGAGCGTAGCGTGCACAAGCGGCGTACGCCATGCCGGTAACACTGCGTTGGAGCCGTCTCCGCCAAAACGTGACACGTCGGTGCCAACACCAATCCACGTCACGTTCTTCTCGGCGATGTAGCGTGCAACGGACGACATTGCGGAGGCGTTGTTCTGGAACGCAGAGAGCGGAACCAAACGACCGCCATACTGGGCGATGCCGACCTGGATATTGCCGACCGGAAGGGGCCCAAAGTATTGGTTGTAGTGGTCATAGTATGTGGCGGATTGAGTGTAGTTGCTGGTGAAAACAATCCCCATTGAGTTGAGCTTTGCTACGAAAGGAGCCAGGATGGACTGGACCTCGGCGGCAGTCTTGTTGTAGGCTGTCAGGGGTGCGATCTGAAAGAAGCTCGAGGTGAAGTAGTAGACGACCATGGCCTCCGAGGCAATCATGTCTGGAAGTGCAGCATGGAAGGCATCGATCGCGGCATAAAAGTTTTCGGTGGGATTTTCGTTCGCGTAAAATGCAATCGTGCCGCCGCCCACCTGGGCCTCGGGAAATGTTTTGACGGTCATGCTGACGACGACCCCATAGTTCCCCCCACCACCACCTGAGAGCGCCCAGTAGAGGTCAGAGTTCTGGGATTTGGAAGCCGTGAGCAACTGTCCATCGGCCGTCACAACGTCGAACTCGAGGGTGTTGTCAGCGGACAAGCCGAAGCTGGTGCTCAAAGCAGAGTGGCCTCCTCCCTGGGTATAACCGCCGGCGACACCAACCGTCGGGCACTCCCCACTGAGCAGAACCTGGCCACGAGCCCGGGTAGCCTCCATAGCTTCGAATCCCTGGATGCCAGCGCCAAGCTTTACGGCACTCCCTTCATAGCCTGCGTCGTTCCAACCCACGAACTCGATATCTTTAAGTTTGTGAGTCCACACCGACAAAGCTCCGGCGCCAGTGGATCGACCAAGGTAGTCGTGTCCCGTGTTACGAATAACAAATCGGATGTTGTGCTGCGTCGCGAACTTGACCGCAGCGACAACGTCGTCTGCGGAGCTAGCCTCAACCGTGTACACCACATAATTGCCGAGGGTACAGGGTTTGGATTCCGCCGTAAAGGGGTCACAACTCTGGTTCGCAAAGAATGGAGCCATGACCGAGGCAGAATCGTCCATACTACAGCACAATGGCAACCATTAGCAATTGGCGGTCCACCTCAGGTGAAAATACACATAAGACGCTGAGGTCCGGACGACCCCAGGTCGCTGACTTACTGGGTAGCCGGGTTTTGCCAACCATCCTGCAAAACTTTGCACTCCGCTTGGTCATAGTTAGGGTCGTGGCATGGCCTAGCGAGAGGTGTGGTGGCGATCAGGCGGCCGTCAACTGTTTGGTTCAAGAGGCTCCAGTCGTCGAGCAACGGCCAGCATGCGTCACCCGGGAAGCATTTGCACTCAGCCAAGCCGATGGATGTGGTAATGTTCACTTCCACAGCAAGCACGCTGAAGGCCAGCAGACCGCCGGCGATGAGTGACGCGATCATGAGTCCGATAAAAGAATGACGAAAGGTGGGATTGTCAGAACATAAACGAGTGTGTGGGGGAAAGTTATTAAGGGGGCCTCCCCATGAAGGACCGTAATGGAACGAAAAGCCAATCTGTAAACCTCAAGAGCGTCGAACGGCCTCCTCAGAGTTCTCGGGAGACCCTAAATGTTAACTTTGCAAATCGGTGGAGCAATGCTCCCTTCAATAACTATCAACAAAGAACCTGGGAAGCCAGCCGGCATTTGGACGGGTATGGCAAAGGCGGGCGGTGGTACACCGAGACACCGTATGGCCGGCGGCCGTGGAGCACAAGATCTTCATCTGGCATGGTGGGACAGGAGCTTGGTACCTTACCAGAACCCTGGTTCAAATTTCCGCCTACACGCCAGTGATGGAAAATCGGAAGAGCATTCATGGTTTACCCAGAGTAGGGCAGTGGCAGAGAACGAGAAAGCATGACCGGCAGTCGTTTGGATCGGCGGATAAGTCACAAGCCGCAATCCTAAAATCTCCCGCAACGACGATGAGTGGTGAAAAAGTGGAAAGAAGGAAGGGATGTGGTGAGTGTGAAAGAGTGTAGTGGGGAACAACTGACGGATACTGGAGGCCATGATTGGTCGAATGACCCGGGATCGGCTCTCTCGAGTTGACTGGCCGGGCCCGCTTTTTAACTCCCGGGAAAGGGGGTATGAACATCAACAACCTACAACCTCGAACCTGGAAAGGGAAATTTCAAGTTTGAAAGGTCATCCCATCCGCCTTGTTGGTCACCTACACTTACAGCTATCAACGCCTTTTTGTTTCCCACAAGTCCAAAACAGTAGCACTAAATCGCGAATCATGTAACTCTTTCCTGACTTGTCGCCCAGCTTTCGACCATGGACGCTCACGGACACAACCGTACCTTATCAATGGACGCAGTGGGCGGGTATTGAGGGGGGCGGCCAAGAGGGTATGAAATGTGGGCATATCTGATCGTCGTGGACGCGCTTTTGCGCAAATCCGCATCCCCTAACCACGTGTCAGCCTGTTACTATGATAGTCCTGACTCAAGTTTGAGTAAGGTATGTACGACGGCGGCCGCTTCGCCTGTCGGCATTTCCGCGAGCCGCTCCAGGGACATTCCCGGCGTGCGATCCACAGCCACCTCGGCATGGAGTCTCGGGTACCTGGTTTCGTTCCTATGACGGCCGATCTGAATGGCAGCATATCGTGCTATCCTCCGATATTCTTCTCTCATACTCGAAGCGCTTTCCTCTCTCGTTCGCTATCTTAGGGTAATATTGACCATGTGCTGACCTCCCTCGCTCATGCCGCATGCCCCAAGGAAACGGATGCCTCGCTCGCCCCCGTGTGAGATGTTTGCGACGTTGATCAAGTCAAATGCAAAGCATTTTCTCAAGCCCTCGGTCGCCTTGGTCATCACCGCGTCCCTATTCATGCCCCTACTGTCTACGGCAACCCGGGTCCTGGTAACTGGGAGGCCCTTCTTGGCCTCTGACACTCCGAACCGGTGCCCGGCGCATTAAGGTTTCCTCTCTCGCCCCATCCTCCTCCGTAATCTCGAATGGCCGCCCGCCCGGGAGCTGGAGCAGATCGGCAGATCTCCCACATCCTGGTCCTGGGTGTGCATCCCCCATCCGATTAAGTATCATACTTTAAAGCCTCGATCGGTCCCCAAAGCTTACCACGCTTGCGGTCAACCCCCCGTCCCACGCTTCTGCAATATTAGGGAGAGAAAGAGAGAGACTGGTCGCCGAAATGGGCTGGACATACAACACTCGAGATCCTGATGCACCCACCATAGGGCCCATGATCACTGGCGTTGCCATTGCCCTCACCCTTCTCTCTCTCGTCACAACGTGTCTTAGGACCTATGTCCGGGCACGTATGATCAAAGCCTTTGGAATCGGTAAGGTCATCCTCAAGTCATGAAAATGATGTATTTTCGAACTCACACTGGTGTCGAGCACAGATGATTGGATGATTTTAATAACGTGGGTAAGTATGCTGCTCAAGCTCAACCGACCTCCTCCTTTGTTTCTTACTGCTATCTCACTCTCATGGCCCGTTCTCTGACGGCTCCAGTTTTGTGCGGCCGGCTTTGCGATTATCACCGTTGTCCGTAAGTGTGAAATATTTAGATGGTAACCCAGGTTGACATAGCGCAAAATGGCTAACAGTACCGAACAGAAACGAAATGGGGCCTTGGCTTGCTTCATATCCAAGACCTCCCGGACGAGGACGTGTATAATTTCGGGCTAGTGAGTAGAACACCTGAGCTGACGGTACTGTTGAGATGCTGATTATCCTCTAGTTACAATACATTGGCGCTCCGTTGTTAGTTTCGTTAACGCGCTCCCACAAAGAGCAACCTCGGCTGACTCTTCCACACAGCTACATCACCAGTATTCTCGGCTTCAAACTCGCCCTCCTTTCTTCCTACGTTCGCTTTGTCCCGCTTGGGATTTATCGTAACATCCTCTTCGGCGTCATTACGACCTGTATCTTGTTCCACCTCTCTTTCCTTCTTGTCCAGCTAAACCTCTGCCAACCGGTCCGGAAACAATGGGATCCGGCTGTTACCGACGGGTCATGCGTTGCGAGTGTGCCGTTCTACACATCCATGGCCTCGATCACAATCGTCTTTGATGTTACAGTGTATGTCCCCCCTCCCCTGCGCCTCACCCACAGCTCCCCTTACACCCCGATTCTTTCTCTAATCCATGCGTTCTGGGGGTGCCACAGGATGCTCCTCCCTTTCCCCGTCCTTCACAAATCCCACCTTCAAACACGGAAGAAGCTTATCCTGTTCGGCCTCTTCGGCCTTGGCATCTTCATCACCGTAATCCAAATCATCCGCATCCAGACAGTCAAGCAACTAGTCAACTACGTCGACAGTGCGCCTCTCATCCTCTGGTCCTCCGTCGAGAACAACCTCGGCATCATCGTCGCCAACGTACCCACCCTCGCGCCGCTCGTCAAGTACTACAACGTCCGCAGTTCTCGAGGAGGCGGCATCAGTACCAGCGGCAAAATGAACAAGAACGGGACGGGGAACTCGGCCGGTATGGCAGTGGGCGCTGTCCCGACCATTGGGTCAGCCACCGCCCGGGGCTGGCGCCACGGCAGCAGCGGCAGCCGCGGTAGTGTGGATGAGTTGGCGACATGGCATGACACAACGGAGATGGGTAGTTTTGGTGGGTCTGCCAGTGCTGTGTGCGCCAAGGGGGGCGGGAGTATGGACTCGATACTGTTGGATAAGTCTGGTAGTGATAGCGGTAGTAGTCATCGGCCGCCCATGAGCCGGGACGGTGAAAAGATAGGGGACACTGGAGAGAGATGTGTCACACCAAGGGGTATAACGAAGAGGGTGGAAGTTGTAGTAACAAGGACCTAGGAGGTAATCATTGTTTATTAAGCTGGATGATAAAATAACGGGGTTCTTGCGCGCATGTTATACTGTACATGACGTTCAACATGCTTAGCCACCACTGCAGCAATGGTCATTATAATACGAAGGCTACGTTCAAAACCATAGCCTTGTTGTGCCAAGCCCTTTGTTAGCATAGGCATAGTATCCCAAGCTTCTAGAGCATAGCCTTCCGACTGCGAGGCTTTCTTCACACTGTGAATTACGTTTTTGAATCCGTTGAATCTATCTGAGTGGTGGAATTTTCCGTCACAACTTCAACAGTCGATTCACCACTGGTTTCGGTAACCACTTTGGGCCGACCAGTCCTTAAGCCATTGGCGACATGCTCTTCCTTAACCTTAAGAATACCGGATGCGCGATCAAAAGGCAACAGCCAAAATAGTAACAATAATAGTAGTAAATAGAGTCCCCCGGGAACCCACGACGTCTAACAACCCAAACGCCGGCCGCGCCATGCCATCTGTTCCGCCAAATCTAGAGCAAGGTTTTTTGTTGCCGCCTGCTTGTCATGATACAAAACACCAGCGCTTGGGGTATATATATATGCCACCCCCCCCCCCCCCCCCCCAACCCCCTCCAACCAATAAAGTCATCCGCCTATCTATCTGTTTCCTTGCTTTCACCACCGGGATACCTTCCGCCCCGTCCTTTCACCCTTGCATCGGTGCCACGACCCGCCCAGCGTCGACCATAATCAGCTCCTCGAGCCTCTTATCCACATCTGGCCCGTACTCGACCCGCTTCCAGGTTGTGATGCGTGCCTCGTTCATGTTGAAATCGAAGATGCGGATTTTGCGGTGGAACCCACCGTAGCCTGCGTAACCGCCAAACCCAACGGCGCCAGCATGGCACATCCAGAGGGCAGGCTTCTGCTCCGCTGTTTTGGAAAGGCCGCAGTACTCGTTCACATGGTCACTAGTACAAGGTTAATTTCTGTAGGATGCGGGCTAGGAACCTTAGGTATCAAGAGAGACTCACTGTCCGCAGCTGACCATGGAAATCCCTTGCTCGACAAGCGCATTGTAGAAGCCAGAGTTGTAAGCCGGCGCTGTGCTCGGCTCTTTCCACTCACCCACAAATGTGAGGTTCTCCCACGTGTACTCGGGGATGGGGATATGAATAAAAGCGACATCCATGTGGTGATGGGTGTATTCTTTGTGGCTTCTCTTGAGGCTTTGTGCAGTATTGCGGAACCAGTCAATCTGGTTCTGCTTGATCCAGTCATAGCCCTGATACTTGCGTTCGTTGGGCGAGTACGAGTGCGTATCGAGTAGGTATACTGTGATGGCCGAGTGGCCGGAGCTGCCGCGGGCCAAAACCTCGACGTAGTAGTTGCCTACGCCATCAATGTCCGGGGGACCAGCTCGCGAAAGAGAGTAGGGTAATTTCTCAATCAGGTCCATTTGTGCTGCGCGTGACATGGATCCCTCATCATCGTGGTTGCCGAAGATGGAAGCGTATGGAATCTTGTGCTTGATGAGTAGTTGTGCGTACTTAAAAATGGCCTGTGAAGTATGTTAGTGACATTCCTCTTAATACACACACCGCTCGGAAAAGTCCCAGTCCGGACTCACAGTTTGCGCATCCGGAGAAGTCTCTCCATTCACCTGGTCGCCGCTCAGCACGACCATATTGGGCTTCTCTTCCTCAATAATCTTCTCCACGAAATCCAGCGTCCGCGGATCGGCCTCGCATTTAACACCCTCCGGCAACGCATCTCGGCAGTTTCCTACCCCTGTGCTTAGATGGAGGTCCGCCAGTTGCATGATCTTGAACCGTCCGTTTTCCGTTATCCTGGGCACGAGGCGGGGCACCTCGAGTTCCGACCCTCTCCGAATCGTGATGTGCGTCGTCGGGACGTCCGGCGATGTATCCAACAGCATCGCGGTCCCAATGATCCGCCAGCCGGGCCGCGCCTCGACCGCATCATCGCCAAACAGCACATCCAGCCCCGTCACAGCCACCTCGGAATCACTCACGCCGCGCTTGTTGCTTCTCTTGATCCATAGCCCGCCAGGTCGCGCCTCCCAGTCCTCCTCCCCACTTCCTCCGCTATCCGGCGCACCATCCCTCCTTGTGCTCCTCCCATAATCGTCAATATTATTATTACTGCTCTTCGCGGCCGCCACGTCTGGGTTCAACCGCCCCACGCTGACGTCAATGACCACTTTATCATCCGCCGTCAACTCCTCCTCTCGTTTGCGCTGCACGTGCAGATAGGCAGACGAGAACATGGTATGGTGGAGGAACAAGTCCTTTTCGATGCGGTGCCAGACAGCGGGGTCGAGCTTGCAGGACGAGAAAACGTTGAGGGTTGAGCATCGTGTCAGCGTCACGTCGGTGATGACGGTGCCCGCGTGGTGGGTGGGTAGGTACTCGTGGAGGGCATTGGGGAGGACACGGAAGTTGCGGTCGAGAAAGAATATGACGATGAAGGTGAAGACGGCGGCGGTGGTTGTTTGCACTATTGTGCGGACCTAAAGGGGCGGGGCAGAAAAGCGCTGAAATTAGCCACGATCAAAAATTTTCTTTACTTGTTTTCGCTTTCCCTCCTTCATGTACAAGGGATGAGTCGGGAATACGAGAGGTGCGGGGCGTACAATGCGTCGCGTCATGGCAGATTCAAGATAGGAAAGGTATTGCCGGTCATGTAACAGTCGCTTTTATCTTTGGCAGGTCGTCGAGGTCGTGTGCGCCCAAGGAATGGTTCCAATTATTTTCGTATCAATATGTAGCTATCTCGGTCCCAAGATAGGGAGTTGGTGTCTAAGGATCGAAAGTGTCCAACAGGGCAGCGTGTTCGACTCTGGGGATCAAGGAGTGGACGAGTCGAAGCTCAAGGCCCATGGTAGACCATATCGGAAGAGCACCGGAGGGGCCGTATTCGTGAGCACGTAGGTACAGTACAGTACTTTCTTCTCTTCTTGCGTATGCGTAAGGTAGCTAGTTGGGCGATGCCGTCGTCTGTCTGTTCCTTCGAAGACCGTCTGATGAATGTGAGGTGGAACAAAAAGGAAAGAGTTAAGGTTGAAGAAACAAACCTTAATTCTTCTCTCGCGGTCCTGCAGGCGGCAGTAGGTTTTGGGAAATGGAAGACAGGGGGTCCGGCTTGGGGGCCTGTGCTCGGGAGATGAAATAGGCCTAGTTCGCTGTTCTTCACAGGGGCTCAAAGCCGCCCAACGCGGCTGCTAATCCGGGGAGGCGGCCCCGCCAAGAACCGGGCACCCGGAACACCGAGATGCATGTCTTGGTGCACGGCCTTCTCCACGAAACTGCCCGTCATCGTTGATGTGCTTGAATGTCGAAAGATCCGCAGTTTGAGGATCTTGGCCCAAGAATTTTGCCGGAATCCGGCCGCGATAATCCGGCGGAGACACATGAGGCTGAGCTTTACACCAACGTTTAGGGCGGTGTCCGTTATAAAACTTTCAACCCAACAAATGGAAGGATTTGCTTGAAACGATTCATATTCATTCATTCATACATCCTACAATGTCACGCTCCGTAAGGCCAGTCTTTCCCTCATCCCATCATCAGAAGCCCGGTTGGAAAAGTACCGGGGGCGGGGGTATCTCGCAAACGCCGTGTTCGCTCGCTCGCTCGCTCGCCAACAACAACACCAAATATAAAGACTCGCAAAAGAAGCAAACGCCGGCTATCCCATCCCAGGCTTTCATCAGCCATCCAAATCATGAGCAACCCCCATACTTTGACATGAAAAAAAGAGGCGTCAAGGAATTTACCCTCCCCAAAAAAAGGGAAACAAAAATACAACCCAATCCATCGATATCCTGTCGTGGTCGGCAAGTCATTATTAAATCAGTGTCCTCCCCTGGATGACCATTAGAAGCGAAGTAGATGAAGAAGCAAAAAGAAAAGAAAATACACCAAAAAAGGAAGAAAAAAAGAACGGTGAAAACGAAACATTAAATCATCCACCCCACTTTCGTTCCTGTCGATTGAGGGGCCCGTGGGAGAAGAGAAAAGACATTCCGCTCAAAACGAGACGACTGCTTGCGCCGTCGGTTGGCGTTGTTGAATTACCAGCTTGCGCTTTTTGGTGTGTGGTAACTGTGAGACCCATTGTAATAGGTAGCCTGATTCATGAAAGATCGGACATGGCGGGAAGTACCCTCGGGCTCGCGCCCTCTTGGTCTTTTGGTTGTGCATGTATGCATGTATGCTGTGGAAAGGAAAATGCCGAATACCAAAATGTTGGCGGGGAGATTTGTGTACCGTAGGTAGGTGGTTGCGTTGTGTGTTGTTTGCGCATTCCAAAATGCTTTTCCGTCTTCCTGGTACGACCGCCGATGTAATTAATCCCCTTCAAAAAGGTAAACCCAACTTGTCAACAATGTTGGGAAACGAAAAAATGATTCGAATACTCCGTCAAATACTCGCCACCCGCGCTCGCCCATCCGGCACACGTGCATGGCACACCATCAACTTCAGACTCGTCCCCCAATCCTGACACTCAGCAAGCAGAGCCTTGTCCCGCCAAATGCTGCCCCGGGACGACGGACCAGCCTCAGGCGCGGCAGCACTCTCATAGCAACGGCTGTACCACCACCGGCCGACCCGAGCCACCGACTGCGCGATACTCTCGTCGGCGACCGGGCTTTCGTCGTTGATCATCTCCGGCAGGCTGCGCTCGTCTTTCGTTTGCCTAGTCTTGCTGGTTAGGCCGCCGCCTAGAGACCCGCTACTTCCGCTGCCACTACCGCTGCCGGTAACAGAGCTCCTCTTCCTAACCGTGTTTGTCTCGCTGCTGACCGAGAGCCGGGCCACGGTACTTGCGACGGGCACGCCAACCCGACAAGTCTTGACATCGGTGAAGCCCCTCCGGCCGATCAAGCGGAGAATGAGATCGGAGGTCGACCCGAGGCTGGTGTCGGGGGCGTTGGCGTGGATCCGCTCCTTGAGCCGGCGGACGTTGCGGCGACACCGATTGCCCATGTTGTTCAGGTCCACATCGAGAATCGACAGCTCTAGGTAGCCGCCCGGCTTGAGCACCCGGCGCGCCTCCGAGATGATGTTGCGGTAGTGGTTCTCGGGCCCGGCGGCGGGGAAGCGGAAGACGACCGCGGTAAAGCTTTGCGCTCCAAAGGGGAACTTGGCGGTGGGAGAGAGATACTGGACCTGGTGATGGTTGGGCGGCGTGAGGGGGAAGGAAGACTCGCTGCGGCGCTCGGCCGGGAGCGGAGAGCGTGGGGAGAGGTTGAAGAACGTAGCAGCCGGGTATGTCTCGGCCGCATAAAAGGACCAGTCATCGTTGCCCAGGCCATCGACCACGAGGATCGAGGGCCGTTTGAGCGACCCGACTTCCGCAATCAGCTCGTCACGGACGGGACTGAAGAGAACGTGGCCAAACGTTAGCCACTTGCTGACCGTCATGGAACCCACGCGTAGATTGACCTGGGATAGCGGCGAGTTGTCGTCTGAACCTTGGGTGCTGCCGCTAGCGTGGGACCGTCGGATTTGGTTGGCAGAGGAATAGCTGTCTCGCTGCCCGGAAGGGAGTGTCTCTCGCTCTCGTGTCTCTTCCGTCGACTTCTTTGCTTCTTCTGCGTCTTCTGCTTCTTGGAAGTCGACCTCGTGGTCTTGGCTGTAGGGTGTATCGGGCATGACGAGGGAGCTGACCGGCGTCGGCTCATAATCAAGCATCCGCTTGACTTCTATCGCGATATCGGAGCCACGGACGCTGATCGAGTTGTGGTCCATCCCTGCACGCAGCGCCTGTACAAGACTCGGCAAGGGTGGAGGGCTGAGCGTTGGTGACTCTAGTGCCGGTTCAGTCCATTTTCGGCTCGCAGGCGCATCGACGCGTAACGGCTTTGGCCAGGAAGGGCCTTGGATCGTCGACACCCTGATGGTGTCTTCGCCGAGGAGGTCGTTGTACTCGTCCCAGATCTCGTCCTCGGCGAGCGGAGCGGTGGGTAAAGGCACGACAGCAGTGGCATCCGCGTAGCACAAAAGCCCACCCGAGCTGCTCGACGAGGTTGTGGTGCACTGCGAGTTCTTGCGAGGTGAGAAGGAGAGGAACTCCTGCTCGTGTGGGCTGGAAGATGGCGGGAGCAGCCTCGGTACACCATAGATCAAAGCTGAGAAGTTGGATTCCTCCTCATTCGGCGGCACTGGTTCCCCATCAACAGGTTCTGGCGTAGAAGGCTTGGGGGGACTGGGTCCTTTGGCCACGGACGACTCGTCTTGCGGCTCGAACTTGACAGGTGGCACAATCTGGGCGCTGAGCCGGTGAAATGGCCGCGAGAAGCTCTTCGGTGAGGTTTGTTCGGCTCGGGCACTGACAACCTTGGGAATACGGCCGACTTGTGGGAGCCTGCTCGGACGGCGGAGGCCTGGGCGGGTCTGTTGCTGCTGCTGCTGCTGCTGCTGTTGCTGTTGTTGTGCAGATAGTGAGGCCGGGGGGTTCACGGAAAAACGCTTGGGAGCCGCCGGCTGTTCAGGTTCTGGCGACTGGAGTATGGCGTCGCCCATCAGCGGCTGGACGCCCACGGATATCCTCCGACTAGCCTCCCGATCCTCCATTGTGTCCTTTTCCTCCATTTGAGGTACCTCCGGGGTGGTGATGGCAATTCCCCTGGCCTCACGAAGTACCTCATCTAGGTCAACCGGCTCCGAATCGTCCTGTTCCGATGAGTCCATCATCGTGTAAAAGGCCACGGGCTTGCTGGGTGCGTTTTGTACCTGGACAGTGGCGGCCACCGTCTGGGCGGTATCCGGTCGCTTCTCAGGGGCTGCGTGGTGGTGCGAGCGGCCGAACAAGTTCCACTTGCGGGGAGACCGGGCTCGCTTGGTCAGCTTCTTTGGGCCTGGCGCGGTGGTCCGTGGCTCCCGGGCTACCACAATAGGGCCTGCAGAGGGGTCAAAGACGGAGTCGTCCGACATGAGGCTGGTATCCAGGCTGGTCATCGAAGGAGACATGGGGTGAGGGTGTGTAACGATCGGCTTCGGCAACCTCGGCGGTTCCTGTTCGCCAAATTTCAGCCTCTGCACTGATCTCCTCTGAGCTAACGTCGGGGGCCGAGCGACGGCTTCAGAGTCGCTGCTCTCGGATGGCCGCCTGCTGCTGATGGAGGGTGTTTGGGAATGGTCCCGTAGCAAAGGTGACGGCCACAGGGTCTTGCGGGGTGCTCCGCGGGACGAGTGCGATACTTGAGAGCCGTCGCGGGAGTCGATACTGGGCCGCCGGAACGTTGAGCTTTGGTTGCTCTCGACACGGCTTAACTCCAATCCATTGTTCCTGTTCTCGATGATTTCACCACCCGCGATGACGACCGGGGCCATCCTCTCTCGCAAGAACGAGTCTTGGGATGTCGCACCCAAGCTCTCTTGCGAAGACATGGTTCCTGGGATGACCCGGTTCGTGCTGGTCACGCTGTTGCTTCTTCGGCGAACGGAACCAAGCTTTCCATAGCCCTCGTGGCCCGTTCCCGCGGCCGGTCCTTTCCTGCCCGCCTTATCCTTCTTGTCCTGCTGAGTGGGCTCAGGGACCGTTTTTGTCCGTCGGCCGAATAGAGGGAAACGAGTCTTGAACGTCGACACGCTGGGGCTTGGCGTGCGGCCCGGCCTCACCGGCTCTTGCTTCGGAGGCCCTGACACCCCACGAGATGTGACCGGCTCAGGGGTTGGTGTGGGCTCCCGAGATGGGGCCCGTCGCGGTAGATAACCTGGCCGCTCTGTGGGTTTGGCTAAGGCGCCAGGCCGGATTACGGGCCCGGGGGCCAAAAGGCCGCTTTGTCGTCGCTCGGAGAGAGAAGTTGAGGAGAGATTGCTGTGCACCACAGGGATGGATTGCCCAACTTGAGGTTGGAGGTCTGCGGTGCCATCGCGGCTCGGCCTCCGAGGCGCCGCCGGACGGGTAGGAGAAGTCGGTGGTGCAAGCTGTACGGGCCGAGGACGGGAGAAGGAGGTCAATTTCGTCGTCGTGGGGGGCTGGTATGTTGTTGCCTGTGCATGAGAAGCTTTGCGTGGTGGCCTAGTTGGCGATTCTTCATCATCTTGATTCTCCCTCGGCCGCTGGGAGGATGTCCGAGGCGGTGGACTCGGTGGGCGATGTGACAGGCCCTTTTTGCTCTTTTTCTCCCTTGCGTTGACACCAGCGCGGACCGTCGAATTTGAGGACGACGAGGTCGACAACTCCCTGACAGCGGCGAGCCCCTGCGGATCAACAGTCATCAAACTTGGTTCATCAGAGATACTACCCGCTCTCCTCCTGGTCACAGGCGGCCTGGTCAAGTGCTGGTCTCCTTGTCGTGGCCGCGACCCGGGTGGGGGTATCCGAATTGGGGCGACAAGTCCTGGGGATTGCGATGACATGGAAGTAGGGGTAGTGTCTCGGCTGTAGGGCCCTGGGCCCGGTGATTCCGACCACCTGGTAGACGGGCTCCCACTGAATGCGCTGAGCTGACTGCTCGTGCCCGAAAAAAGCGGCGTTGGAGGGGGAAGATCATTAGTAGCAATGCGGTGTGGCAGGCTAGAGCCCGGGCTGTCGGCGCGAGGAGGGGGTTTAACCTCCCGATACCGGTCCAGCTCGGGATATATCGTCACAGTGTGCGCCTTGGTCATGGGAATCTCGACCTGCTGGGCAAGCCGAATCTCCATAGGACTTTGGGTCAGTTCGCGGTCGAGGGTCAGGGGGTCCAGGGGCGTTTGGCAACGGGGATAAGAGTCGGAGGAGGATGTTCCGGTCGAGTCGTTCCTCAGCTCGTTAGGGTGCCCCGTTGTGTCCTGAGATAGCCCGGAGCGCTTACGCCTGAGAATGTTCTGCGGTTTCAAACCGGGAGCTGCAAGCCCCTGGGTGGCCGACGAGGACGACGGCCACCCTTGTGGATCCGCTCTAAGCACCGCGTTGGGGTGAGTATGGGAACTTTTTGTTCGCGAGTGTTGAGCAAGATGCGGTGGCTCCGGCTGGCTTTCAGATGGCCGACGAGGTGGTGCGGCCTGGGGCAGACGACTTGATAGAAGACTGGGTTGCGGTATCGTTTTCGGGGGTTGGCGGCCTAGCTCCGTCGTCTTGTTGGTTGTCCATCCGGTTCTCTGCCTGGCCTCTTCCCTCGGGGGCTCTGTGCCCACCCGCGAGCCCTTGGGCCGTGCAATACCTGACCATCCAAATGCCGGCTGGGGCCCAGCCCTCCGAGACGCCATGGTGTTTTTGTGTCCTCTCGCTAACGTCCAGACGCCTCGACCATGCTCATTTCAGATTCGACGCAAAACTCCACGACCATCAAAGGCAACTTGAGAAGCAAAGCAACCGTCCCTACAAGGCAAGTCAGCTTCATAAGCACGGCCGGTGGCGAGAGAATGAAGGCAACCTCAAGCCGCACACCGGGGCGGGGTTCAGCCTACTTGGGGTCAACTGGATACAGGGCTGGCGAGTTTTGTTAGGGCTACATCCAAGGTCCGTATACAGGACCGACACCGGGAATCGAGGGTCACTGTGAGGTCGGCCTGGGGAGAAGCCAAGTGGTCCAGCCGCTGTGGTAAAAAAAAAACAACCAGGTTCCTTTTCCAACTCCCGGAAGGTGGACAGAGACACTTCACACGACCCTCAAAGTTTCGGTTGACGAGAATTGCCGGAAAGAAAAAATAAACAAAAAGGAATCCAAAACAAGAGGAGGGGGGATAGAAAGACGACGGGCCTCTGGGATCAGAACCCAGTTATTCAATCAGACCCTTGAAAGGTCAAGAGAGGGGCAGAGAGGGTTGCAGGCGGGTGAGTGGATGGTGTGTTGCAAGGAAGCACACTGCGGGTGAAAAGGTGGGGGGGCGGCAAGAAGCGCTGGTACACCCCTAGATCCGGGCCTGCTCGGATTCAGCACCGTCTGGGGCGGAGAAGTAAAAAGTGAGCTCAAGTCGAAGTAAGACGTAGCGGAGCGTCTGGGAAAGGCGGAGGGAGGCCGACAGGTGGAATGGTCTGAAGAAACAGACAGGCACGAAAAGGGGGCGACAACGGGGCGGGACAAACCCGATCTTAGGTCAGGTAGGGCGTGACCTATGTATTTCGCAGGGGAGGGTTTGTCGCCGGATATCAGTAGACGGTGGGGAAGATACCTCAACAGTTCAAGAGCTCTACACGTATCGAGGTCGATGGGAGGGAGTGCCAGGGATGATCAGCACCCCGGCCGGCCGAAGCCACATTGAAAAAAAAACCTGCCATAGACGAGGGCTCCCGTCCAGCGTAGCCATTTGCCCAGTGCCGTATCTGTTTCCAAATGCCATCCGTTGGTCTGGAGTGGCGTAGCGAATTCGCCCGAGGCCGCGCGTGGAAGATGAAGAAAGACGTTGGCAGAGTCATGTGGATCTCAAACGCAAAGAACAGGGCACAAGAACCCGGGTTGATTGGGCTAGAAGGTGCAGTGAGGGCCGGACAGGCACGCCAACCACTGACTCATCCGCGGGAAAACGCGGCTGTGGGACAGCGAAAGATGCAACGGAAGCGGCGATGGACCTGAAAGCATGGAGTGCTGTGCAGATGCAGATGGATGCAGGCACGGCAGGGCAGCCCCGAGGCAGCCAGTCTCCCAGTGGACCTGGGACCGGACAGGGCGAAAGACGAGACCCACTCGCGTTCGCCGGAGCCGTTCGTCAGGCCCGGCCGTCAATCCTGTCGCTTCCCTGCAGGGCCGTGCTCCACCGACTGCACGCTGACTGGGCGCTGCGCCGCCGTGTGCGGAAGCATGTCCTGGAGGCTGCAGAACCACATGCCCTATGAAAGCCCGGAAACTGCATTGTGAGGTGTTATTGGGCGGCGGACCCCTCCAACCTTGCGGCGGGATATCTGCGAGATTCCAGTAGGAGCAGGTCACCGCATTAATTCCAGACATGCGGCGCGAAGTTGAGATCAATATAATAGATGTCTCCTCTTGCTGATATTCAATTGTACTAGAATATTCGACTTGGTTAACCCGTGGCATCTCCGAGTGCTTCTGAACTTCATGTGGGGGTTGCTCTCCTAACGTCATCCTCCAACAACCTAGGTATGGCTGGAGCTGACGAATGTAGAAAAACGCTCAGGAATCCAACCTTCAACGGAACATCTCTCTACCACCGCGCCAACAGGAGCTTGAGTGGCATCTTGGAGCAGTTGAACGGCGTAAGGTGGGGCATGTCTCGGGAACCTAGACGACGGGGGGCCTTAATCCCAAAGTTTGCGATCTAGTCTCCTAGTGTAGTTAGTGTAGCGGATGTGGTGTGAGACGAGGTGTGCCTAAGGATCTGCAAATCTATCAGCACTTAGACGAGTCAGAATCAACCTCTTTCGTTGTTGGGACGAACCCCTCCGCGTTTAATAACTAACACAGGCTCACTCGCCATGCAAACGCCAGGCGGACTGTTGGGATGAGGAATAATTTGCGTCCAATAACCCCTCTTCAACACGCACTGGATGATCCATGGCGGCGATCCCCCGGAAGCTCAGTGGCTCACAAGCAGGGGACCCAAGACACACATTTTAATCAACAAAGTCTATTGCAGATATCGAACGACCGAGTGAGCTTTCCCTGTTGCGCGTGATTGAACGAACTCTGAACACGTTATCCGACCGAGGCAATGTCTTTCTGGGGAAGGGACGCCGTCAACCCACATTGCCCACCTCGCAGCCGCCATGCCTCTTGACTGGCAGACTGGCCCATCTCCATTGGACAGTTTGCCCCTCTTGGCCGGCTTTCAGGCGGCCAGGACCATTTGATTGGTCAAAATAGCAGCATTTTTAACCAACGAGCATCGCTTTCGAGATCAAACGATCGGCGAAGGGAAAGTCCCTGTTCATTTTCCTCTCCATCTTGCGAGTGGGACGACAGATCAGTCCTCGCAGTCCCAGGTCATCACCACGAATTCGGAAGGCTCTCGCCGTTCCCTGACGAGCCTCCCTCAACCCCTGGACGCCTCGACACCATCATTTTGATCTTGCTGCATGCATGCATGTCTCACCCGAGACATGCGAACTATCCGTCGGACGGCACGAGCAGCCAGTTGAGGGTGTCCTGCCCGGCCTGCGTGAGGTCTGGCTCAATGGAAGAAAATGATCGACAGCTATGAAGCAAGACGAAGGAGCCGCACTTACTTACGAGTTTACCTCCTCACGACACTCCTACGAGTGTAATTCCTGTACTGTAGGTGCTCAATGTTCGGTGCCAATGGGGACGGGCGATACCGAGAAAAGCAACATTGACGAGTTCCCTGATTCCTGCGGTTATGACATCCGCGTGAGCACAGGGCAAGGCGCACTTATCGAATCTGCATGCAGATAATCCATCCTTTCGCGAAGCCAACATAGCATTGGGACAAAAAACCAGCAACAGGCTGGCCAAAATCTGTCGGCGTGGCCGGGGATCTTCGGGCACTCAACTGTGGTGAGTTCTTTGTCCCTAGAGCAGCCAACTCGTCCAACTCAGCAAGCCGAAGCGTTTGTTGCGAGTTGCTTCCATCGCCAATTGCCAGTCTGCTCCGCCACAGCCGGGATCTTGTGGCAATGTACTGATCCCAGCACCGCTGAGGCTAGTGACGTGGCACAAGTGAATTCGTCCTTTATCATTGGATGCCTCTGAAAAAGATTGAGTGATGCAATTGATCCTCTTGATCCCGGCACCTCCGTGGCGCAACAGAATTTTGGTGAGCGATGAAGAGATGTTGGAAACCCCCGGGGCCGGTCGGTTGCCGTAGTCATCGACAATGGAACGGTGCAGTTCATTGGGGTCGCAACACAGTCCGCCAAGCTCCCCGCCGTTCGGGGTGACCCAAGCTGCCAAGCTCCCAAGGTACCGAGATACTTTGGGAGACCAGGGGTTTCTCGAGCCTTGGGGCGACCCGGGCGAGCGACAGATGACAGATATGACAGGTAAAGCCCAAACGCGCCCTGCTGGGTGGAGAAGTCTCGATTCGCGAGGGGGTTGAGGCCACCACGCAGCCTTCGGCTTCCAATTATTATTTCCAAATAGGGAAACCTGAACCCGAGATCGCTCCATATTGCCTCCTGAAGCTTCACTCCCGGAGCCGAGTTTGTACAACATCATACGGATACATCTATCCCTCTTAAGTGCCCCTGAGGCTTCCTTGATGCGCTCCAGCCGAGCGGCTTATATCTTTGCGGCCAACAGTCAATGGCCGAGACGAGCCAACTGAGACTCTTGTATTCGGGTTGGTTTCCACAAACCTGCATCCCGTACCTGCACTCAGTCCAATCCCACTGCTTCGTAGCCGTGACACTCGCTCTCCTTTCCTCCGATCTGCACAAGCCCAGCCACAAGCTGACCAACCGACCTCGCCACCACCGACTTCTCGAAACGGCCTACTGTGTATGTGTACGACAGAGTGAAGTCTTGTCCGCGCTCGATTCGGTCTCACGTGCCCCTATGCTCGGTCTGTGGCCTTTCAAACACGCGGTGTCTCAGTCGTCTTCAGAGTTAACCTGTCAAGACCGGCCCTCCATCGGAGAAGTGTCTTACCCCAGACCGGCCTCCATTTTAGGATGGCCAGCCGTGCCGGCCTTCCCTGTCCGGAAAAAGGCGCTACGATCGGGGCTGCTCGCCAAACCAGGGATGGGCGATAGGGGAAGCTGTTTTACTGACCCCGATTCCCTGTTTTCTCATCAACTCCCCACGAATCAGTTCTAATTACCCTTCTCTTGACATCCCGTGGTAAACGGCCGCCATCGCGTCAGACGACGCCTCGGCCCGTCGGGGGTCAAAGATTCGATGGACCGTTCCGCCCAGTGTCCGACTAGTATGGGCACGGAAGGCTGAAGAGGATTATCGAAATCGGTCCCGCATCTTGTGACTCGCAAGATGTTCCGTGATTGCTCCTTTTATCGAAAAGGGGGTTATCAAGTGACTCCAGGTGCATGTGGCACATGGAGGTCAATCTCCCATACTAAACTCATCACACCTTCGTCCTCGACTAATTAGGGAGGGCAAAATATCACCCACCATAGTATCAATTCACCTCGAGATAATTTGACGAGTTTTTCTCCATCTGTTGTGTGTTCCTCCGCGACTCGTCGACCATTGCTGTCTAGCGGCCCTGACTCCCGGATCACCCCCCTCTCGTTATTAATGCCGGGCACAAAAACGTCCACCTTTCATCCAACCTCACAATACAACTTCGGTGCAGCTCTGAGCGTCACTAGTCGGAACTCGGAACAACCATGTCACGTAGTCACCTATCAATACACCCTGAAAGCACCGTCAACCGGTACGAGCTAAAGTCGTTGTTTGATTCAAGTTACATAAAACCCTTTCCCCTTCAACCCGCTTTGCGTGAGCCCGACGACAACCTTTCTGCTAGTAATCGATGTTCGTGCATGTCCAGAATCTGGCGGTGTATATTATGGAAAGCATGTCACACATTATATGTCGATGATGTTCACTGATTTGCACCGTGCTACCTAGGTAGGGAAGTTATACTCATACCTATGAGGAGTGGGATAAGGACACCGTAAACCCTTAGGCCAAGACGCTACCGTGACCTATGTATGATTCTTTAGATTGTTATACTTTTGAAACACCATCATCACAAGCATAGTGTTAGACAGGGGGAAACTCGGCCAGCATTGCGATCCTCTCCTCGGACCCGGTTCTGCGGCAACAGGTCCTCAGCCGGTGCTTTTCATGTTCCCCTTTCCCATCGAGATCCTCCTTTCATGCCCTCACCGCACCCCTCTTGTTCCTTCCTATCCCTTGCCTTGTAGTAGCCCGATAGTCACCCAGACCCGGATACAGGATACAACATATTGTTGACGCTCCTCGGCCCGGGTGGTTTTCCTTGGGAGATATATGTTGTGATCCGGCATAAACATGTTTAACAGCAAGCGCAGTCTCAAAACTGCGTACAGTTTCTAGCAGATCGCGCAGCTGGGAACAATCAGTGAACATGCACCCGTTCCAACATTCAGTCTATGAACAAGCGGAATTGCAACCCAGATTGTATAACATGGGTGTGATATAGTTACGGAAACGTTCATTACCCTCGTTCATTCCCCTGGGCATGTCTGAACCCATAATCCATTGCCATCTGCCCTTGATTTGCGATATCCCGCCATCTTATCCGTAACTAATAAAGCAACTCGAATCAAACAACATAGGAGAGGGAAAAAAAGAGACCTCGGCGACATTGGAGACGGGGCCAAGGAACAACTCCGCAAAGAGGTCACCTCTCAAGTTCAAGCAGCAGCAGCAAACCGCTTTGCCCTAGCCTCCAACTTTGCCTTCTCCGCCGGGTCTACTGTGGTCTTCTTCTCCACTCCCCTCGCGGAACTACCAGTCTTTCCGCCACCACCACCACCATGCCTCCTCCCGCCATGACGCCTCCCACCGCGGCCGCCCTGCTGTTGATTCCTTCCACTAGAAACAGCGCCACCACGGTTAGGCCTCTTGTTGCTAGCACCACCATCCTGCTCCTTAGCACCCTCACCGCCCTCGGCCGCGCCAGCACGTCCACGCTTACGCGGCCTGTCGGGCAGCGCACTGTCCAGCGCCGAGACACCCTCATTCGCCACGCCGAATCGAGCGGCACGGGCCGCTTTCTTGGCCTCATCGGACTGTCCCTCTTCCTCGGTGATGCCGAAGCGCGCCGCGCGCGCTGCGCGCTTCTCAGCCTCCGATTTGGCATCTGTCGGCGGCAGGTTCTGTGTGAATGCTGGCTTGGCCGGCTCCTCCGCAGCGGCAGCCGGCTGGTCGGCCTCGCCAGCCTCGGTCTTTTGGGCCGCAGTTTGGTCTGTCTTGGTGGACTCGGCTGTCGTCTCGGCCGGGGCCTCGGGGGCAGCGGGTGCAGCGGCAGCGGTCTCTGCTACGGCGTCCTTCTTGGCAGACGGAATGTCGTCGTCCTCATAGTCGATTTCATCTTCCGCGGCCGGCTCCTTCGAGGCTACCAGGACAAAAGTCAGAATCACGGTCCATTGACAACAATACTGGGATTTGAGCCACAAAGTCGCACGCATCCACACTACGCCCTCTTCGACTACGAAGAATGCGCTACTGCGCGCGAAGCTATCGCGGCGCGTGGGGAAAGCGACAAGACATTGTGTACGAGCCTGTGATCGGCCGATCGAGTGGAACGGGGTAGCTTACCAGCCGGCGCAGCATTGGCATCAGTCTTCTGATTGTCGTTATCGGTAAGTCGGGCAATCAGGTCGGCCTTGTTGCCGGTATGCGGGAGGCCCCTTTCAGTGAGGAGCTTCTTGAGCTCGGGAACTTTTAGGGAGCTGTAGTCGGCCATGAGGAACGCGGTTGCGCTGATGCAGCGCAAAAGCGGCTAGGAGGATATAAAATCGAGTGAGTTGGCGATCCCAAGTACTTTTAGACTGTAAATTTGTCTAGATTGTAGGAGAGATGCTGAGTGAAGTCGACGATTCGGGCTACGTGGTGGTCGATAGGGTAATGATGGGAAAAGTGAGACGAGGCTCGCGAACGGAAGCGCGTCGTACTTGGCACAAAGACCTGGCAACCAACAGGGGTCCGTTAGCCGCATTCGGCTCAACGATAACGTAAATGGATGCGATGATGGATTGTTGCACGGACCACTTACACTCAGCCTATTGTCGTTACTAGAGTCCAGGGTACAATAACAAGAAGCTAATATTCGTAATCGCAACAGCTCCCTCGTCAGTCATCACACTTGATCTCAAACCTCCTAGTTTGGCTTATTATTTTTTAATACTGAAAAGAGAACAAAAGGAAAAGAACGAAGAGAGTGGCGTCATTTTTACTGATAAATCTACACAGTCCATAAGGTAGAGGTAGTTTGGTCAGGTACGTGCACGGGTTCAACTTTTTTAGATTACTCGACGGGGTAATTACAACCAAAATTACATGATGATGAAACAACCTGTAAACCGATTCGCTATGCAACCTTGACTCTTCATCAACCTCACACGGGTTGCGGGTATAATGTGAGAATTTTACAAAGGAAAGAAGGCGTGTGCCGACGATAGAACGGGATAGGAAGTCGAAGATGGGGAAAACATAGAAGAGTAATGAAGAGCGAAGGCGGGTATAAAAGAAAAAGAACAAAACTCTTGACCAATGCCCGATGCTGGCCCAGACCCGTTGCTCCCAATTATGCTTCTTCCGGGGAATGTCCACCAGGAAAAAAGAAAAACAAAAGAAAGAAGAATTCTGACAGTCATGACCGCAACTCGCCGGTCGAAACCACACCCAAGTACGCCGCCACATGCACCCTACCGCATCATTATCCCTGGCACTTCGGTCGTCAACAACTGCATAATCCATCCCGCCTGCTGCATGCTCTTGCACTGGAAGCACCACTTAGTCACCTTGCCAGCAATTGCACCACTCTTCGGCGCCACTCCAACATTACCCTCCTCATCTCTCAGGTTCTCCCACACACTGCACATCACCCCCTTACTCCCCAACAAACTGAAACACTTGGACCCTAGAACTGCATCCAGCAGGATCAGTGGCCGATCCGCATTCTTTTTCGTTGCATGTGTCACGATGATGCGCTTCTCGAGGCCATTGTATAGGGGCAGTTCCTGACGGACCCCGGGAGGTGGGCGGCTAATGTTCAAGATACAATCGCCCTTGTCGAGCCAGCGGTTGTTTTGTACATTGAGATGGCAACGGATTTCCAGAGGTTGGTCCGGCGAGAAAGTTTTGGCGAAGCCCGAGGTCCAGCGGCTCTGGCTTCCGGAGTTCGAGAGCGACACGGATGCGCTTCTTGGGGGGGTTACGGAGCCTGAGCCGGAACCGGAGCCGGAGCTCGACGTGTAGAGGCTGCCGCTACCGGGCAGGGCTGCCGAGTTTGGACGCGGCTTGTCGAGGGTGGACTCGTCAATGTTGTAGGAGTTGTTGTTTCCACCGCCCATCAGGCGCCGGAGGAAGCTGCCCGCTGAAACAGTGGTTGAGATGCTGCCTTGAGAGACGCTCGGCGCCCTGGTAGATGCGCGGTAGCTGTTCTTGCGGCCAAACCAGCCTGTCCGGCGGCTGGAGGTGCCGTCCATGCTTCCCTCTCCAGGATTCGGCTGCATTTGGCCAAAAGACCGGAAGCGCGATTCTTCGCTAAGTTGAATATACCTGGCATTGTTCAGACGGCTGTTGTGGACAGCATCGTAGAGGTCTTTAGCTTCAGCTTGGTTGGCCGCACGGAAGCGGAACATGGTGGCCTCGAGCTTCAACCGCGCCTCCGGAGACGCCGGACTGCGAACCTCCAGGTCGAGGGCTGTACTCCGGCGGATCATAACCACCGGAGTCAAGACAAGCGCAACAAGCGGCACAATAGTACCAGCACTCCTGTTGCTGTCGTCAATTTCAGATGTGCCAGAGGACTGCAGGGGGTACGCTTTTCGGGTTGATTCCTGTTCGTCAAGGTAGTGGACTTCCATGGAGCCGGGATGAACAACGATCGAAGCCGGCTGGCCATTGTTGACATCTTTCCACACACCCCGCCTACTAGACCAGTACGAAACGGAGCCAACAAAATTCTGTGCCGGTCGTTCTGGCTTTGAATCATCTGGGCCGTAAATCTCCATCTGCGAGGCCGAATGGGACGGCGTGACGCTGTTTTCTGACGCAACGGACTCGGCTGGGGTGGCTTCAAGTTCCTTGATGCTGTATCCCGGGATGGTTTCGGGCACATCGTCTTCACCCAAATCGTCGCTGGAGGACTCGGATAGCTCAGAATCGCTCTCGCTCAGAGAGGCCGAGCTGTCCGACGAGACATCGGAGGGGTGGTACTCATGCTTGAGCGGAGATGACATCCGACGCTTGAGGCGAGCATTGCGGCTGGAATCAACCGGGGGGGCTAGAAGCCCGGAGCTCTTCGGCCCAAGCGTGCGATGAATAGGCGGGGGAGGAGCTCCATCCTCACGATAGGGCTTCGTGTTGGGTGGCGCTTTCGCAGATTTGGGCGCGTCCACGGAGTGGCTGTCCCACGAGGGCTCGTCGTCATGTTCCTCCAGGTGGTCCTCAGCGCATTCCTCGGCGGCAGATCCGTCCGACGGCGACCGTGGGCGTGGCCGGGAAGAGGGTGTTGTGGGCCGCTCTGTATTGGATGATCCCAGACTCGACGTACTCACTTTGCGTTCGCCAACAGGGACGTCCATCGCCACTGATTTGGGCGATGCTGATCCGAGCACCATGCTAGCAGGCCTACTCCTAGTGATGGGGGGGATCGGGTGGCTCCCCAAAATACGAAGCCAGTAATCGATCTGTTCCTCGTTATTTGTCGATATTTTGAGGAGCTCGAACCATTCATTCCCGTTGTGGCTTCCTCGTATCATCACAACAAGAGAATCGTCGTCCTCATCCCCAAGACGAGCCGAGATGTATTGCCTGGGTACCGGGGGAAACAACAACCATGATCGGGCTCCATTCCCGAGCTCCCTGATCAAAATGTCGCCCCTGTCCTCGGGGAAAGATGGTCTGTCTCGGAAAATAATCTCGACCTGGCACCCCAACCGCTGGCCGTTTGAATGATCCAAGTCCAGAGAAAAGACATCTAATGCTGCCACCTGGCGTGTCCGGTTCACCATGACTCCGTCTAGGGGCAACAGATTTCGAAGATCGCGGCATCGGGAGGTATCGGTGCTGTTGGCGTCTTCGTCCATCAAGCGGGCGGTTTCTTCTCGGTGCCGCTTGCGGGCCTTCTCCTGCAACGCCATGAACACCGACAGTAGACGCTGAGCTTCCCGGGCTTCGGTGACTGCCACTGCCGCCTTTTTTCCGTGGATGTTAGCGCAAATCAGGAGTTAAAACAATAAGGAATGAACTTACTCGGAGAAATTTGACCACCCATTTGACTCTAATTAACGGCCGCCTAAGGAGATATGCAACATCCACACGCTCTCCATTCTCACCGATGATGTCCCCCTCCTCATTGAGAGGGAGGGCGTTTAAGAGCGAGTCATCGTCGTCAAACCCGCCGTGCTTTGGCGCAAGGTTAATGGCCAGCCCCTGAAATCCGAGCCGCCAGACGTCGAGGTAACCATTGTAAACTGGGGAGACATCGTCAAGCCAGAACAACAACTCGGTGATGCTGGAAAGGGGGACCTGTCGGTGGAAGGTCCTCAGCTTTTCAAGCGCCATGCCCATATTCACAACGGACTTGACCGCGGCGTCCGATCTCAAGTCATCGGCACCACCATTCATGACGTCCCGTAAGAGGACAGGGATAACGCCGTCAACCAGAGCTTTTAGCTCTCTTCCATAAAAATGCTCGTCATCTGCGAACTCGTCGAGCAGTTCATCTGCCTTACTCTTGTTTGCCCTGCTCGGTTTGCGGTGGAGGCTGTGCGACGACTTGATGCTTTTGGATCGCCTTGGTGGAACGAGCTGCCCATCGTCCGGCAACGAAAGCACAGAGACAAGATCCGAATGTTTTGTCAGGCGACGCTTAAGACCCGGCTTCTGGCTCTTTCGCCGTGAAAGGCTGGTTGACTTTGTAAATGCCGTTGTTTGAGTGACAGTCGTTTGGGAAACATCGGAGAGGGCCTCCGAGCCGACGGCGCTGGATTCCTCGGACACAATCGTCGACAACTCATGAACACCTTTTGTTGGTGGTCGTGATCGGTAGGGAACCTGGCTCGAGAGATCGGAAGAAAGGGTTGAGTCGTATGCCGATGAGTAGTACGAAGAGTAATCAGAAACCGGCGGCCCTTTGCCAACGGTCGTGGATTCGTAGTCTTCTCGCTCAAACTCGCTGCCACCGTTGTCATCGTCGGTTTCGCAACTGGGGTACACCATAGGCGGGAGCTTATGGCCACCAGATTCTCCCCGAAAGGCGTCTTTAAGGAGGTCTCGAAACGCCTTTTTGCCACTGGGCTTCGCTGGTGATGTGACTGCTCTAGTGGCACGTCTCCTTTTAAGCCCCGTCATAGGGGGGGACGGAGCCTTGGCCTTCTTCGGTGTCACATCGCTATCTTCCCATGGTCCTTCCGTGCTTTCTTGCGAACTCGAACTCTTCGTCACGGTAGACTCGACGGGCGCTACTGGCTGGCTCCCGGCTGGCGGTCGAGACACGTGCCTTGAGGATGGTCGTGATGGTGGTTTACTCTGGGTATTCACCGCAGGTTCTGGCGATTTCGAGGCCATGCTGGTGTTTTCAACAGCCGCTTTCGGTACGGGTTCCTGGGCAACCGGTGAGCGCGCGGTGGGCTCAACGAACGGGTCAACCGTATCATTCAGCCAAGACTCGATGCTTTGTGGTTTGTTGCTGACAACCGGTTTTGGTGGTTCGGCCATCTCTTGAATCATGTCTTTGGCCCCAGTCACGACCTTCTTCAAAACATTCGGTACGGCCTTGAGGCTAGGGTTCCGCTGGGCCCTCGGTTTTCGGCTGGCACTATTTCTAGCATCGGCGCCCAAAGGCAGCTCCAGCTCGCTAAATGCCGAGTACCCAAATGGAATGTCCGCCAACGACTTGTTCCCCAGCACCGTGGGCGGGGCCACTTCGGAATCTTCATCGGAGCAGGCTTGTACCGACACGTGAGGCACCTTGTCAGACCCCGACGCCGGGTCGGCGGGGGGCTCCGTGGCTTGCGTGGTGGGTTTGGAGCCAGGGCTCCGCCGCCTAGAACGCCGTCGGGATGGTTTCCTCTTTGTTGGGGTCTGAACCTCGGTATCCGGGTCCTCCACCACCTCAACTACGCCCTTGGGGCTCGATTTTTGGTTTTGTCTCGTGGTCGAGGCTCTGGCACGCCTCCTCCTGGAGCTTCGTCTAGATGATGTAGGGCTGCTTGAGGAGTCATCGCTCAGCGTTGACGCCCTGGCGCCGCTTGGGGTGTTTTTGTCTTCTAGGGGGCTATCGATTGGGCGTACCCGAATCCCATCGTCGTTGGCCTTTGTGTCGATTGGGCGTACCCGGATGCCGTCATCAACCGACCCCTTCTTGCGGATGGGGGCCACCCTGATCCCATCATCGGGGCCATGATTCGGTTTCCTTAGCCTCGTGGGCTTAACACGAATTCCGTCATCTTGGGCCGGTTTCTTTGTAGTTTCGATTCCCGGATCGGATGTCACGACGCTCGGAGGATCCTCCTCGACGGTCACGGTCGCGCCAGATTTTCGGTGCCGGTACTGCTTCGTTTTGACGGGCTGAGGTTGCGGGGCTTCGACCCGCTGTGCCCAGTCCTTGATCTTGTTTTGCACGGTCGGATTGCGTGCTGTTCGCTGCAGAAAATCTTTGGGTATCGGCATCGGCGCAGCCCCAGGTTTTGGTTTCGGGGCCCCGTCGCGAGGGGGGCTCTTGCCCTTTCTCCGCTTCATCCAGTTGTCGTCACTGACAATCCTCTTCTTCGGCGCTAGTTTCACCACTGGGGGTTTGCTAGGTGATTCTTCTGGGGAGGGGCTGGCTGACCCCCCCCGTTCGGTCTCATCCCCATCTCCCTCGCCGCTTTCCTTGCTTTCCTTGTCTTCCGGCTTGTTGGTCTTGGCCCTTCTCTTTTTTGGCCTTTTCCGCATCTTGATGCGTACCCGGTCTTCCTCCGTGACGCTCTGGGTTGAAATCTGGGCACCGACCTCAGTCGGTTCGCTCGCGACGTCTTCGGCGTGGGGTATTCCGCCTCCTTGGTTCTTCATGGCTGTTACGTTCGCCTTTTGCCATGCCTTGACGCGATCCGTCACTCCACCAGGTTGTTGGACCCGCCGCACAGCAGCCGCTCGCATTTCCTGTCGCAATTCCTCCCGTACGTGAGCCGCGTCCGCTGCCATGCTCTTCCGGCGTTGTTTTAGCGCCGCCACGCGAGCTGGCGATTGGCGCCCGAGAAAGAAGTCTCCTAAGAGACTTGGCTCCGTCTTCTTCTTGGGGGGCGAGCCATTGCTGGGGGTAGCGGGTGCGCTCTTCGGGGCCGTCGCAGCCGGGGCCGACGCCCGCTTATTTGTCGTTGCTGTCGCATTGGCATGTCTGGAGGGTGAGACGCGGCGTGGCACTTCTGTCGCATCTTGGGCCGGCTGATCTGATGCTGGCGATGACATGATTCTAGACAGCACGCAGAAGCGTGTTCGGTCAGTAACCCACCCTCCTTGGACCGTGTAGTGTGGCAAAATCTAGCATGGCGCAAAAAAAACGAAGAAATAAAAAAAAGTGCTGATCCAAGCAACAGCTCTCCGCTGAAGAGTAGGCGGCTTATCGGGCTACCAATCGGATGTTGCGTCCCATGGAGATGGGGTGAACGTTTCGGGGGGACAATCAACAAAACAATAACCAGGGAAACGGGACCAAGCTACCTTGCTCACCTCGGTGGATCGCATACCTCCCAACGATCTGCAATCCAGATCAATTACGTCGGCTCCCCCCGATGTATCAGAAAAGTGTTGCGAATTGCACCGATCTTGATACGTCCATGGACACAACTCCGTCACGCCGTCCTTGGGTCGAACAAATTGAGAAATGACGTTGAGACGGGAAAAGAAAGGAAATTAAGAAGCATGCGGTACACGGGGAGAAACCTTGGACCGGGTTGGCTGGGCGGGTCACAGCAGGTTTGGAGCAACGCAAGCACCCACCAAGCTGTGCGACAACAAGAAGACAAGTCTTTCAAGAAAAATGAGGAGAAACACAGACATCAAAGGTTATTTCCTTCCGACGTTGGCGAGTTCAACACAAAACCCGCGCCGCTCGCGGCCCTTGGGAAAGGAGCAAGACGGGTGAGTCCTTCCATCCCAAGACAGCGGCGCAGGCCGGAACCCCTCCCAACCAATGACGATAAACACTGGTCGCAGCCGCAAGGTAAACAATCGAGCAGGGTGTCCCGCTGCCCACACCTCCACAGCCCTGTTCACTTGACCCACCACTTCCGATCCGGGATCTAGACCAATCATCGCCAACATGTTCGCCTAGGCTTCCGTTTCTTGCTGCAACAGCAGGGCAGTTGCGGCGAGTTGCGGCAGCCATTCCAGCAATGTTCTCAACTGTCAACTGCCCAGGGGACCGCGAGCAGTCGTAACTACCTACTTCATAGTAAGAAGTGCGCATCGGCGGGAACACTTCGTTCTTATCACCATTCAGCTACTTGGTTACAGGCTGAGAAGCACAAGCCCAGAATATGAGCCGCACCTTACGAATATATCCATAACCAGTTACTCTTCGTCCCCGATTTTCCTATGAGTTCTCTCCCCATTCACCGCAAAAGACTTGGCCATAACTATTCCCCACTAACATTCCCAACGTTTGACAGCGTGGCCCTGACATCATCACTGGTCGGAGCCGGAACCGGGATTATCGGAAATGGCACAGAGATAAATCAGGAACGGGGAAGACATTGGAAACAGCTCCTGATATCGCTAAGAAAAAGAAGCCTCTGGGGGAATGAGGGGGTCACAAATGGGCTTTTACTATTTGTAATAGGATCGATCTGGCCATGGTACGAGTCAGGATCACAAAAAAAGTAGCGCGGCTGACCTACACCACATGGCAACCGGAATCATGCACGCACTCAATGCAACCCATTCGGTCGCACACAGCCCCACATTTAACAACCACAACCGCAAGAATCAAGATCCAGCGGCATGAGCATCAGGTGTCAGCCATACTACTACGCTAAATGCAGAAAAGAGAAAAAAAACCGCAACAAGGCGGAGGTTTCCTTGGCCCGGGCTCTTCGCGGCTCACGGATCATATCTTTGACGCCACAACGAGAGTAGAAAAAAAAAGCCAAATGGATTAAGATTCAACGTTCATATGGTTGTGAAAATTTATAAATATAATCAGCCCCATTAAACTACTTATGAGTTATAAAAGCAGATCACAACACCCACCCAAATGCAATGTCTCCCAACCTAACGCCGTTGTGATATGCAACTAGCCCACCCCAGAAACGGTCCTCGACCGCGCGAATGATCGTGCCTTTTATTACTCAGTGTCCCTAAGTTCATCCGCAGTAGGCAACACGAACCGGACCTTCTTCTTTGGCTTTGCAGCCGGAATATCTACCGCCCTTGAACCTATACCGTCCTCCGTATAATAGCTGTCTTCCATCTCACTGAGGACCTCAGCCTCGGGCTCCTCCTCGATGGCCCAAACATCTGGGCTTGGCTCGTGCCAAGCATGAGGGGAAAGGCGTGACGACGACATGCCCCGGGACTGCCTTGCCGATGACGACGATGGTGATGACACAGGAATGATAGGTTTCGGGCTTGTGTTGTATCTAGCCCGATCCCTGCTTGCGTTGTTGCGGGGCGGGGCGGGCGGCGGGAACAAATTATACGGGCTGGGTAGATCTTGTTGTTTTGGGTGTCCCCTAAATTTGTCCCTGAGGTGGCGGGGTAAGGAGCTAGGGCTGTTGTGCCTGGGTGACCGAGAACCCTCCATGAAATGGTAGTGATCGTAGTCGTCTGGAGTAGCAGATAGGTCGTGGTACAGATCGGGGGTAGATGGTGACCGAGGTGGAGTTGGAGGCCGGATGGGAGGCCGACTGAGGCCCTCGAGACTGGACGGACTGACACTCCTGACCATGGGAAGTGGACGCTTCGCGTCCTCGATTCCCGCGTCGAACTCCATGTCAAAATCCATCTCGTCGTATTCGGCGCAGGCTGAAGGGGCCGGGGTTAAAAAGTAAACGAGGGGATCCCCATCCGGGCTTGTGAGAGCCACATCCTCGAATTCAGCGCCGTCTCGTTCGATTCTAGGGGGAAAAAACATGTCTTCTGGAAGCCACGAGCCCCGCCGTGAGCGTTGTGGTGAGTGGTGGGAAGCAGGCATCCTCCTAGTGCCTGGGAGAGTAGATATAATAAGCGAATGTAGGTAGATGTGCAAGGTTAGGGGGTGGCAATGTTGGTCGAGGCCCGGAGTTGAGCTGTCCAGGAACTGTACACGGGGGCCTGGACAACTTTTACTAACCTCGCCAGCTAAGAATGAATGACTGTTCTAATAACGAACGCCGCGTGTGATCCGGGATTCGTATTTTAAACACGGGAGGACAACGGAACACAATAGAGGAGGAAAGGGAGAGTGAAAGGAACACTGGAAAATAGAGACCCAGAATCAGATAAATACTGAATTGTGAGCCCAGACTCGCACTCGCGCTCACGCTCACATTTACTCCCACCTTGCGGCTGGTTGCTGCTGATGCGAGCCTCACACCATCACCTCTCAGCAATGCTTGGGGCTGTCACCTTATTCGATATTGTCACTGGCTAAACAAGGTAACGAGGCAAAGTAGGTAGTTCACACCAACTGTTTTAGGTTCGTGTGTGCAGACAAAAAGGGTTGGGATGTACACCCCCACGCCGGCAATGCGAGGTCCTTTCTAAGGAAAGAAATGGTAGGGAGCGTCACAAGTAGTTTGAGAAGAGTAGTGTGGCTGTAGATACCCGGAAACGGTGCGAGACATCACAAAAAGCGACCGGGAAAGACGGAAGTTTGGGACACTAAATGACAAGTCTCGTGGCATTCTGACTGAGAACGCGGTGGTCTGACTCGACGGGTGACAACATCCAGTAGGCTGAGCAGTTGCCTGACCACCCCTTTGGCGCTTGCCCATCTCCTCGTCGTATCCGGATCGAGCGGTGGCTGTCAACGCGGCCGATATCCCTCGAACCTCCTGCTGCCGGGCTGAAAAGAGAAAAGAAGCCCGGAAGGCCAGCATTCGCATCGGCGATCCATCGTGCGTCGGTCTAGGTAGTCAAATTCCTGTGCCAAAATGGCGGCTCATGGCGTACCTGCATGGTGCACAAGTCCTTCCAAGGAAGGCTTGGGAAGGGGGAGGGGGGCCAGATGACCACAGATGGCCAGGCTGCCTGCCACCCTCCCCTGCGAAATGATTCACATTGCATCTCGGGTGGGTGGGGAGACATACCGAGACGACGCGGAGATGCACGGCGACGGCGACCAACGGCCCGGGCATTTCTCGCTCTTCGTAAAGCCCGGTCCGCGAACTCGCAGCATCTCGGACGCGGCGTTGCAAGACACCGTTAATCAAGCGGTCGGCATTGCAGGGACGCAGGATGAACTTTTGGGAAATATGGGTCCGTCGATGGGGTGTGAAGCAATGCCCAATCACAGAGCATATTGAGATAACATGATAACGAGTTGGGATGCCCGGATGGGGATCGCGAAGTCGTCTTGGACCTCGGCCATTTAAAAACCTACCCTCAGTCTCCCCTTCATCGTCATGATTAACCGCAACCACGCACCTTTACCGTTGCGTAGGTTCGGGCGTGTAATTCAAGGTTGGAGTGTGAGATCGACGGGCTAATTTTCCGCTGGGCTGCACACGTTCAAAGTTTTAGCGATCTCATAATACATAAGCCGCTCGGTCCAGAGGTGGGGGAACCCGCAGTGAGCAATTCGCCGATCGTTTGCAGTCAAACGTAAAAGTTCGTGAGTTTTCTCTTGCTTTATACCCAGCGCAGCCAATAGTCTCTTTCGGCGAACAGCGGCGGGGCCAGGAAAAAGTATGGATGCGAGTGATCGCCCATGGTGCTAACTGCTGCGTCCGATCTCTAAATACCTATGATCCCTCCAAACTGCAAGCTTCGGTTAGGTACCTTCGTAGGGAAGCAGCGATAAGAATAACTCGATGGCTTCTCGACCTCATCGTTACCTACCTACCCCAAACATCCGATTTACAGCCAAGCACCATGGCTGTCATGTATAGAAAGCCGCCACGAGGCAATGTTTGTCTGCTTCTCCACGGCCTTAGATCCCCAGACGAAACCCACGACGGTTTGGGAGTTACATCAGTAACGGGAGGGAGGACAGTAGAAATTCCGCAAGTATCTACCTTTTTTTTTTTTTTGGCTACTTTTCTTTCTTATCTTTCTCATCCTCTTTTTTCACTTTTCAAGGAGGAATAGGCCACCGACACCGCGAGAAGAAACATCCGAAGACAGAGATGTCGCGCCAGAGCACATGATTACACCAACCACACTTGCTATAGGATAGGCTCGATATAGCCTCGGGCGTTTGGTAAGTATTTATCGGCGATGGCCGACGAGCCAATAACCGGGGATGCGAGATTCGACTTGGTGTTAGACACTGCGAAGTGTAATAACCTCCATGGCTCCCGCTTTCAAACCTTGTGAAGGCTCCCACATGCGGTCGATGTAAATCCACTTCCCCTTGCGGGTGAATAGGGTGGATTGACTTGTCTAACTTTCAACATTTTTCCACACAAACCCGACGACGAGGTATCTCTCTCCGATCATCACCAGTTCGACAGTCAGGAACGTCGGGATGTTTGGTTCAAGACAACGAAATGGCAACCGGGTAACTGCCTGGTGGTCTTACTTGCTGTCTCACGGATCATCCCCTTCAACACCAGCTCCGGCTTCGACCTGCCGGCAGTTTATATAAAAAACTCAATTCTATAGTCACCCCTTTCAGATCCTGCCGTCGTCACGGTGCCGTCTATCGGTTGACTATATGATGCGCTATCACTTTCGACTCCCGCTTGATGCCCATGCTTGTGATCGGTACTGCTAATTGGACTGGATTTGGCGAGAGATGGGACATCTCTCGTTCTCTTATTGAGCGTTCGGAATCACCGATACCGTTCTTGTCCCACGATGCGATTATGTGCTTGATGCACGATAGGGTACCTGCAGCTGGGTGGTGGCGGAGTGGGAAAAGCGGTGAAGGTGAATGGCATATTAGTTACATCTCAGAGCTGTTCTTGCACGTATGAGGTATTGTTAAGTGACTTGCGAAACCAGCAGCGGATGCTCGGCCAAGAGAAGAGAGCGACCCCCCACGGTGCGAGATCTAGACCTTAGAGGGAAGAGAGAGGGCCGCGGACGACGTAAAGCCGGGCACAGAGCTAAATTGTGACGAATTGACGACTCGGTATTGGTGTTTGTGGTTACCATTTCGGCGTTGTTCGGGCTTACACTAGTCCCCCACAGCCGTGATATGTGAGCTGCGCGTTAGAACAACACACGCTTTTAACCCTTCGTGGATATCACGGGATCAGCCATCGCTCTTCTGCGCAACGTGCCGCAACGGACAGACCCAGTAGCCCCTGCGAATCTTTCTCGCACGACAATGCGTCCAGATGCGGAGTTTCTGCGCCAAACCATCTCCGGCTAGATCGCTCGGGATCCCGTAAGATGATCGACCTCGCTCCCTTTCATGACGCCAGCAATCGGCGGGTCCGTTCCACGCCTTCCCATCTTTTCGAAGGTCTCGGCCGGGGGGGCGAGGGGGGTTGCCAGATGCCCCCCATCGAACATCCGCCTCATGAGAACAAGTCAACGACTCGGTTACGTTACACACAGCGACTCCTCTCGATGTCTTGATCCGGAGCATGATATGCAGCGTCATCGATCTACGACGAGCGGCGTCGACAGCCTGCCTGATCAAGACAAGCAACACGGACTGAACGAACCGTGAGTTGCGTATGTCTTCCGTCCCTTCATTCATGACCAGCGACCAGGGCGCTCGCGCGAATAACCCTTATTACATAGTACACAGGATGTTGGGAGAAGGGCCTTAAGCTCCCACGCATTCTAAGTTTTGAACACCGTGTGGGAGGGTATAAGTCGCAACCCATTGGCTACTTCCGCGCAACTCGAGACGGATAGTGCCCAATGGGACAAGGACGGCGAGACTGAAACTTCAGGGAAGCTGATTCCCACGGCGATGAGTTTTGTTACAGCCCTCACCCCTTGGCAGACGGAGAGAGCGCGCGCAACGGGATCTGTCAGCGGCGCCCGAAGCGTCCGATTGAGATGGATGAGACTCCCATAACCGTCGGACCGCAATTCTCCCGCATAAGATGATCGGCAGCCGGTGCTCCGGGTCGCTGGGGAAACGAACCACAGATTTGAGACGAGAGAACAGCGACGGCGGGCCCGAAAGGGTGAGAGGAATGGATCGTTTGGTATGACCGTGGCACTACATACATCACCGTTAACCGAGGGAGAACCCACGAGAGATGACAAGAGCGTGTGGCCGTTGCTTAAGAATGGCGACATGCAGCAGTTGCAAGCGGTAGTTGCAGTAGAGAAGTAGCAAAGGAGCACAGCAGCAAGCCATCAGACCTGAGACGGGTGAAAGACGGCCCTGCGATGCGCAGGACGCGACGAGCCTTTGACTCCCTCGAGCTGCTGCCCTATCACAACCGTTAGAGAAGCTCTCGCCCGCATGAGCCTACATTCTGGAGCCCGATGGCGCCAATGGGGGGCACTAGGGGCCACAAGTTCTTTGAGAGCATTGCTCGAGGGTTGAATGGTGTGCTGGCGAACTTCCCTTGGAGAGGGAGGGGTGAGGGGAATGGGGGAAGTCCAATCGCTCTGCTCGTTTGCAGGGCCCGAGTCCCACTCTCGAATCTGATGGTTCGCGCCTCAGCCCCGGGATCCCTCGCCATGTTCTCCTCTCCCTTCTTGCCTCCGTGTTCTCGACGTTTCACCCCGATTTGAAGCACCCGCCCTGTTCAACATCAAACCATCGATAGACACTTTGGGGAAAAGCGCTCATCCAAATCGTCCCCCCCCCTGCTCATGCTCATGACCCAACTGCTACTTGCAAGCCTGTTTTTGAGGACAGATTTCTTGGTGGTGTCGTGGCGACGGTTGGTACCCAAGTGTGCAAGTGTGCTGTCGGGCATGAAGATGAAGCGAAAAAACGCGAACAAAGTGGGAGCGCAGCCAGCCAGTGGTCCGCTGGTCCTCTTTTCAACGCAACCGCCCGCCTCCCACCTCATCCGGGCTCAGCTTGGCCAAGCCGTGCCAGAGATGGGTCCCTCCTGCCGCCCTGCACACCCCGCCGTCCTGGCCTCTCATCAGGGCGGGAGGCCCCACTGTAATTTTCATCCGTTGAGGCCTTACGGAGTACGCAGGCCGTTCCACCATACAGCGCTTCCCAAGTCACTCGCCCAAGCAAGCAATCGACCACTCAAGTCACCACTTATCCAGTCATCGTTTTTTTTTCTCTTTTTTTTTTCTTGTTTGTCTCACCTTCGCCCCCTTGATGAAGTGGCTGCAATGATTGAACGAGTTCTTACAGCTTACTACGAAATACTGGGCATCAGCTAGGGAGTCAGATACCATCAAATCCACCGATTTGAGTCTGTGCAGCCCAAGACCGGTAGTTCAAACAGGGCTGCAGGGTTCCACCCCAGGTTAGGTCCTTTGGAAGGATACTCGATTGGGCGAGAGAGGAATTGAACGCCCATTTCAATGAATGTTTTTTTTTTTTGCTTTCGGACGGCTTCGATTCTTCCTCGGCCACACCGGGCCATTCCTGCGGAGGCATGGAGGACAAAGCAGGCCTTGAAGGACAGACTTAGTAGAGATAGAAAGAAATAGGCGCTGGCAACGCACCAGCAAACCGCTTCCGATTCCTGTCTTTCATGGATTACGCCCCACGCTTCCATTGCGGCAATCGGGCGACCCCGGCAGACGCAGCCCATTCTCTGCCTCGAGACGCCGAAAATCGAGCCCAGCGGCAGTGCTCAATGCGGCAGCGAAACAGACATGCGCGCCAGAATCGGCGGCTAATTGACACTCGTTCCTTAGAACAGATCATCGAGAAATCTTTGTTGCTGCCTCATTGCTGTTTTGTTGTCCAAAAGAGGAACAAAACGGGAACTGTGGCAGAAGCAAGCGGGGAAAGAAGACGGGAGAGGGGATTGGTGACTTGATCCGCCCCGCTGGGGCTGCCCCTCTCCTCTGGGAACGACGGGCCCTGCCTGTTGAAGGAGGACGGGAGCCCTGCCTGGCTTTCCCGTCTCGGCGCTCTTTGCTTGTCACTCTCTCTTACTGTTGTTGTCAGCGCTTCCCATTCCCCAGACGAACCGAGCAGCGGTCCCCTGCCTGGCCGCCCCATCCCGTCCTCCACTCACACTGCCTTACACCCCCGCAGTGGAATAAAACTCGTCACTGTCCCGTCCCTCCACCTTTTTCGTCGTATGGAGCCCGACACCTCATCCCAATCCTTTTCCGTCCCAGCTTGCTGCCGTCCCAACTCCGCAGCCATCACCTCAACTTTACCCAACCTTTCCCTGTCACCAACTGACCACGACACCCCGAACACCGATTCACTCGACCACTGTCCGCTGTCCGAACTTTTATATTCTGATCCATAACAACCGCTTCGTACCCGCCGCTCCATCCCAACAAGGGCCGGTTTCCATTTCACCGTTGGGCTATTCTCGCCCAAGCCGCCGAAGCCGTACACCGGCAGCCGCAATACCCCCAAGACTATCGCGGCCCTCCCTCACGACGAGCTCCTCACCCAATTCTGAGTTGCAAAACACACCTTACTTCCGCGAGCGCGGGCTCGGACCGCCATGTCAAGTCGAGCACCTGTAATCGCGTCTGTTGAAGACGTTGACGAGCTTGGGAACGTTATTGCAGGAACCGGCCGCTACGCATCCTCAGTTGCCCCGAGCAGCCCCGCCAAAGAGCAGCCCAACACCGGCCGAGCAAGACGGGATAAGCACAGGAGAGGTTCTTCTTCACCGATAACGACCAGCGTCGTCACCGACTCCGACTCTACGCTGCACCCAAGGAGAGACTCTCTCAAAAAGCCCACCAACAAGGACCGCGAGAAGCCGGTCCCGAGCAAAAAAGCCCTCATGGCTGCCTCACGCCCGTCGGTCAAGCACTCAAAAACGGCGCAGGGTATACCGAGGGACATGGAGGCCGCATACTACGGCGTTGATCCAACTGTCACCCCCGCTACCAGTCGGCCCCGCGCCCAAAGCAGGCCGGCGAGCTTCTACGCCAGCGGCGGGCCCCCACGCCCTCCACCCGCAAATGCCCGGTTCTACGCCAGCCAAACGCCCGGCCCCTCTCTACCGACATCGTTTCCCCCTCCTTCGTGGATCGGCCCCGGCCCCGGCCCCGCCCCCGGACCAGGCCCCGGACCAGGGCCAGGTCCAGGACACGGGCCATCTCCGTTCGGGCCGCCGCCGCCGTCATCAGGCCCTGTTATCATGCATCATCACCAACCTGGGCCGCCCCCGCCGCCCCCGCCCTCCGACTATTTTGCTCGCCCTCTTGAGTCTCGCTTTGGTGGTGGCGGCGCCGCTGTCCGACCTCAATCGTCGATGGGTTTTCGGCCGCCCCCGCCCCGCGCTATCGAGTATGATGACTACGAAGACACAAACGACAAGTCACTCGCCCGGCGACCATCGGCGACCCGCAAAGTGTCCAAACATGACGATGACAGGAGAGCTATGCCTCCACCGCCGCGCCGACCGGCATCTGCTCGCCCGATTGCACTTGCTTTCCGTCCTCCTCCGCCGGCGCCCGCCCGGCGGCACGAATATGATGACCATGATGATCACGATGATGCTCTATTCCACGAAATCTCCCCGACGGTGTCAGGGAGCTACGACTATCCGAGTCCACTTGCTTTCCGGCAGCCGCGGCAAAGCTTTGGCGCTGAAGCCGTGTACGAGGATTACCGCACCATAGTCGCGGCCGGAAAAGGCCGGCGTAATTCGTACTATGGCGGCAACTCCGGTTCTTCTGGGAGTGCCTACGAGGACAAGATCCGACAGGCCAGTCGTTATCAGGACGACGTGGGCGCCACTTCACATCTGCCCTTGACCGCAGAGAGCCTCCGGAAGGCGGGCCGGAGCGGCACCAGCAGCAGGTCTACCCGGAGCTCGGGCAGCCAAGACGAGAGCGACTACAGGCAGTCGGCCACCACTCGCACGACAAGGTCCACTGCGCCGGGGCCCAATAACGACGAGGACGTCACCATCAAGGTGAAAGGCAGCACCGTGCTCAAGTTCGGCAACACCGAGATGCAATGCCGAGACGGGGCTGAAATCAACATCATCTCGAGGAGCGGCGGCGGTGCTGAGATTCGTGGCGCTGCCGACAGCGACAGAGCCAGCTACATCGACCAGGATGACCGCCGGACGAGGGTCGACATTCCCCAGTCTCGCGCCCGCGCCGCCTCACGCGCCAAGTCACGTCCTCGGTCGTTCTCGCGCCCAATCTCGAAATATGACGCCACACCTAAATATGACGGTATGTCTCAGTACGATGCCATGTCCAAGTACGAGCCTTCAAGGTACGACGTGGGCCCTGACTACGATCCGTATCCTTCATATGCCCCGGCCCACGCCCCGCCCCTACCACCCCCATATCCCGAGTACCCGTCGTCGCTTTCTTCGCGGCACGGGGATGGGTACTTTGGGGCATGATACTACTAGCCATTAATGGTACCGGGTACAATACGACAACGAAACGGAATGAGAGACACAGTTCGGCGGGCAAAGCAGGACGATTTTGTTAGCGAAAATTTGGGTTGCAGGAGGGTGGTTCTTCGGTAGCCCCGATGGATGGATGCAGAGGGGGTTGATGATAATGACGATGATAGTGTTTCTGTGCGCAGAGGCATTATTGACCTTCACTTCTTCTTTTTCATGTTTATTTTTTTTTTTGGCGGGCACTGTCTATTAGTTATGATCTAGCGAGCGTTGGCTTATGTTTTGTTTGATTCCCTTCTTTGTTTTTGTTGCTTTTGGAGACAGAAGTAATCATGTAACTGGCGGATCTTGTTTTCTTATACCATCCTGTTGTTTGCTTCTCATTCTTCAATTCTCTTGGGGGCTAGAATATTAGCATGGCTCTTTTTTGTTAAATCTCATTATGGCCATCTAAACTATTACGGTTGCTCATTTCTCTTCCTTTTCCTCCCTCTTCCACCTCGTTGGGTCTTTCCAGATTTGAGAACGGCAAAATTCAAGTAAACAAACTTGACTTATACCCTAAAATCTAGCAGGGCGTTGGGGAGCCGGGGGGCGGTATGAGATCGGAATTGGGGGCCAATGAATGCCACTTAGGGACTTCATTTTCTCGCGTCCTATGACACACACACAAGACTGATATCAAAATTTCACAATCCTAATTTTTGCGCCTGATCGAGTGTAAAACCGTTGTTGCTTTGATGTGTTGTCCGATCTCTCACCCCTGTTGCCTTGTAGCCGCGGAACAAGGATCAGCTATTTTTGGCACCAAGTCTAAAGGGCCACACAAAAGTCGATAATTTGATGGAGAGAAATTCGGTAATCTGGCCATTTGGAATCCATCAGTTTTGGCCCTGTGTAGGACAGAGCTACACGATGACAGCTGGGTTTGGTCGCTAGTACGATTCCCTCGGGTTGTCAAGCCACCGCCATTGAGCGTCAACCGCGGTCTGTCGATACGAATCGAAAGGCGCTGCTGGGATAGCTAACTCGCAGCGGTCGACGACTTGCGATCCAAAAATAGCACCGTGTGATGACGTACACAAATCGACGCAATACTGAAACTTGATACCCGCTTAGAAACCCAATTCGCGCCGGAAAAGGCCCATGCCAGGACGTTAACCTCGGCGGTTCATGATACACAGCGCCTATCGGTAGCCTCACCATAACATCCTTGCGTTGACCTGACCAGGGCTTTGGTGTGGGTTTGCCAAGCGACCGAAATTGGATGTGGTCAAAAACCAGGGTGTTTGACTTACACGACGAAATACATAGTGTGGCTCTTGTCCATAATCATGTCACGGCTCATTATGTCTGGGAGCTATAGACGGAAGGGATACAGCATACACAGTATAAGTTCTCATAGCACTACCCTACTTGGCGGGCTAATTATTACAAAATGAATACATAGTAACCTATAACCGACACCTCGTCCACACACTCGAATACAAGTAGTCCACACCAAAGGGAGTACACCCCTTAGCACCTCACAACCTCTCATATTCGGGGATCTTAAACCCGGACGCGCGCAGCCTCTGAAAAACACGATCCGGATCGTACTTATTAGCCGCAGCCCGCAGCTTCCCCAGCGCATGAGGCCCGATCGTCGCGAGGGGATCCTGCTCAGCGCCAGCATAGTTCAAGTACTGCCAGCCCCAGCCGACGCCAAGATCCCTTGCGTACGCCTCGACAGCGGCGGCCCATGCCCGCACGATCGGGTACGCCTTCTTCTCGTTCTCGGCTCCGTGCAGGCCGAGCTCAGCTAGGAACAGGACGCCGTGGCTACCGCTCTTTTGGATCCAGTAGTCTAGTCCCATGACGTTGCCGCCGCGCTGGATGCCGTGGTCCGCGATGACTCGGTTTAGAGGCTGGAAGGCGCACATGGTGGTGAAGTTGCCGTTGCCGTCGTCGCCTGGTAACAGCTTGGTTAGCTTTGTTACGGCTATCTCGTGTTGCTCCGTGGCGAATTTCATGACGCGGGCATCGTTGTTGAACGCGAGTGAGAACCAGATGTTTCTGTTCAAGTCCGGTCAGCTAACTTGGAAGCAATCACAGTACACATAGGTACCCGGCAAGTGCTTGTAAAGGTAGTACTGGTTCTGCTAACTTACCGGTGTCCCGCCGGCTGGGCCGGGCCCTCCGACTTGACAAGTTCGGTCATGGGCACCACCATGCCGTTCTCGGTCAGGATCTTGCCAGCCTTGCGGTAGCCAGCAACCGCCGGAGGGTCGGCGACACCGATGGTGTTCTCCAGGCCCAGGTGGATAACCTTCCCGCCGGCGGCCGGGACGTGGCCAAAGTACAGGATCGAGGTCGTGTTCTGGTCCAGGTGGGCCTTGTCGGTGAAGTCTACCATGGCATCGATGACGCCGCCACCTGCGGATGGGTCGTATGAGATGAACTTGCCCCAGATCTCCGGCTTCGCAGGATTGGGGTACTTGATGGTGCTCAGGTCGAAACGTGTGACCAGGCCTAGGTTACCCGATCCGCCCTTGAGAGCGACCCAGAGGTCTGGGTTCTGCTCCGCGTTGGCGTTGATGATGGACCCATCTGCAATCACTACCTCGAAGTTGACCACATTATCGCATCCCAGGCCGTGAGAGGCTGAGTGGAACGAATTGCCGCCGCCTGTGAGGAAGCCGCCGACGCCGACTGAGCCTGCACGGCCGCCGGTGGCTACTACCCCATGGGGTGCCAGCGTTTCGTACACACTTTGCCAGTGGGCGCCTGGTTGGATGGAGGCAATCCCGGTTTTGGAGTTGTACGTCGTCTCGTTCATATTGCCTGTTCGAGAAGAAATCGAGTTAGCGAAACCACTTTTTTCCTCTTTTTTCGCCGCTCGGGAACGGAGAGTGAGCCAGCCCAATGTAAGGAGAGCATTCAGGAAACAGAAACTGGATTACCGAAATCAATCGTGACACCGTGCTCGACGCTATTCGAGAGGGCGAAGGAGCCGTGTCCACCTCCTTTCACACCAAAGGGACAGTGACCCGCGACGACTGTCGTGATGATAGTAGAGACATCTTCGGCCGTAGAAGGGAAAACCATACACCACGGGCTGAGAGCGGCGCTGGTTGACCAATAGGACTCAAGGCTCATATGGTATGTCGTCTCGTTGGGGAAGACAACACTGTGTCCCAAACCAGCTGCCACAAGTTTCCTGCACTGCGCCGAGTTTAGCGAGACATCAAGTACGCCAGGCCAGGGGTTCCAGTGACCAAGGACGAGGAGAGAAAACGGATCACACTAACGCAGGAGACCTCAGGCCAAGGGCCGCACTTAGCTTCGATGCCGGTAGCATAGAACGCAGCGGCCACGGCCAATGTGACCAAAGGCGCGGTAAATATCCCCATTCTGTGGCTGGGACCGGTGGTGCGCGGAGCTTCGAGAGAGTAAACGGCGCAAGAGAAAGAGAGTTGGAAGACTCGACTTGTTCGTGACAGGCAAGGTAACGTAAGTATGAGTACTCTACCACCTTGACAACGCTGCATACAACAGCACATCATGTTTATCTGGGCACACGACTCTTTTATCAAACATCCGATCATCGGCCCGGAGCATCAGTCTAGCCTTCGGGGGATATGTCGTCCCGGTCCGTAGTCCTCATATCCACTCGGCCGCCGATACGATGGAAGCGATAGGGCTGATCTTCTGGGGCTTCCGGGCATGAGCGACATCACCTGGGATGTCAGGATGGATCGCTTGGGAAGCCAGGCGCGCCAGCGCGCAGAGCCAAGCAGCCAAGCAACCAAGCCACGTCGCGCGTCGGTCGCTGACGTATATACACAGCACTCATTGGCTTCGCATTTAATACGACAGACCAAGCCTCATAATCCCCTTTTCCAGATCGTCGGGCCAAATGAGAGTAACCTTGCCGTGCCTCTCGGGCCGAGGCCACCGGTCCCTTGTGTCGGGACGAACCCATCCCGACCCGAGTTACAGAGAACTCTTGTCCCGGCCCGGCGTTTCTAACTCTCCGGCGTTGACGGGCATTCGGAGCTCAATCTTGGGACAAGGTCCTTCATTGGACGCCGCTGGGTGCTTACCTAGGGCCCAAGATGCCAAGGTTCCGGAGTTTCGTGAACGCTCTGCATTTATTATCCCAATACGGAGTATTGTACACATCGTCGACATTGGGGTAAACCGCTGTTGGTCACTCCTACAAAGTTCTAGGGTTTGCATTGTCAGCTCTGCTAGGAAGCCCTCGGTGAAACTATGAACTGAGCATGAAGAAGGAAAACACACGCACACCGGCCAGCCACGGGAACATAGTACTGCGCAGAATTGAACCGAGATGAAGGCACAGCCGTAACAAGGGAAGGATGTGGCGGATTCAATTATCCGCCTAATTTCAAGATCTGATAAGTGGTTCTCATGTCATAGGAAAATGGCACTTGACAAATCCACGGAATTAATTGACTGGCTCCATCGGCAGAACAAAAAACCAAAGAAAACAAGAAAGCAAGGGCTCTCTGTGCACTCAAAGGTGAGGATGTCCATCAATTCCACGCTGCAATGATGTGGCCGGTTTAAGGTTGAATACAAGGAGGTACCGTTGGCCAAAGTTCTCGATGTGAGAGGGGGGAACGAAGACAAAGTGAGTCGACATTTTCAGCCAGCGGATACTGCGTATGGTGGTTCAATGGATGTGCTGAACAGACTCCGAGGTGAGCTGAGAAAATAACCTGGGGCGGAAAGTCATCAGAAAAGGAGGATGGCGGCCAAGAGAGTTGTCTCTTCTTCTTGTCGAGGGGTAGCAGGACGCATCTTCAGACGACGTTAGCCTCTCTGCGGGGATTCAGACTTCAACTTTGGTGGGGGGGGGAGGGTCCGGTGGGCCGACCGCGTTAAGTGCTTGCAGATGGTTGCTGAGTGGTTGCTAGGCAATGGCCCGAAGGTTTGTTTACCAACGTCATCTTCATTGTGTGAGTGGGGTGGGGGTCAGACTCAAGATTTCTGCGACCTAATTGGGTGATGGACAACATTGGCCTTCAAGTTAACGTTAAAATTCGGGCCATTCAGCTATTTATTAACTCCTGTGTACTGTGTAACCAACCTGTGTAACTTGTTTGGGATTTGACTGGTTCGTCTGGTTGCCTGGTGTTGGTATCTGGCCCCAACCACTCTCATTCGTAGCGAGAGGAATCCATGCAGACCCCTGTCCCCAGCCTCCCGGTTTCTGGGTGAACCAGAACAATCACAACACATCGCTCCCTCCCAACACCGGCAACCCGTCTTCCTCTCACTCTGTCAATTTGGGGTCACCAACCCACCCGGTTGATCTTTTTTCTTCAATCATCGTGCAAACTACTCGGACTTCTCGAGCATTTCGATTCTGAGCCCGACTTCTTTTTTTCGACTTCACCTTTGCATCGACGGCACTTTCGTGTTGCTTGGCTGGGTGACCAGCGAAACCAGCCAGGCATTTTGACATCCTTTTGCCGTAACTATGGCACCAGCGATTCTCAGCGGCCTCCTCGGCCGTCGGTCCGATGTTGCGTCGCTTGGGCCGTTGGCTGCCCGTACGATTCTGCTCGCGCGAGACGAAACCTCTCACGAAAACGACGACCCAACTCGGGGTGCTATGCGGCCACAGGACATCAACAACAACGCCGTGTTTGCCGTCTTCGCCCTTCTTGGCGTTGCCTTCGTTCTTGTGGGGATTTGGTTCTTTTTCTGGGCGAAGAACGGCGGGTTTTACTTTAAGAAGCGCGACTGGGACGATTACAAGTCCACGGTTCTGCGCCGTAAGGGCCCGAACGGCACAATCTACTCGGACGCAACACCCAGCACCATTCTCGGCGGAGGTAGTGTTTACAAGGATGTGGACGACGGTACAACCACTACGGGTGACGATCTCACCACAGTGGTGAGCGCCACGACGGGTATCACTGGTATTACCGGCGGTGTCTCCGACTTTTCCGGCCGGGAGAAGCGGCGTAAGAAGCGGGAGCAGAAGGAGCGCGAGAAGGAACGTCGGCGAGAGGAGAAGGCGCGCGAGAAGGAGGAGCGCAAGAACCGTCGCAAGGTCGATGCAGACGGCGTCATCGTCGACGAAGAAGCCGAGGCGGAAGCTCAAAAGCACCTCCGCGACTATCGCCACGAGAAGCCGGCCCGTGTCGGCGGCATCAACCGCGACGCGGACGGCTCTGAATGGGACGGCTCAACCAACCCGAGCTGGTCAACCATGAGCCCCAGCCACGCCGGCGGAGCCGCGTCCACCGATGCGGGCACCGATGTCACCTCCGAACTCATGCCCAACCGCGAGCGCACCCCCACTACAACCCCCACCAAGAAGGACGCCGGCCGTATTCGCAAGGTCTACTCTACCGCCGACAAGAATGCCGCGCGCGAGAACGAGCGCATGCGCGCCGAGGCTCGCCGCATGCAGGAGAAGGGACGCGCGGCTGCGAGCAAGCCCAAGCGTGACTTCAGCTTCACTCATGGGGCGGATGAGACCATGGCCCTGCGCCGTATCGAAGAAGCCCCCACTGAGAGTGTTGTCAGCGGATCGTACGTCTCGGAATCCACAAACGACTACTCTCAGAGGGAGAAGCGCGCGCGTTCGCGCTCGCGCCACAGGAGTGCTGCGGTCCCCCCCATCGAAGAGAGTGAAGTTGGCAGTGCTCCGAGCGAGGTTGGCACCAAGGTCTACACCCACTCGCACCACATCCCGACGGCGGGCAGCTCTGTCGCTGGCACTTCGGTGACGGACTACGCGTATGCTGAAGAAAAGCGGAAGAAGAGGGGTGGTGCTGGGGCGAGGAGGAACCGCGAGTAGTCTCAATGTTATAGGCCGGGAGCGTGTGACGAGAATTGATTTCATGATCATAATGTGCGACCGAGCGGTTAGGGCGTGAAGGACGGTTATGGGATGGGACGTTATCATTCTTTTTTATATGTAGGCGTTGATGGGCATTACTGGTATGACGGGGCAGCAGTAGGGTTGTTCGAGGCTGGGTGGACTATGTCGGGTCACGTATGTATGTATTTCATGTAAAGAAGTCAATCAATCAGCACGGAGAGCGATTTGATAGTTTTAACCACCAGGTCCAGGCCTACAAGAGCGGATTTCTTTTTGTTTTCAAGCTTCTCAATTCCTGCACTACGTACGCTGGTGTGTATCAAGTCCTGAAGTGATTGGAATTGTTAGATATTTGTGTCTTCAACGCTCGACCACGCATCACTCGAGCCGTATTTCGGCATTGAGCGGGATCACAAAACGGCAACTGGCTGTCGCCTTGGCCATCCGTGCAACCGGATCCGAAACACGAAGCCGACCCCGGCCGTGTTGTAACCGTCGCGCCGCCGCCGCGTTGTTTCTGAAACCAAGAGTGTGGCCCTGAACGCAGGGCCCACCCAACCCAAAGTTGAAATACCCTGTAGCCCTGCGAATTGGAACACTCCAAACGACCAAGACTAAGCTTGACGGAGACAGCGTCCCAGCGCGGTCGCCGGCTTTTACACTACATGCATAGTTGCGCTTAGATAAGTACAAGAAGGATACAGGCATCCATCGCATGGTAACCCCCACGAAGATAAGAGAAGAGAAAACGCCTCGGAATGTCAGAAGGTCGAACCACGACCCGTCAAGCCAGACGAAAGAAACGGCCATATAAGCCGGACCGGTAGACACTCCGCTTGGTTTCCGATTCCGAGCTGACGGGGTGCTTTGGTGAGGTGGTGAGCTGTCTCGCTCGAGGTTGTCCGCTGGCGCTGGCCAGATGGATCCAAAGGGGCAATCTTCGGCCGTCCCATCCGGGCGGTGGTCAAATCCGTCCATTTGACCATTTGATGCGCCAAGAACTCCCCCGCCACTTGATAATGCACTATCCCCGCCACACCAGTGGAGCTCCATTTGACTGATAGGGCCTCAACAGCCTGCGCCCTCTCACGGGTCAAGCCCAAGCGCACTGCTAGGCGGCTCCGTCTCGGGACCAACACCAGGCGAAACTGGGCCATCACCGTCCGTTCATCCACATCCTCCTCTTCCTCCAATAACCCTTCACTTTACACCCCGACCACACCTCTTTTGCGCCCCATGGCTTCTTGATCTTTACCTCTTCCATTTTCTCATTTTCAAATCCTCGTCTTCCAATTCCTGGCGATCATTGACGAGCGGGCGGCGCCTTCCTTGCCTTCATTCCTGTTTCCTTTCCCCTGGCTTTCGTCATTCGTCATTCATCTCTCTTGACCCGCATCACCTCCCCACCTGCGCCAACGCCTGCGCCTGCGCCAGCGTCACACCCCGTCAGTCCTCGTCACCCAACCGACGCTCCCGACACTCGGACTTCGCGGCTCTTCACAAGCACAAAGAAACAACGAGCCACACGCCCTGCCTATTTCTCCCGTTTGAACCGCTCTCCTGTCATCGCCGCCGCGCCTTTGCTGCGCTTTGCGTATCCGAGTTTCCGCGATAACAGTGTCGTCGCAACGGTCCGTTGTGTCTGCACACATCGTCACGCCAGCATCCACGCCAAAAGAGGAAAAGAAACCAGGGACGGGCTCAATCTGGCGATCGTAGGGAAGAGCGCTGCCTAACGGCGGGCGCCCCTCAATCCGGAGCTGGAATTCTTCAACTGAGGCGAGACACGATTTCTCACAAACCTAGGACATTACAACATCTTATTCAATATGGCCAACTACAGCCCGGGGCTGAATGGCATCGTCATTGGCCTCTTGTCGTCCTTCGGGTCCGCGCTCTTGATCCTTTGCATCTTCTTAGTCTTCTACTTCTTCCGATACACGGCGTCTGGACGCATCTTTCTTGACCGGATCGGCCGGCCCGGCGAATACGATGACGAACAAGCGTTTGCGCGCGAGGAGGCCGACGCCCTCGAGGTGATGGACGACATGGAACGGACCGAATACCTCAGGGCCAAGGGTAGGCGGATTCAGCTTTTGGGCTCACCTTTCCCCGCGTGTCGGAGCCTGGATTGATCCTTCGTTGCTAACCGACTTTCACAGCTTTCATCGCTGCGAACCCCTCTGAATCGGCGCAAACCGATATATCCCTATCACAATACCTAGCCATCCAGGAAAAGGGCGTGTCGGCATGGGAGTTCGAACCTGAATTAGAAATCGCCAACTGCTTTGTCGAGGCCAGGACTGAGATTGAGTTCTTCGATTCGGAGTGCACAGTCATGAGCAATCTGCCCGTCCCCAAGCAGAACGACGTCTATTACTGGGAAACAAAGGTTTACGAAAAACCCGACAGCACGTTTCTCAGCATAGGAATGGCCACCAAACCTTATCCGCTTTTCAGGCTACCAGGTAAGGCGCGAGCCGGGACACACCTACTCCAAGCAACTCAGAACTAATCAGCAACAGGTTTCCACAAGACTTCGGTCGCATACCTTTCCAACGGTACCCGTCGCTACAACCAGCCTTTCAACGCGACCCCTTATGGCCCCCAGATCGTCCAAGGCGACGTTGTTGGTGTCGGATATCGCCCTCGATCTGGGACCATATTCTTCACACGGAACGGGAAAAAAATGGAAGATGTGGTGCACGGCCTGAAATCGCCAAATTTCTTTCCTTCGATTGGGGCAAACGGGCCTTGTACCGTGCACGTCAACTTTGGCCAGGCCGGTTTCGTGTTTATCGAGGCCAATGTGAAGAAGTGGGGCCTTGCCCCCATGACCGGTTCTCTCGCACCACCACCACCTTACGGGGTAGAAACCGACACGGTCCTCCTTGCCACCGGAACGAAAGATGGCTTCACGAGTTCTCCAGCCCGGGGTCACCAATACAGCCACTCCGCTCAACTATACAGGCACGGCCACAACACACCCGCTCACGGCCACGGCCACGGCCGCTCCAGGTCGGGAAATTTCCGTATGCTTTCTCCGACGAGCCCGGGGCCCCTCCGCAGCCCCACCGATATCTCCCTCGCTCAACTAGTACCGACAGATGAGGGCGGCGAGCCCAGCAGCCGTGGTACGGGCAGGCAAACCCACGAGTTCCGGTCAAGCCCCGCTGGGCCAAGCATACACGACCCCGATAACCGCCCACCCCCAGATTATACCAGCCCCGAGCACTCAGATGAGGAAGGGACTGAGAGTCGAAGAACAAGCAGTGATAGCGAGAACGCGCCATTAATCCGTCTGACCAGAAGTCGCGGGGCATCCTCAGCCACTGTCCGGAGTAACCACAGTAGGCCGACCCCGCCGCAAACGAGTGGCCCACCCAGCCCACCGATCCCTACGTACCAGGATGCGATTCGGCAGGGAGCAGGGAGGGAACGAAGTGATAGTACGCGGAGCACAAGGAGTGTAAGAGCATTGCGGTGATACGGAAAGCAAGAAACAGGCTTGGGCTGGTGTTGTTATCTCTGTCTCCCCTTTTCCTTTGTGAGCAGCCATGTGGGCTGGGACTTTATACCCTGGGAACCTGTACTTTTTCTACAACAGAGCTTTGTTGGTTTTGTGATTTTGTTGCAGCCTGAGACAACCTGGGGAATGGAGTTTTGCAAGTAAGGTGGTTTTATAGGGCATTTTGAAATTCGGGAAACGGTACGGGGGAGTGGACATGCTTCTTTTTTTGATCTTGTGGGGGTTAGGGTGCAGTTTGCGTATCATCCCTAGAGTTGGTGGTTTAGGGTTCTACCAGGTCCAATCGAGCGTTCGATTTGAATTGTTCCCCCATGTCTTCTTGTCTGGCCCTCTTCAACTGATATGATTTACATGTGGACGGCGGTTCCCGGATACGTTTAGCGAGTTTGTGGACATCCATGCTCTAGTACTATATCAAGAACTGACCGCTGCACTTTTCGAGTTTTAAATGTATCTCGAAGATGGTCAGTGTAATAGCGGCCCCGCTAGAATTGGGGCCGCTTACAACACTAGACATACACTGCTGACTCCAACGTCGTGCCATTTGCTTCTCACCCGCCTAGTTTTTGCTTGGTTTCCCCCCCCCCAATTCCTGTTCTTTTATTCTGCCGTTTTCTTTTTAATACTTCTTCACCGTCTTATGTCAAATGCCTAACTCCGCTCAGTCGAGTTATGTTTGAGCGGCTGCCCCACACACTGACACTACTCCTCCAACCATCCTGGGACCTTGATCTCTCCTTGAGGTCTCCATAGCCGTTCCAACGAGGAATCCGCGTCCGGTCTCGGGAAGAAGGCGGAGAGGGGGAAGTATCATTCAACTGAGAAGATTGCATGAACAATATGATGCGTACTACTTTGGTTCCTATTATATTTGATATTGTTAGGTAGTGGGGGTTAATAGCATGATCACAAAACGTTCACTACTATCGTATCATGAGACAAGGTCGGGCTGCCAACAAGTATATTTCCTCCTCTCGTACAATTAATTAGATTATCCTACGCCCACAAAGGATGTCAACCCATCCACTAGCTCCTTTCTTCCTAGCCCAACCCATGTCCTTTCCCAACATTCTGCCCACGCGAGGAAATACAGCAGTACATATCAAGCAGAAACAAGAGAGAAAATTAAAGAAACGGGAAACATAAAACAATACAATAAGCCATTATAAACGCCGCCCAATGCAGAGAAACCCGAGAAAACACCATTGTGGTCCATACAAGTGAAATACAAACCACATTTTTCCTTCCTCCGGACGTAAGTCAAGATAGACATCCATCCATAGCCGTGTTCTCTCTCGTAATACACATTCCTCCACAAGCCGAGAAGAAAAAAAGAGAAAAAACAAACAGCTAAACCAAACCAAAACAACAGTCGCTATGCAGTTGGGTATCGTGATCATAAAGGAGTGAAATTCTATGCCGATGAAAAATGGCTTGATCATTGGTACAGTGTCGGTGAGTTGTATGTGTCGTCAAAGGAGTGTCTAATACCGATGGGGTATAATAACTGTTCCGATCCGCGGAAAATGCCAAAGGAAAGTCTATAGTTTGTTTTCGGATAGGACCAGCCAGTGTCGCGAAAAAGGCGTAATAAGGAGCGTCATAAGTGGGTATCTTCGATGGTTTGTTGTAACAAAGGAGCGTCGTTGCATCAAAAAATGCAAAATAAAATAAGATATTAGGGTGAGATCGTCGCAGCCGTAAAAATGAGTGAAACACGGCATGATAATGTCGTGGGTTCGGTGCCATCTTCGAGTTGTTTGTTGTTTGTTGTCTTTGATCGTAAAAAAGGAGGGTGGTGTACAATTGCGTCTGTGTTGAGGTGAAGAAAGAAGCCGGCAAGCAACTCGGATGCTTGTAATTTCAAAAGGAAAAAATAAAAATAATAAAAGAGGTGGTGCCGTCAACGCTATGCGTAGGTCGCAGAATCCGGGTAGCTGCCGCTAGAAGGCCTTGCCCTTGCCCTTGGCCTGAGAGCTCAGCGGGACAGTGGGGGTGATTTCCGTCGGGGTCACCTCTGTTGGCGTAATGTCTGCCGCGGGGTCGCCCTGCTCTGTGTTTGCTAACGGAACGAACTGAGAGCTAGGTGAGTCGGGGGCCGAAAGCAAGGCCTGCCCGGCGCCCAAAAAAGGCGAAGGCATATGGGCCGGCAGCTGCGGGGGAAGCCACGAGTAGAGATCCTCAGGGGGCGGATGATCCGGACTGGTGCTCAGATAGGATGAAGGCCTGGTCGTCATGGTTAATCACGGTTGTCCTCGCGAGCCGCGGCTGGCAGACCTTAGTGTGTGGGCCACAGTTAGGTCCACACGGTCTGAATTGGAGAAACGAACCCGACGCCATAAGTGTTGGAACCGCCCAGCATAGGAGAGGCAGCTGCGTAACCGACACCGTAGGGAGCGCTGTCCTCAGCATCACTGTACACTACCGGGGAGTTGTCGCTAAAGTCGCCAAACGTGCTCGAAGCCGGGCTGTACCCGCCATATGACGGGCTGGGGATGTTGAGGTAGTGTGGATTGACGTAGGGCGACGACATCGGCATTGGGCTGACGGTACTGTTGGCCGGGCCAGACTCGGGGATGACAGACAAGTCCTCCGTGCTGTAACTGAAAGCCACGTTCTCCCCGTAAGGCAGGTACTCGGAGGACAGGTTCGCCGAGAGCATCAACGGGGAGCCCTCGTTCATGTACAAGCTGGGCTGGTCGAACTGCGGGAACGAGGGCGTGCGCACGGGTTGAAGCCATCCCATCCGGGAGCGGAACTCGTTAACGGTCTCAATGGGGAACTCCATCAGGTTGAGCGGGGTCTGCAGGTCGCCGTCAAGGTGGCCGGAGTTGCGGATGGCATACAGGCGCCGAGCAATATCCTCGACGGGTCCAATAGTCATGCTCCCAAAGTAGGCCGCGCCGATCTCGGGGAAGAGGCGTTCCATAAGCAAAGCAGCCGTGTAGTAGTGAGCAATGACCACCAATGCGCTAGGCGATGCACCATTCTTTTGCAAGTACATGACAGGCAGCCAGAACAGCCAAGTGCGAAGGGGCTTCAGGCGGTCGAACTGCTGGGCTACCGACAGGGAGGAGGTAACTTTGCGAGAGCCCTTCATGAAAGTTATGAGCTGCGTGACCGGCTTGGTATCCTCCCGATTCTTCTTGAGGTACGATTCGAGCTTCTGGAGCTGCTGCAAAACAGGTTGGAAGGCTTGCAGGTCGTCCTCACGGGGCTGGCTTGGCTGATGATCCGGCGTGGGGGACGGCGGGGCTGTCGGGAAGGTACTGCTCTCTGCAATGAAGTCGCCAAACTGAGACTCGTGCTTCCAGGGATCCATAGCCTCAATGACCTGTTTGTGGCGGCACTGTTAGCGAGGGTTCCCTCTCTCTCTTCACCATTGTCACGCCCGGGGAGGACTCACCGAAGAGGTTCCTTGCATGAGTTGGGTCCAGCTCCGCCTATAAAACATATTAGTTCCCGTCTGCGTTTGCCCCGGATAGGTGCATTGTATTGCTTACCAATCTGTGGCCTGCCAGGAGAGGACCAGCGAGGCAGCAAGGATGGCATCGGAGGTTTCCCGAGAAAATGTGTTGATGGCTTCCTGCAGTCCTTTCAAAGCGGCACCACGGTGCTCGTAAGCCATATTGCCAACAGTCGGGCAGCCAGTCAGGTACGCAAGATGCATGGCGGAGAAGGCCAGCAGCGAGTGCAGCACGTAGCGGTGAGACGCGCCGATGCGAATAATCCTTGAGGAGCCTGTCAGTGCGTGCTGCGATAGGTCTACATTTCCCCCCCGAGAGGTATTTAGCTTACGTGGGAATCTGCCGGGTCCAGAGGGCAAAGTCATTGGCATCAAGCTCCTGCATCTGATGGCTGATGGAAGCAACATGATGGATCAACCTCAGATCTTCAAGGCTGAGGAGCTCCGGGGCCGGCGCAGGGTAGACTCCAAGGCTGGGGAACGGGAACATGCCCGTGCGGCGCCACTGGTCGATAGTAGCCTCGATTTCCGGCGTCCACATGAGGTCGGGCTTGTCGGGCGAGCCAGCCCTGTCTTCCGGCGCAGGGGCATCGTTGTACGGGCATCGGATCTTGTGCTTAGTGCAGTTACGGCTGGGGGGCGTGTCAGTTATCCACGGGTTTTGAAAACAACGCCCGAGTCGACTATCCATACCATTGAGGAAAGTTCTCATCGCAGCGAATGTGACGCCGCTTGCAAGTCTCACAGCCCTTGCGAGACTTGGTGTGGCTAAATAAAAAAAAAGAAACACCGTCAGTACTTCGCAGCCAAACGAAAGACACAAAGCTGTATCAGCATCAGAGAGTGGATAACTCACCTTCGACGAGGGGGGCCACCACCGGGACCGGCCATTATTACGAATATGAAGTAAATATAACAAAAAATAAACGAAAAAGCTATAGACTGGTCAACAATCGCCTGGGCGAACACGAGCGTTTCAAAAGCCAAAGCGGGTATGCTAACGTGAAGTAAAAACACGATGTGCCTTTGTGGTCACAAGGTAGCGAACGTGGTGAGTTTCAGGTAGGGGGGAACACGGGAGGGTCGTGTCAGATTGGTGCCGAGGGTTCGCCTGGAAGGGCACAAGGTAGCCCTTAGCAGGTCTCGAGGACGTGGGCCGAGAGTGGGAGGCGGGAAGCAACGGGGCTGGTGGACAACGAGCGATGAGCGAACGATGACGGCCAAGAACAAAGCGAAAGCCGAGGTCTAGTCCAAGCCTCGGATCTTGTCGAATTTCCCTTTGAGATCGATCTCCCTGACTCTTTCTCCTGGATGTTCTCCCCTTTCCTTAACGGTAGCGATCGTGTAGTACTTCTTTGCGTCCGAGAGATACAAGAAACGTGGTTTGAGCGAGAGTGAGTGAAGCGTGTAAGCTAGGCCTTGCAGACAGGCATCTACTTCCTAGAATGGCGGGTGATGCAGATGGTTGTTGATTTTACGAGTTTATCACTGAAAGGCGGTGCGGTGGCGGATGAGAACACAAAACTATATGAGTCGTGTGGATGGGTGTGAGTTTTGAGGGTGAAAAGGCGGAGGGCGAGGGTGGTGGTTTTTGCGGTTTTCGTTTCGAGCTCTCTCCAACACAAACAAAAAAGAAACAAGCGAATGACAGGAGTCAACGAGGACTTCCTAAGGGTGGGTTGCTAAAAGCGAATGTGAGTCGTTGAGGTACAGCGACGGGCTGGGGCAGCGTTGATGATGTATCTGAGAGATCAAGAGAGTAGGGGACCGCGCCGTTGGGGGAGCCGCACAGTTAAATAGCGTCTGTGTGTGCTGAGTGGTGCAAAGCGCGGGATACTACCAGCCCGGAGACCCGCTGCCCCAAGCCGCACCAAAACCATACCAAGCCTCTTTGCCCCATCGGGAAACCCAGGCGGCCAAGAGTGGTCCCCCATTGACAACACCATGTGCTGGTTGCCCCACTCATAGCCCCAACGGGATTAGGGCATGGGGTGGGACGGATGAACAAAGAAGGAAATCGCAAGCCGGGACGGGCCCTGATGATTTGCAGCCCGTTGGTTGGCTTTTTTTTTTTCTTCCTTCTTTACCCCCCTCTCTTTTGAGAAGCGCACGATTAGTTTCCATTTCCTCTCCACCACAGCCCTGGTAAGATACCTCGATACCTACCACCGCGCCCTGGGGTGAAGGCGCCGGCAATAACTATGTCAGCCGCGAGAAAGGCTTAGTTAGATTTGCCGACCCCGGACGGAGAATAAGACGACGTGCCCCGACGAACAGAGAGGCAGGAGTGGCACAGCACAGGAATCGGTTGCGGGAAGGGAGGCAGCGGGATGAGGCAAATCGGCATCCCACGTTCGCTCCCTAACGCAGGATGCGGGACGCAGCGTGCATCACCAGTACGCACGACGGAGGACCTCTACAACATAGTAACTATAGTAACTCTGAGAAAAGAGGATCCGCATCGTCATCGACTAGGAAGACGGCTGTTCCTACCGGCCGGCAACGGTTTCTCCTGATTTTTTATTCGCTCGGCTGATCCGCGGTTGGGACCGAGTAGGGTGCTCCATTTCATCGGCCATCTTGGGAGTGCAGTACTCCCTTGATCGCTCAGCGCTGCCCTGGCCCTATTCGACACCTTGCTCTCGAAACACTGTGGAAGCCGGCGGGTAGATGGGCGTTGGTATCGAGAGGCCCAAATGCTGGTTCAAGGTGACGGTGGGGGGTGGGTGTCGATTCATGCGGGTGTGAAAATGTCTCCGGATGGTCTGACCAATGTGATTGTCCTGCGGCGTTGAGCAGACGAAGCGCGGCGAGGGATTGGGAACTTGGGAATCCCGCACACAGCTGCGAGGTCTTCCCAATGTTACGTTAACTTGGGGCAGAGTCTGACAAGAGCGCAAGAGTCCAAGTGTGCAAGTGTGCCCACGTTCAAGCGCTCGCTTGGCTGCCCGATGACGGGGTTCAAAGCGGCTGTGGAACGGTCGGCATCTTTGTTTGACACAGGTGTCCCGCTTCCGCATTCGAATTTTCGGCCTGATGAACTCCGTGGGTGTCAACACACAAAATTTGTTGACCCATCTGGAGCGAAACCGGTATTGGCCAACAATCGCAGCAGCAGCCAGTGGCCCTCAGAGGGGCGTGAGAACGAGGAGCGGCCTTTGATCTTGGGGCGGAGCGCTCGCTAGCTGTCCGCTGACTGGTTGCTTTTCTCCTGGTTTTTTTTTGGGGGGGGGGAGGGGGGTTGTTCTTGTGGTGTTTGGAGAAGGGGGTGTTCGCTTGGGGTTGGGCTCTCAATCCAGCGGATCCATCAGTCACAAACCTCGGGACTCAGCACACACCGCAAAAATCGGCCCACGGAAGAGGATCTCGGGACTGAGTCCCCAGCCAGTCATCCGCTCAAGAAACTTGGCATTAACAATGTGAAGACCCTGGAACCACCGGTTGTAATGTTTTTCTCAGTCACAACTCAGAGCAAGCCACCCCTTGTTTGACCTGTGTTACATATCAGGTTTCCATCGCGTGTCCTCGAGAACGTCCAGTGTCAAGGAGTCAGGTCCTCGGCGGGCTTTTGTCCCTCCAAAGCTTCCCATACCTAGTTAGCCATGACCGTAAATACAAAATTCCCGTCGGGTGTAAAACCGTTCCCCCCCACCCCCCCGTCACGAAGGTACTGCGTTGCTATCCACAACTCATGATTGTTACAGCTGCTGAAAGATTTCACTCTCTCACCGAGGACATCAATCTCGAAAAGAGTCAAGAGCCACAGATGGTGCTGGTTGTCTCGTTCGGTTTCTGATGTCGATACTGAGACCTCAGTTCTCAATGGAGTGCGGGGTTCAGGGCGACCGCCAAGCCCCCTTGGCATAGGGGCCAATGGGGTTTGCAGAATGACCTGGCGCTGCAGGCCAAACCGCATTTCTCGCATTGGGGTGACTCGCTAGGAGGTTTGCACACCGGATCCCTCGGCCATTGCTGCACAGACCAGGGTCAGGGGTTCCCGACGATACCAAAGTCCCTTCAGTCGCGAGGAAACCCCACCACTCTTTCGGAGGAAACTCGATGAGTTGGAGGCTTGCTGTTTGAGCTCCTTTTTGTCCCTCGCTATGAAGGGTGTCTCTGGCTGCCTTGGCCCCTTGGCCACATCATCAAGCTCTAGTCGACGCACAAGGAGCCCTTCCAGTACTGTCGTCTTGGGACCTTCACCCACAGACCCACTAGAGCAAGGGCCGAGCACCGCCGCCCGCTCTACGGCATGGCAGAACGGATGCTAGACATGGTTGATGTGGTGAAGGCGTTGATCCTGGGGTGAGTGCAATCGATAGACATGTTGAATCCTGCCTTCGTGATGTGGGCGGGCGCCGGGCGGCAAGTGAGGGTGCCGACTGAAAACAGCCCGATGCTCCGCAGCTTCGTCGAGCATCCCGAAAGCGATTCTGCGAGATGGCGAACCCCCTGCTAGGCCTGCTCCAAATCCTTGCGTCGATGGCTGGGAGCGGGGGGTGTCCCGCTAGATTTTGCACTTCTGATTGGTCAACGTAACCGTTTTCTCGTGTCCATTTTTGGCTTTCCGCTTTGCGTCTCACGCCCCTGCTCGAAGCAATTGCATCTTTCCCCTCATTCCCCGAAACTCGGGACTCTTCGATTTCTTCAACACAGGTCATCGGTATTGGTTTCGCAGGTCCCCAACCTGCCTGTTGGGGTTGGAAGTTTTTGTCTCCAACGCTCCCCATTTTCCTGATCTGTGGATCAAAATCCACCTACACCAAAAAAGTTACTTGGTGTGCAAAAAGGGTAAACATTCAAGGGACGAAAAAGGCTGAGAACGGGACCTATGCCGAAGGCGACTCTGGGTGCCTGGTCCGCGCCCACCTCGTTCGCTTCACCGCTCAAATCTCCACCTCTTCCACATCTCTCCGGGCACATGACTCTTTCCCTCTTGAAGGACAAACGCGACATTCGCCAGGCCCCCGAGGACGTAGCGCTCTTGTGCCAAGTCTGTCTAGTCTCGTGGGTACTTCCCATCGGCATCGCCCAGTCGCGTGGGCATTTCTGCATCGCCCGCGGAATTATTACGTGTCGCCGATGCCGTGGGAGTCTAAGACAATCTTTTTTTGAACCTCATCAACGCCGGAGCGACGGGCGAACGCCAGCGGGTTGTCAAAAAGACCATCTCATGGGCGCGTGCGTTCACTCGAGGTGAGACATATCCCATTCCGGACTAGCCAGTTTCTATTCTTGAAGTTAGGCTTTTGCACGCAGATCCACCCTGACGTCTGCCCGAATGTTCCCAGCTCGGCCGAACTGGACGGGCGGGGAAGCCAGAGAGCCAATCAGTGTAGCCCGCCAAGCAACCGACACTGATCTGCTGCGATACAACGTTCCACTTCTCGTTCTCCATGATCATTCTCCAAGCTTCTCGCACAACCCCCACCCATCTGAGCGGTTTCTGAAGTGGGCTTGGTGGGCTTGCATTTCAAAATCGGACACCGTTTCGCTGAAACCCGTAGGCCCAATAAATACGTGGGTACTTACATGTCGGTGCTCGGCTCGCTTGAAAAAGGCTCAGCCGCGATGGCTCGTCGTCAGTCACAGCTCCACACAAGTAAAGGAACCACCAGGAGAATATATCCCCTGCACGCAGGTCCTCAAAAACCGCTGCGGGCCCGGCAACCAACGTGGGTTGAGGTGCACGCCCACCGCCAATTGGAAGAGCGGCTCCCCCAACTTTGACAAAAAGGGAGCCGACTCACTCGTGCGTGGAATCAAAAACATCCTTGGCCGGCCATCACCAAGACCTAAATGGCCAAAGTGACCCCGCCTACCCCCTGTAGATCCGGTGGCCCTCTGTTTGCACCCGGCAAACACCAAGGGATGTTGGTGATGAGACACTCTCGGGCAGGTCCCACCTCGGTCAAATGGCCGCCGGAGCCGATGAAATATCTTAGACTTCTTCTCGATTTCGTCTAAACCAACACTTTCTATCCCAATAACAAGATGGGGCGGGAAACCCACGAGGTGGAAGGTGTGCAGCAGCCCGGCGCTACAGATTTCGAGAGGAGAAGGAACTCTACTCTGTACTCAATCAAGTCCCTCGAACGATGTAAAGACGGATTTTCGGGCAGCATATCCGCGGACGAGCTTCGGGCCTAGCGATGCCCGAGGCTATCCTCCAAGGTTCCTCACTGCCGGCATCTCGCCGGACTTTCCCTCCGCTTTCGAACAAGGGCGGAACCCCGAGGTGCCGGCCCCGGATGGCCCATCTAAATAAAGTTTAATATTCCGGCCGATTCGTTTTCCCTATCGGGACGCCGCGTGGTGGGTCCCCTTGCCCGGGCGACTGGCCCTAAAAAGATCTCTCACGACTGCAAAACTCGACGATAGGTTCATGATTCCTCTGCCATTCCCCGAGTCTATATCCGTATTGTGTTTTTACTCGCCTTCGTGGATGGTATTGTACGACAGCCAGCGATAATTCTGCCCCCCCCCCCCCGGGCAACCTACTCCGATAGGACACAGGAGATGGGAGAAAATAGCGTCTTCGCTGCGCCCAAAGTAAGAATTACCGAAAGGGGCACCGAGATGGGAGCTGAATAACAAGGAGCTCGATTTTGTTGGCCAGTATTCGAGGAAGAGAGGCTGGACGAGCCCAAGTGGCATCCACGGAATTACCGCGTACACTGCCTCGGATGCTTCCTTGAGGGTCCCACAATCGATGTCTCGGGAAGGGATCCAAGAGAGATCGACGGGAACATGCCATTCGGGTTCTAATCCAATGGTCCAATCAAACTGTTAGGTGAGGCGTTCGAATGTCTCGGTACTGTGTGGTGTAAGTGGTGTACCCTCTATTTTCTCCAGTGAGCATCACCCATTAACGTTAGCTGCCGGTAAGGGGCATGTTTCCCAAGCACATGTTTTGTGCAATCTTCTCCTGTCACTCGATTTTGTCTCATTCCAGCCGCCTTCTAGAACGCGCTCCGGTCCCGAAGCTGAGCGGCAGCCAGCCCATCATGAAGAAGTCGAACTGCCAGTAGCACGTTGGGTTACAAGCCGGTCTGCTCGGATGTTGCAAAGACTCGGCGGTGTATCCTCAAATAACTCCGCCCCTGCGCCGGGTGAGCTTAAACTTGAACTTAGTTACCCGCTCACGCCGCTGTCATTGAGGCCAACGGAACCCGGAAATCTGAACAGTTTCCGGCTGCCGGCTTTGCTGCGTGCTGCGTGCTGCGTACCGCGTACTACATGCCGAGTATCAGTACCTGAGGTAGGGAATTGCCTCCCTACCTTACTACGGATTTCTCTACAAGATGCTACTATGTATGTACATACATACTAGTTTGCACATGCAACTTGGAGCTGCTTTTTCTGGAAGTATTTCCCAATCCGGAAATTGCGGACAAACTAACAAGGGGTCACTATCATGCATTGGACTACTACAATCCTCGACGCATGCCAGCTCGGCGGTTCCGTCAAGACGAAAGGCCCTTGATACCAAGCTGCTAAGCGCTTGCCGTCGTGTGTGTGGAAGAAGCCTCTGATGTCCTGATGGAATTGGAATGGGAATGCTGACCTCGTCCGCGCCGCGCCGGCCCGATTGCCTGTGCAACGCAGTGGGGTCTGTGTCTGGTGAACCATTGGGCAAACAAACGTCCGGAGCGAACACAACAACAATCTCAGCCCTGGCCTGCCTCGCCGACCACAGTGTTTGGTATGTACCATAGTACATAATATGCATTGCTGCTGTGTCTTCTCTCGATCAACCCAGGGGCGCCCGACCGACTTTCGCTGCATTTTCTCCCAAAACCGCCCAGCATCCACCACCAAAGAGTTAGTGAGCCTCAAGCCCATCCATGTAGGTACTTCGCATGGGCCCTACCTACCTACGCGCGTATGTAGAGCGCAGAGCCCGGAACACTAAGAACAGATGAAAACGACCGTTATCGCCAGGTTGGACAAAACTCCCCAAAAATATTTTATTTCGCTGCCGAAAGAGAATCATCCAATCAACCGACTAATGCTTCTCAGATCCCACACGCCCCCGTTATTCGCATGCCCGCCTACCGTTGCCCCTGAATTGCGTCCCGTCCCATCAGCAGCGCCATGCACAGCCACGGCGGCCGCCGGACACGATGTCGCTCCCCAGGATGGACAACTGGTCGGGTGGATCGGGGTACACGAGGCCATGCAACCTTATCCTCAATCCTCGAAAAAAAAAACAGCGCCCAAAGAGGCCAAAGAGACCGGCAACGTGGGGGATGCCCGGCCGTGTTTACGCGTTCATGTCCACAAATAGGACATCGACGGGCTGCCATAATCCCTGAGATCTATAGATACCTTCTAGTCAAACAGAGCACACACCTCATCATCTAAGATCCACCGTGTATGGTCCGTTGAAGTTGGAAGGAACTGGGCGCAGCTCCCTCAGCACAGCTCCTGTGAAATCCAAACGCTCTCGCACATTCACGCACCATGGACGATCAGGATTGGGTCTCCTTTTTCGTGCCCGGCTACACGGTTTAAGGCGTGTTGTGTTTTCTGTGCGAAATGGTGCGCATATTCTAGGTGCTAATATTTGTGACTTTGTCTTTCGGAGCACGGAAAATGGGACTGGAACAGGATTGTTGAAAAAGAGAGAAAAGAGGGGGGGGTTTATACTCCTGGAGCGGACATTAGAAGTTGTCGAAGGAAAGAGTGCTGGGCATGTCCCTTCCTGTTGAGGCTGTACTCTGAAGTAGAAGGAGCCGCTGGCTTCAGAGGGAAGGGGCATTACAGCAGCAACAGCCAAATCCATTTCTAGGTCACAAGCTGTGAATGAACACCGGACGCAAAGGGGGCTTGCGCTCAACAAGACTACTCCCAGTGGACACCGCACACGTCCTTCGGGTACCTCGCAGGTCGGTCTCCCTACCCACCTACTGAGAGGGCCTTGCCCGTGCTGCTTCGAAACACCTCCATTCCCTCCTAGGGACCTTCTCCTCGCACCTTCCCGGCACCTCCCCAGCACCTTCGTCGCGCATGCTCCCACTCTGGGTCACCCATGGGGGTTCCATCTCGGGCGGCTGGTGCCAGAGCGAGGTGATGTGTCATGCCAGCTCTAACACCGAGCATCAATGGCTGAAAACACATGCCTCGACCCCCCCTCCCCGGGGACGATGGGCCACCTAGTCCTGCGGTTTGCCGCGCCGCAGAATGGGCAGGCGCCTTCATTGTCGGATCCTCCTCGCTCCGCTTGGGCGGCCAAGAGAAACAGGTGACGCCCCTAGCTTTAATTCACCGTTGCGTTGTTAAAACTATGGTTTGGGACCAGGCGAGCAGTCAGGAGTTAAGTACAGGTGAGTACCCATTTTACTATTTCCTCCACCTCGGATAGCTTATGGCCGGTGAATGGGAGTACCCAAACACTAGAGAAACAGGGTGGTTTGTCGACTGGTGTCAACTTGGCGGCTCAAGGTAGAACAAAGCGTATCTAGCCTATTTGGGCCCGTAAAATTTGAGTATATGGAGACATGAGAATTGTGAGGTTGGGTGAACGGAGCAAAGCCGCACTACGCTTTCCGCGGAGACACAAACCGAATATAAGACACGAGAACAAATCGATTCAACTACCTTGCGATAACGATGACTCCGTGAAGCTGTCTACGAGCTATCTAATGGCCTATCTAAGTGTAAATGCAATCCAGCCCGCCGCCAAACTATCCACCTCCCTTACAACATCTAGACGTCCCAACCCATTTTCTCGCTCCGTACCATGTTCGACCCATCAACCAACTATGCTACCACCATGCCCGCCCAAGTGATAAAACAATGCCCACCATTTTCCGTTTTCCCGGAACCAACCCACTCATCCACCAGGCCGTTGCGTTCGAAGGACGACCACAGCCCTAACATCCGACTTGGGGCCGCCATATCCCGATCCATCTGACCACGGTGATTGCTCAGATGGCTCATCACATATTGCACTTCCTCCTTGCCCGTATCGTATTTTTTTCCATCTCGCCCTATATGGCAAAATAGCCTCGGCCCATCCCCGCTGAAGTGATCGATAACCGCAGTGATCAAATTTGCCATAGATGACGATTGAAACATATCAAACTTTCCTGCGGAGCTTTTCCCGCCTCGCCTGAGACAACGACTTTCCTTTGTCTCGGGGTCCAGCCGTATTCCGCCTCCCGTTGTCACAGCTCGAGTAGATTTATGGTCTCCGTAATTTATCTTCCGCTTTCTCTTGCGCCCATGTTCGATTCTGGTAACCCTACTCGAGCCTCCTGCTTATCCATCCCACGAGCCTACCATCCTGCACCTTCTCATCTGCAAACCTGTTTGCCGCAGCAACAAAACAGGGCCCACGTTCTTTTTGTTTGTTTTGTTTTTTTATTTCCGATGAAAATCGTTGCTTTAGTTACCACGCCACCGGATAAAATGGTGGGCGCTGATATCGGATAGGTCCCTTGACCCAAAGAAGCACGCCGCGGGGTATCTAATTTCCCGTCCGTGTCCCCGTCCCCCTAAAGAAAGTCAAAACAATAGTTACCCGTCTCACTATACCGTTTGGGGTGCAGCAGAACTCGCACGATGTGGCCCGTCTGTGCTATTCTTGCGGACGCATCAAATAGCATAGGTGGACTTCAGTGCTTCTTGATCTTGCGCTTGAAGTTGGGCAACAAAGTCGTTGAACTGTGGGATCAGTTGGCGGTAGAGGTTGAGAACCTGTTTCAACGTTTAGTAAACTTATCTTATCTCGCAGAATGAGAAGGCTAGGAGAGAAGACTCACACTCTGCAGGATGTCATGGAGTTCTTGCTTAAGAGTATTTTGCAACTTCAGATCCTGGTATCTCGCAATCGCCGTGAAGAAGCGCAGGAGATCCTTCTCCATGGCTTGTGGATTTTGCGCCACCACCAACGCAAACCCCTTGAACGCCGTTGCCTTTTCTTCGGAAGGATCAATTTCTTCCATAGATCTGAGGAACTCCTCGGAGAATTTCGCCAAGTGTGGGGCAAGCAGCTCGGAATTGTCAAGACCAAGTCTACCAAGGGCGATTGCCGCGTTCTCGTTCACGCCGAACGGCACGCCAGGGTTGGAGATGATCTCAGCGCAGCGCTGGAGCAGCTCGGGTACGAATGGCGCCATGCCCTTCCCGTACTGCATTGCAATCTCACCTGCGCTCCAGCAAGCATTGTTCACGACGCTGAAGCTGCTGTCGATCTCCTCGTCAAGAATGTTTTCGAGATCCAGTCGCTTGAGCAAAATCGGCATGATGGAGGGCAGGAACTGCTTTAACTCGCCAAAGACAAACTTCGAGCAATCACCAAGAAGGGCGTAGGCAGACTGTTGGACCTCATCGGCGGGGTCCTCCATGCAGAAACTCAGAAGTTCAAAGAACGCGGGTTGGCTGTTTTGCACCAATTTCACGGCCTTCGCATCGTCGAGGGCCTGGATGATGGCGCTAAGAAGGTCCAGACTGGTGATCAGGAAGTCCTTATCCGGCTGGTCAAACTCGGGGTTGTTATTGGCGGCAAGGGTTTGCTCCAGGTTCTGATGGATGATGTTGACGCACCGGCCGAAGATAGCTTCAGCATAGGGAGTGAAGGCGTCCCCCAGAGCAATGGCGACGTACGACAAACACTCTAAAAGAGGAAACATCTCCCTTGACTGATCTGGCACCTTCTGCCACCGGTCGATAAGGGCTGGCATAAGTTGATTGCAAAGCTCGGGCCGGGCGAGAATTGAGCCAATATGTTCGGCCAGCGTCTGGACACAGTCGTACAGCACCCATCTATTCTTGTCCTTGTACTTGCTGAAGCACAGGACGTACTGTTGAATGATGGGACCGCAGAAAGGCTCGAGGTTCTTCCCAGCCTTTTCTTCCAAGTTCGCCATGGCTGACGCACCGGCCTCCTGCACCTTCTTGTTTTTGTCCACCATTTTCCGTAGAATCCCATCCATCAAAGGCACGAAATAGGTCTGCTTTTGAACCGGGTCTTGTAGATTAGCTGCCCACGCTGAGTACCGCCCCAGCGTCCAACAGGTTATCGTCCTAACAACGGGCTCCGAATCCTCCAGTAGGCTAATAAGGTAGGGGACGAGTTCTGGAAGATGGGGAATGACGACATCCATGCAGCCTTCGGCGACGGCACCAAGTGCCAGTACGGCAGCTTCGCGATGCGGCCAGTCTTGGTGCTTCAAGTTGGTTTGCAAGTAAGGCAGGATGGACGTGAAGACAGGGCCGCCAAAGTCGGTAGCGAAGACGTCGAGCGCCGCGGCCGAGCACTTGCGCAGAGTCCACTTTTCGTCTGGGTTTTCGTCGCCGCCCTCTTCAAGCTCATCGATCTCCCCCTCCTCCAAATCATCGTCCATGCTAGCCAGCTTTTCGTAGGCATTGCCGTTTTGGTTTGCTTCCGCTGACGCCTCGGCTGCGCCTTCAGTGTTGGCACCACGCTTCAGATTCTTCTTGGCGAACTGCGGCTTGATGTCCTGTTCCCTGTCTTCTTCATCCTCATCATCTGATTCTCCTCCCAGTATGGCAATGTCCTCCGGGCTGTACACCATGCACTCCAGCAACACGGGAATGATTTTTTGGATGTAGGGATCGAGGCTCCGCCATAAATCATCGTGCTCGCCAACCGACAACCAGAACTCGGCTGCTTCACAAGCAAGGTCCTCGTCATCACCTTTTTGTTGGGAAATGATGTACTCCACCAACCCGCTGATGTGTGGGAGAAGCTTGTCCGGTCGGGTCTCCACGAGACGAACAAACGCCCGGCAGACTTGGCGCCGGACGTCGGTTGCCGGATCTTCGGCAAGATAAAAGAGATGCTGGAGAAGATCATCAATGGAATTGAGCATCGCCTGCGACTTTCGGGGCGTGAAGACGTTGATGGCTGTGAGAGCCTGGGTGCGGACTTTCGGCAACGGGCTCTTCGTCGCCTGTATGAACTTGGGGAGTAGCACGTTGAGGGGCCGCTGCCCATTGTGCTCTCGTTCTAGCAGCTTCGTGTTGTCTTCGCAGATCTTAGCCATGGCGGCCATGGCGCCCTCCTGGGCCTCATTCGACACCTGGCCCGTCTCATTGCTTAGCAGCTTCAATAGCTCCTGCAGCAGCTCTGGCCAGCTATACAAGCCCCCGCGCCGAATCATCTCGGTCGCAATATTACCAGCATAATTGCGGATTTGTGAGTTGGCATCTTGAACGCCCAGCGGGACGGCGAGCTTGATCATGCCGAGGCTGGCCTCGGGGATCTTCTTGTAGTCGGTTTTGACGTTGTTCTTAAGCATGATCGCCGCGGCAGAGCGGACCAGGTGCCAGTCGGTAGGCGCCAGAGCCAGACCGGCGGGAGGCTCAGCGCTCGAAAAGATATAAGCCAAATAATTGTTGATATCCGGGCTTGCCTTTGCTTGAGAAAGCATCTGTGGAGCGGGGACATACAGTTAGTTGGTCGGCCAATTCCAATGCGCACAAGCGAATCTGCTTCGAAGAACTTACGGTCTCGGCTTGTTTTTGCGCAGACTTATCAAACCCACTCAGTGAGTCCTTGAGACATGCTGCGAGAGTCCTCAAGGACTCTTGGTTGGGCTGCCAATCCATAGCGAAAAGCCAGCGTCGAGGATGGATCGCGGGGCGGGGCAGACAGGGCGCAAGCGCCTGGGATATTCGGAGATCTGAGGACGGATGGAAGCGCCAAATTCGAGAAGCGGGAGGGTTTGGGGGCTCAAACGGGAAGCAAAAATGTGACGAATGCACCTTCGGATTGCCTCGAGAGAAGATGAAGCGCAGGTGGATTATTGGCGTTGGAGTTCTGGGGTTGGGGGTGTTGATGGCAATCTTTTGGCCCGCGCCAAAGTGGGGTGAAGCCAGAAGCTGTTAGCCCTTTACGCCCCAGTCAGGGTTGGTTGGGTCATCAACTAAACCGCAGTGGGCTGCACAAAAAAAGACCACGTTAAGGACGAAACAATAAGTGTGCCTGCGGCCGCCTGTTTACCTAGGCCCGTCAGATTCTAAGCTGACGCACGTTGTCGCTGTGTGCGTTTTGTCGGGTCTTGATAGAATTGTCAATACACTCGGTAGTTTGGTTAGTTATCCGAAAACCTCGAACCTCCAGGCTCACCCACACGGATATGTGGGGTGTTTCAAACTCCCCGTTGGCCGACGCTGAGGCCGAGAATCTCGTCTTGCGCCGCGGGGCCCTTGCGATGGAAGACCTGCAGACTGGAGCCAGACTGGACAAGGACTGGATTAAATTTAGCGAAGTTTGCAACCGTGCAACCAATAGAATTAACGGATCTTCGAGGCTCAACATCTATTCGTGATGTTCCACAGTACATAGGAATTACCGCTCAAGTTTCTGAGAGGGAATGACCAAGGGAGGTCAGTACAGTACCTCCACCAACAACAAAGGAGGTTGACAGTTCGGTCTTCTGGGGTTATTTCCACCCCAGCGGACCTTCATACCATAGAGAGCCTCAGAAAGAGCGGAAGCAGAAAGCCCCGCAATGAATGACGACGCAGGGATTGTGTTTTAGTTGGGTTCAATCCTCTTAGATCGAAACCCTTTTTGCGCTTAAAGATGGCTTCCATGTAACTTGTACACGCTCTCCCAAAGTACTTTGGACAGTTGTAATAGGTCCCGTCACAATTGCGACGCAATAACCAAAAGCCGGTTAAGCGCATGCTTGGCTCCGGAGATAAAGGACAGAATTTTTGATTATCATCTCCCTTTTTGAGGGCCAGTCTCGATGACGCCGGTGAGACGGCGTTGACGATTTCCCACAACACAACTTCATCTCATAGTCCCCGGCGATGTACAGCCTGAGACATGCGTTTCATGAGGTGGTTGGCCAAGTCGTCGTTGACGTTGGAAGGCGCTAGGCTTCAGCAAAAGTCCTCTCAACCCCAAACCAAGCCAACGTTTGTTTTCAGACTAGTTTGAGACGATCTCGCGAGAAGTCGTCTGCGTAGCCTCGATCACCGGGCGAAGTTGGGAGAGAACAACCCGAACCACTTCGCTGAATGCATCCATCTCCTCATCAACCGTGCCACCTAAACCGGTGCTCGCAAGACTTATCGAGTTGGAAACATAAGTTGGAAGCTGGGTTTTCCGGGCCAGCAACTTAGCTAGTCGCGTGGTAAACTCGAGCGTTGGCTCGACTGTGCAGAGAGGTGTTGCTAAAGGGTGTGTGGGGTTATATCTCTGGGTCAAAAAGTTAGCGATAGAGGTTGCGGGGTTGGCTGAGGCGGCGTTCGTACATCCGGGAGGGCATAAACGAATGACCCCAAAGGTGTCGGCGAGCCGGCCTCTTCCATCGGCGCCGTCGTCAGAAAAAGTAGGATGGCCTTCGCCTTGATTGTCAAGTGAAGGTAAATTCTCTGGTCCAACGATCGCGGCAGAGGAAACGACACTTGAATTGGCGACTCCATGGCGCTCGGCAGTGATCCTGGGTTTGATACTGTGACTTGGCGTAACGGAAGCCCCGAGAAGAAAACTTGTTTCTTTGCTCGGAAGCCTTAGGTATATAGTACGGAGTCGTGAGGGAGGTGATTGCAGTCCGATGAAATGGTTCAAGGGTTAGGGTCAGATTATCCTTACTCCCACTCGCTGGCGTGAAAGGCAATAAAACGGAGTATACGGTACATAGGTAAACATGAAAATAGGTACATAATCATCCAATCTTTCTTTTTTTTCTTTTTTTCCCGACAACATCGTCAAATTGCGCTCCTGTCTACAATGCCCAAGAGATCATTTAAAGAGGCATCGATCCCGATAGATAGGAGCGACTCTTGGCTTATGAGTCGGCCCGCCCCCAAAATGAATCTGCCAACATATGGTGTGCAAAGTTGAGGGTTATTAATACCTGGATCTTATCCCCGCGTTGGTAACGCTCGAAGTCTCCACATGACGCACTGAGTATTTTGCTTACTTATCATCACATGCTCCAAACAATGATTTGGTTTTTTTTTTCTCCTTCAGAAACTTTACGAGGAGCGACAGTCTACTCAAACGGGCGATCTTAAATTTTTATGAGCTTTGGGGAGTGGGAGGGAAAGGAAAGGTCCAGCGACACTATTATCTTCTCCCTTGACTGAGGAAGTGCAGGTACCCGCCGCTTTCCGGCTCCGCTCTTCCTGTTGGTGTCCATCCCCTCCAACAGGCTTGGCTTTTCTCCCCTCTCCGCCATCTGGAGATGGCGTTGGAAATGGAGGAGGATACGCCTTGGAATGGCATCGAAAATGGGATTGATGACCCGGAGGAGCTTCAAGTCATCTACCGTACCTTGGATTCTTACCAGTAAGTGAAATCCACACAAGATCGTTTAGAGCACTTTATTATCGTGGCGGCTTCTTGCTCGAGCCCAGTGTTCGGGATGGGTTTCCGTATGTCGAAAGGAAGTTCGAGTGCATCGCTAGTGTCACGCTTCATCCTTTCAAACTCTTTTCTATCCTATTATTTCTGCTGTTTGCCCCCCCCTCCAGACTCCACTGCAGTTTGTTTGTAAAAGGGCAGAGAGAAACCACAGACTCGGTAACATCTCTGGCCATGTGGCTGTCGTGACTCAACACTAGTGTGTGAGCCCATTGTGTTTTAGAATTCGAGCATAAAATTAGCTGTGGCAACTGCTCAACAAATGTTAACTCGGTACAGACAATATGCTAAGGTTGCTCACTTTCAATGCACGCACCTACGCCGACAAGCCTTCTACGCTTTACCTCAGACTCACTGGCAGAGGCTAGCATCACCCCCATTCAACTATCTGAACACTCTTGATAAGATAGACGATGCGATCGAGTGTAACGCCGAACTGGCCCGGGTCATTTTCAAGAGAGGCCTTGAGATGTTTCGGGTTGGGGTTCCTTCTCACACCGGAGACCTGATGTTGCCGCCGCAATGGAACGGCTCAGCAAAACCCACCGACATTGATAAGGCCCGCAGCACCATCCGGCAGTTCTATCGTGACTGGTCTGCCGACGGGGCCGGTGAACGAGACGCTTCCTTCGGCCCGGTGATGCGCGCAATAGCGGCCGAGAAGGACGCCAGGGGTGCGGACCACCCCCGGCTCAAAGTCCTCGTCCCCGGGGCGGGTCTCGGCCGGTTTGTCTTTGAATTGTGTCTGAACGGGTACGAGGCGGAGGGAAACGAAATATCTTACCATCAGCTGCTGGCATCTTCATACATACTGAACTGCTGCCAACGTGCTGGCCAGCATACCATCTACCCCTGGATTCATACGTTTTCGAATCACAAGTCCCGGGCAAGCCACCTACGCAACTATCCAGTTCCAGATTTGCACTGTGCTACGGCGCTCGCGGAAGCGGAACAAACAAACCAAGTGGGCTCTATGAGTATGAGCGCTGCCGACTTTCTGTGCCTGTACAACGAGGAGGAGAGAGCGGAAGCATATGACGTGGTCGCCACAGTCTTCTTTCTCGACACAGCGCCCAATCTTATCCGCTACCTTGAGACAATCTTCCATTGTCTGAAAGCTGGGGGGATTCTGGTCAACATTGGACCGTTGTTATGGCATTTTGAAGGGCGCGTCTGGGACCGGGATGAACATGATGAGAGCGAGGGTGAACACAGTCACGATACCTCCGGAATAGCGGACCCCGGCAACTTTGAGTTGACGGATGAGGAGGTCATGGCGTTGGTAACCGAGGTGGGATTCGAGGTCGAATCAAGAGAGACGGACCTCGAGGCGCCGTACATAGTTGATAAGGAGTCCATGCTGCAAACGACGTATAGGGCTAGCACCTGGGTGGCTCGTAAGCCGGCGACAGCGTCACCCGGGCGACTGTAATGTGTACTTATCATCATCGGCTAGGAGCAGGACGGCGGGAAATGGAGTTAGCAGAGGGGCGCAGATTATCATCAAAGTTGGAAAGTATTGCCCAATTGTTGTTAGAATAACATAATTTTCGAAACCTCAGCTGGCTTCAGGTCCTACAATTTGACATCGAGCTGCCCCCTCTTCCACAGCGCACCGCCGTCCAGCTCAATAGCCTCCCCGTTGACATAAGCACCCGCGCGACTCGTCAGGTAGACGACAGCACCGGCAATATCCTCCGACTGACCCAGCCTCCTCAATGGATTTTCTTTGCCCAACTTGTCCGCACCACCGGACAACTTGAGCAACCCATTGCTCATCTTGCTGGGGAAGAACCCCGGACAGATGCTGTTCACCGTAATACCCCGTGGCCCCAGCTCCATGGCCAGGTTGCGCCCGAGGTGGATCACAGCCGCCTTACTGGCGCTATACCCATACGTACCTTGTGTACCGAGGGTCCCGACCCCGAGCCCTGCCACGCTGGCCGTGATCACCACGCGGCTCGGGTCTTGGGCGGAAGCGCTGCGCTGCAGCAGCGGCGCAAATTCGCGGACGAGATTGAACACGCCGCGCACGTTGAGGTCCATCACCTTGGCAAAGGCGGCGTCCGGGTGCGTGTCGAAGGCCTCGCCCCACGTTGCGCCGGCGTTGGCTAGGAGCACATCGACGTGGTCCGTCTGCGCGGATACCTGGGACAGGAGGTGCCGCACCCCTTCGAGCGTCGCGCCGTCTGCCGGTACCGAGATGGCGCGTGCGCCGGGGCGTAGGTTAGGTAGTGCATTGAGCGTCTTGCATGCTTCGTCGCAAGCGGCCGCTTTGCGGGATGAGATGAAGACCTTGGAGGCGCCGGCTTGGAGGAGACTTGATATGAGTCGGTGTGAGCTAAAATATTTACACTGCTCGACGGCAAAACACTAAGTTTGGACAAATAGGTAGGGCAGCGGGTAATTAATTATTGGGGAGCTTACGCAGAGGCGGCACTTAAACCAAGACCGCGAGAACCACCCGTTACAACGGCAACCTTGCCCTCGAGCGAGAAAAGAGAAGGGAAGTCGTGGAGCTGTGCTTCAGCCATGGCGATGTTCAGTTCAGGACTTGGAGGAGGTTGTGAGACGGAATTGGTTTCGGTTGGCGAATGTGAGGGCAAGAAGCCACACAATTTGGGAATGAGAGGTGGGAAAAGGTCCAATTAAGGCGATTTGTATTCGAATTCGAAACTAATCAGGTAGGTGTTGATGAAAGGTGGTGTTGGGAAGGAGACATCTTAAACATGTTGAGATGAGATAACCCCTGTCCCTTGCGGGGCGCGCTGGGTGCCTCGGCAGAACGCGAAGAAAACGAGCGACGGCCCCGGCACTGCCGGCCTACCCCAACTCCGGGTTGCCACAGCGGCATCCGTAGCTCTCGGCCAGTCCCCCCCCCAAATACTGAAACATGCCTCACATACGGGCCCCTCAGTGGTCTCGTCGCCGAAACCGCGGCGTGAGAACAAAAGGCTACGGAAAACCAAAATTTAGGCCCTTGTGCCATCTCTGGGGGTTTATGGGCAGGGGTAATTCAATAGGTATGGGTTGACCTAGGTACCTGGTAGTACGGAGTGACACAAGAATTACAGACCAGGATGTTGATCGGAGCTCGAGTAATCATGAATTGTATCCGTACATAGGCTCGAAAGAGGCTCAAATCCCAAAGGACAGGCCAAGATGCGTCTAGAGATATACACTGCATCTCCGTGGGACCGCCAAGCCATCTAGGTGAACCCGTGGACATTGAACTTTGATATTCATCACTGGCCCAAGCTGCACTCTCAAGCCTCAACTAGGGGTGGCTGAGACTGGACTTGAGGCGAGTGATGTTGTTGCGGGGTGGTGTCCCCATCCTGGGCCTCATTCCGGTCATTTCCTTGTTCTTCTTGGTTTCCGGTACCGCCTTGCTCGGCCTCTTGCTGGGCCGCAGCTTCTGCTTCTGCTGCTGCTGCTGCTGCTGCTGCTGCTGCTGCCCTGGCCTCCTCGGCCGCCCTTCGTTCAGCCCGCTCCTGCTCCTCTAACTCACGGATATGTCTCTCGGCTACGCCCGGCGCAAAGCTAGCTAGAAATAGAATACTCGCCCGCTCAATCCGCCGATAATGATCTCGAAGCCAGCTCCCGTTTTGAGCCCTGCGCTGAGCAACTAATCTCGCTGCTGTTTGCGCCGGGTCTGGGTGTTGTATTCCATCCCCACCATCTTGGTGGGGGGCCGCATCAGGCACATTTTGCTGCTGTCGCTGCTGTCGTTGCTGTTCCTGTTGGCGCTCAGGATCCGCAAACGGGATCATACCTTCTAATTGCTCCCGCATCGGGTGGAATGCGTTATTAACCATTCCGTTAAACAGGCCAGTGTTGATTCCAAGCACCACGATAAACGCCAGTACCAGAGATAGCCAGCGTTCCCATGAAGGGTTAGTGTAGGAGAACCACCAGGCGAAGGCAACCAAACGGACCACTAGCCAAATATGAGGCCATGCCGCTGCAACTAAGGGGGCCACGCCGGGGTTGCCATGTGGATGGACTTGGGGTGCCTGTTGCGCTTCTGCAGGCGGTGCTGGTGGCGGATGAAGCCCTTGGCCAACCACGGGACGCCGGCGAATACCGGGTTGTACCTCGTGGCGTGGCTGAGGCAGTGGGCGCTGGTCGGGTAATGGGTGTGGCGGTTGATCGGGTTGCGCATTGGCAGCTTGAGCATGATCCTGCCCATGGCCCAGACCGCCGGGCGTGCCGTGCCCAATGCCTTGATGGACCTGACTCCCAGCTGGTAGCGAAGTCGGAAAGGGTGGTCGGTAAAAGTTGGGTGTCCAAGGGAGCGGCCGCACAACAGGCGTGGCATACAACTCAGAGCCATTGTGAATCAGTAAACCTCGAGGGCCCATTGGCGAAGAGATAATGTACACTTCTGGGTAACCGTGGGCTTGCGGCTGAGCAGCAGTGTGTAATCCTCCATAGCCAATGCCGCTTCCACGGCTAATGGATCTAACCGGGATGTCCGGAGTAGCCGTCCTGCTCCCATTCCTCGATAATCCCGGGAATATCGGGGTCGTCACGCCGGGTTGAATGGGTTGCACAGCGCTGTTGAAACCCAGCTGGGCAATGTCTGTTGCCATGTTGGCTGGCTGAGCGCCTGATGTGTTCCGCTGCATAGCGTTGGCCATGGTTTGTGTTGCTCGTACTGCGTCTGGGCCATGGGTTATGCTGCGAACATCGGTTGGAGACAGTGGGTGTTGGCCGGGCGGCTCTGCTGTTGAACCTGGTCCCGCAGCTTGTCGGGAGCTGGCACCAGCGGGGGCGATAAACTCGTTCACGGTGACCCTGAAACTATACCGCTGCCCGTCCGGCCCGGTACCTTCTCGTGTGACAGTCCGGAATGCCTGTCCAACTGGGCTGTTCCTACCATCAACCCGGTCGGCCCCGCCGGTCTGAGGGTTGTAGTCCCTGAAGTCACTGGCACTGTTTCCACCATTCTGTAAGGGGTGTGCGGCCGTGGCGGTCCGGTGGGCCTGATTTTGGGCCAGCAGCTGACGATAAAGCGCTTCCCTTTGCTGGTCTTGGAAATGGGTCACGCGGTGCTGTAGGTCTTGTAGCTGAGCTTGACTTTGCTGAAAGTAGGGCAGCTGTGGGAACTGCGCAGTCGCTTGGCCAGTACTGGGAGGTTCCGAGCCCGGCCGCGGTACGGAAACATTTGGCGCATTCCGAATGGGGTGTGGGAGTTGGCGCGGCGGCAACTCGCTCGGTGGAGGCCCCTCACCCGTATCCCTCAGCACGAGGTGGATGGTTTGGAGCTCGTTTGATCGTATCTGTCGCCCCATCGTGTCAGCGTCTGCGGATACTTCCAACTTCAAAGCAAACAAATCGCGCGAAACGTACTAATGCTTCACCAAATATGTCTTGGAGGGTATCGCTCTCACGAGCAAGGAGCCGGCCACGATGAATCAACCGTTGTTGATCATCCGCCGGCCGCGACGTCAAAGATCCGCGAATCTTTTGCTTTAGCTGTTGCACCGTCGCCGTTGCGGGAATATCGGGGAAGCGAAGGGTCCCGACGCCGACCGACGGCGATACAATCTGAAGGTTGACCACCAACGCCGCATCATCTTGTGAGCCCGAAGGGGCGGAATCCGACTGTTCGCCAGCCATAGCACTGGTGGTCGGGCTTGGGGAGGTAATCGTCGAAAGCTAAGTTCGGTTTCGGGCTCACTGGGAATTTGCGATCGCGACCGGCGCAGAGATGAGTGTCGTAACAGGTGGTGATGGCGATTGGCTTCCTGGGGTTCGCAACCGAGAGAGCATGCGCCAAACGCCTTTCTGGAGAAACAGGTATCAAACAAAAATGGGAGGATGGTGGAAGAACACGGGGGAGATTGCAACGGAAAAGGAATTGGAATTCAAGTGAAAGGATACCTTTGGTAAAGGAATATCGCTACCAACATAAAGAACAAGTATTTGTTTGACCAGCGCCGCTGCGGCTCTAAAGTGGCCCGCGATGTTAGATTTATCAGCTCTCTGAAAGCTTACTTCCACGGTGTCATCCAGAGGTTTAATCCCACATCGGGGCGTCTGCCCCCACAGTGGCAGCTACTTTGGCCCCACTCAAGCCTTCACATGTTGGACAACAAACTCGCCTTGACGTACCCCGGACCGAACCCCCAACCCGCATTTTAGTGTGCAAATATGCGAAATTGACCGCTACAATGTACCCACAACCCCTGTGATAAAAAGCGAACCGTCCCAAGTTCCTCGAATGCGCAGGAGAACGTCGCCCCGTCACTGGCTGCAATTTTTCGTCCGAATGTGTGACTGCGTCATGAGAACAAACCCTTAAGCTCGACACCCTTCCGCTTCGAAGTCCGCCGGTCAAACCGCGGTGTTGATTGGCGCCGGCCGAGGGATTCTGCAACCTCCTTGCAGCTGGCCTACATACGATGCAGGTTCGTCAACCACATACGCGCATGCGGCTCCTCCTCTCTCGATACTCCCTGGAAGATTAGTTTTGTAAGGCGAAGAAAAACCAACATGGCGCTGCTCCAGATTGGCCCCGCGTCCTCCACTGTCGGGTTAGCTCGCTCGACCTTTATCAGGCGCCCAAACTGCCGCGGCTGCCACCAATTCTCCAGCTTTTCCCGCGCTGCGTCTCGACGAGGACCACCGTCTCAGCGAGCCCCCGGCCGCCGCCCTTTCTCCCAACAGTCCCATAGGCCAAGGGCCGATTCCAAGGTGAACGGCTCCAAGTTGCGCTGGTATCCCATCCCCGTCGGTCTCGGCGTTGGGTTTCTGGGGCTAGTGCAATTCTACAAAGTCTATAGGAGAGAGCAGGAGAAACAGGAAGATGGCGAGCCGGGGCAGCGTCCGAAAAAGCGGCCGCGCATCCGTCCAGACGGCCCATGGTGAGGACTTCTAATCTCTTATTCCACGGCCTCCCTTAAGCCACCCTGCTAAGATCGTTCATAGGCAGGTCCAAATCATGTCGACTCTGCCGTTGAAGGCCATGTCTCGGATCTGGGGCAGATTCAACGAGCTAACACTTCCCACGTTCCTTCGAATCCCCGGCTTTAAGCTCTACTCGTTCTTTTTCGGCGTCAACCTGGATGAAATCGAGGAGACGGATCTTCGAGTGTTCCCAAACCTGGCCTCCTTCTTCTACCGTACCCTGAAACCCGGCGTTCGTCCTCTTGATCCCAACCCAAATGCTCTCCTATCCCCATCGGACGGCCGCATTTTACAGTTCGGACAAATCCAGGGCGGCGATATTGAGCAGGTGAAGGGGATGACTTACACGATCGACGCGCTCCTAGGGCAAAACAGCCCGACGCCGAGTATCTCGGGGCAGACGCCTCTCGACAGACCCCCGAAGCGAGGCGAACATGAACTGGAGGGCGACGAGGAACTTGTTCAGAGGGAAGAGGAATTCGCCCGTGTGAACGGCATTTCCTACACTCTCCCGGACCTTCTTTCCGGGTCCAAGAAGAAGCGAAGGAGCACCCTTGACCAGCCCAAAGACGAATCCGTCAGCCCGTCGCCCACGTCTGTCTCCGAAGTACGCGCCGAACTAGCGCTCGGTGAAAAGTCCTGGCTTGACCATTTAGCGACCGATAGCCGACACGTACTCTACTACGCTGTCATCTACCTTGCGCCAGGTGACTACCACCGCTTCCACTCGCCGACCAACTGGGTGGTCGAGCGCCGGCGCCACTTTGCCGGCGAGCTGTATAGCGTCTCGCCTTACCTGCAGCGCACCATGCCTGGACTGTTTACACTCAACGAACGCGTCGTGCTGCTGGGTCGCTGGCGCTGGGGTTTCTTCAGCTACGTCCCCGTCGGTGCGACCAACGTCGGGTCTATCAAGATCAATTTTGATAGGGAGCTGCGTACCAACAGCCTAACAACGGACACGGAGGCCGACAGGGCGGCTGAGGAAGCCGCCAACCGCGGCGAGCCGTATCTAGGCTACGCTGAAGCGACTTATGAGGCCGCGAGCTCCGTGTTGCGGGGCCATGCGCTTAGGAGGGGTGAGGAAATGGGAGGTTTCCAACTGGGTAGTACCGTTGTGCTCGTATTCGAGGCCCCTGCGGGGGAACATGATGAGAGTGGCCGGCATACAAGCGGGTGGCAGTGGGCTGTAGAAAAGGGGCAAAGAGTCAAAGTTGGACAGGCGTTGGGCCGCGTCGATGCTTAGAAGCTGGTGTGTTTGCTATCTCAAAAGTCTACTTCGACGCACGAGAAGATGTACTCTGGGTTAACAGGTGTAATTAGGAGTGGGAGGTAGCGAGACCGCAGATATAGATAAAAGAGAGTACATATTCTAAGGT